CACGAAGAACTTGAAAATATGTAAAAGCACTTCGATATAATTTTGGATAACAATGAATCGTTGTTCCCACAGCTAGCATAAATTCAAATTTAAATATTGATCGACGAATATAATTTTTAAAACCCATCGCAAAAATTTTGAAAAGTGCTTCCAAATCAAAAACTAAAGTAAACAATAACTGAAATAAAAAAAAAGCCAATGCCATCAATATTATTATTTTTGCTAGAAAATTTAATTTCTACCTCAATTTTATGATAAAGCCTAAGATTTCTTTTATCTATTTCTTCATTATGTGTATGTTTGATAGTTGCTGTGAAGACTGTATTAGCAAGTACAACAACCATTAGAATCGTTGTGAACATAGGTGATTGAGCAATTTTTAAAAATATAGCTGGTGCTACACCTTTCTTTTTGCTTTCATCAATATTGACCAATTTTAATGTGCTATCATCGGCTTTTTGAAGTACCTATATTAATATTGAGTTTAAATTTAAATTCAAACTAAACTTGTTTCTTTACTTTTGTTGCTTCAACGTCTGATGTAGCTCCTCGCGAGCCCCACATTTGTTGGAATTGAACACGAATTTCAGCAAATGTTTCGATGATAACGGCAATAAAAACGTTCTAAAAATGAAGATGAGTTATCTTCTTATTTTTCTCATCAAATTCCACATATGAATCATTTCAGGGAACTCTATGACAATCTAATATATCGCATTTGTGTAAATCTTCTGCAATCAATAAAGGTTACAGGAAGGAAGAATAATACTTCTATGACTTTTTAAATAGCTGCAAACAAATTACAGTCAATTCAATGAACAGTAATCCTTCAAGTAGAACTTCCTTTCTCTAGATCTGCTAATAACGACGTTTTAAACGTTCACAGTAAACAACTTCGAATCAATAGAATATTAAGAAAGAATTGTAAAACTTTAAATCGACAAAAAAAATGTGATTATTTCATTACGGACGACAAAACGGTTGCAAATCTACTACGTGCTCAATAATCTTTCAATAGAAAATGAGATTTCAACAATTTTTATTATAGCTTTGAAATATGTTTTTTGAACTGCAATCAAGTTTATTTACCGTAACTTGAAAATCCACTACTAAGAATAATACAACATTTTGATGCTGTAATTGACTATAAAAATTATTCATAGAAGTAGACCTGAAAATGTTTTGTCAAACGTTAACTATGGAAAATTCCTGTATTCTATAGTGATAGATAAATTCGTTTTTCCAAATAAGATTAACTAAAAAATAGACTATTTGAAACTTACTTTTACAAGCCACGCAAGAAAAAAGATCAATGTGATAAAATAAAAGAATGCACGCCATGATGGAAGACTATCAATAGCTCGATACATAAGAAAGACCCATCCTTCTTGACTAGCCGATTCATAAACCGAGAAGAAACTAGTTGCTAATTCATCAAAACCATTATAACCACGTAAATTTCGTTGAATTTCAATTTTTTTACAAGTAAAATGTTTTGGACAATGAAAACCATCTTTTGTTGGTGAACAATATGTATCGGGTATCATTAAATCTGACTTTGTAACGTTACTTAAAAAGTGAAAAAACAAACAAAATAAAGAAAAAAACAATTTTCTCTTATAAATTCATACTTTGGATCGGTATCGTTTCTAACACAATGGAATGTGAGTGACCCAAAAAATTGTACCCCCAATATGGCATATAAACTCATGAAAAATAGAAAGAATACTGTGACATTATAAATTTGTGAGCTCGAGCGTCTAAATAAGAAATAAAAACAACATAATTATTTACATCGTTAATAATAATTATTTTTAACATACTGAAGAATAGACTTAATCTGGCTTTTTGGTAATTCGAATTTGAGATATGTCTTAAGAACTTTGATAAGAATAAATGGACGTGGCGCACGAATTATAGTGAAATATGAATATTTATTTATAATACCAATTAATTCAAATGTCTATAGATAAAAAGACAAAAAGAAACTTCTTAATATAAATAGCAACAAAAAAAAAAGCTTTACTTGTAAGATTATAGAAAAATAAATGTTTAAAACCATGGTAGCATCAAAATGATTCCATCTGTCATGTAAGTAAGATGAATCCCCGACTAATATTCCTCGAGTTTTCATTTTTGTGGCTGCTTCAATCGTTAATATAATTGCACAAGTTATATCGATGATAAATGTTGCATATTGCAGAGATGGATGATATTCAAATGTTCTTGGTGTATTCATACATGTTGAAATAAAACTTAGAAGACCAGTAAGACGAAATAAATCTTTCGCAAATGGTTTATTCGTCCATTCAAGATTACCGCCCGTTGAATCTTCTTGACTATAATCCATTAATGGAACAAAATCGCTGCGGAAACTTTGCTTTCTCATCAATGTTATCATCGATGAAATGGCAGCGCCAGCCGATGAGGCTGTTGCTGCCATTCTATTTTTCTTAGATTATTTGTCTACAAGAAAAAGACAAAAAGAAAAATCTCGACCGACTGATGATTAGTAAGATATACAAAGCCAAGAAAAAAGACAACAAAACGAATTCCATACGAACTAATATGTATGGACAGAAGAAAGATATATTTTGACTCGTGATTATTTTTTGCTAGTATTTATTATATAGAATAGTATGCATAAAGCATTACTTAGCTACGAAATAAACGAGAATCTTTCTTGAGTCAAGTAGCACGTTCTGTTGTTGTCGTCTTTCGACAACTATAAAAAAGAAGAAGAAGAAGAAGAAGAAGAAGATGATGATGATGATGATGATGATGATGATGATGATGACGACGATGATTATGATCACATCGTTTTTGTTTGCCCGTATTCTTCTTTTTATTTGCTTCTATGCAAACAAGAAAAGGCAATGTGCATGAGATAATTTTAGGCTTGCTCGTCAATTGACTTTTCTCTTCTTCCCACAATCTTCTTTCTATTCTCTATTTCCTCTTAGACGAGTCTTGTGGGACGTTACATCACATAGAATGATGTCGGGTAGTACGCCAGAGAGAATTTTAAATTGAATCTCTATGCTTCTAACAACAGGAAGTAACTTGTCTAGAAATATTGCAAGTTGCATGTTCTTTATTAAAAGAACGTAAAAAAGAAGAAGTTAACATAATAAGCTGATTTATACTACGAAGGGATCATCAACAATAACAATTACATTAAACATATTTTTTCCCTTGTCTATCCTGTTCGCATGCCATATATTATTACCTTCGTCTGATATATATATATATAAACATGTAAGAACATGTGAATCGATTGGGATCAAATTACCAGCTATTCTTCTACTATTATTTACATGTATAATGTTATATACATACACATATTCTTGAAATTATTGTCTTACTCCTGTGATTTTTCAAACCTTGATATGACTAATTCATTCGAAATTGTATGAAAAGAAATCAAAGAATAGAACCTAATGAAGAAAATGGTAATAATAATAAAAAAAACAATATAATTTGACTACTTCATACAAATAATTAGTTAAGACACACACACACACATAAATATATATAGATATAAAAGAACGATAATAGTGAGAACCATAAAAGCAGGAAAATGAGAAAATAAAGAACAGTGTTAATTTTCTTTCTACTATCTGTTATCTGGAACGTGCTATTCTCTTCAAAGAAGTAACGTCAAACTTGCTGATGAACAACTTACATAAACACATCCATAATATCTAGAAGAAACAATCTTTCTATCTTCGTTTCTATTCGTCTGCAATATTAGTTGAAGAAGAATTACAAGTAAAAGAAATAGATGTGAACGTGCATGGATGTAGTAGAAAATATAATAAGACCAACCAGCTTTGCTCCATCCAATGAGTGGTGATGCCAATTACATGACGATAGTACTGAAAGAACAGCGAGAAGACGAACATAAAATAGATTGTATCTGAATTGTAGCCGGAGAACTGTGTGAAGAAGAACGAAGAATAGCACAGCTAAAGAAGAAAATCTATGTCTCTTGTGACAAAATTTCCGAACAGATCTAAAAGATGGATAGAAAAGAAATTACAGAAATTCGTAATAGAAGTTTCATGAGGCAGAACCCTATTTCTACATATATATATTGATATGTGTGTATATTGTAAGAGAGCAATGTCTATAGTGAGGTCTTCATTGTTTTCTCATTCTTCTACTTTTGTTTGTAACCACTCCACAACAATATTACTTCGAACCAAAATAGAATACTATCGTAACCAAATACATTGAGCCACAAAAATCGACTCTTGTCTAATTGTTTGAAACACAAAAAGTGATATAGTTTTTCTTCACATAATACAAATTATATAATTCTCATTCAATAGAACTTTCAAGATTCTTATCTTTGAAGTTAAAATAGAACTATTTTAAGAGCTAAAAATGTCGTTCTATTTTTTCTCTTTATTCTTCGAGGTTTTTTCTTCTTAGCTTTGCATATGTTATTCATTCATTCATCCCATTGTTGAACAAACCACTAGTGTTGATTGCAAAGGAATTTTGCGTCGACAATTAACGAGTACGAGCAAAAGGAAAAGGAAACACGCATCAATCATTTCTCCTTTTGCCGATAATAGAAAACCCAAGAGCATAATGTTAAACATAATCGAAAAATCAATTCGTTATGCCCGCCTTCATACTATATTATCAGAATGTAAGTCAAAACGTTTTATTGACATCAATATTATACAAATGAATGCGAATATAAAATAACAAAACCTTTTCTTATGTTCCTCTAAATCAATAAACTATGATATCGACATATTCCTAATTGACCAAATTACAATGGCAAGTACTCAATTATAATCTAGTGACATCTATGTACCTTGATAAATGACTGGCACGTTTTTTTCCGCCAACGATTTCATTCAGAACGACAAGAAAAACCACATAAAGCATATATGGTTTGCACAGATTAATACATATCATTCAAGAAATTCACTGCTTCTCCTTAAGAAAATTTCTGAATACATAGAAATTAGGAAACCAATAGAATGCGGTGCATAGCTGCAAATCGATCAGTGCTTACAGCACTTGATCAAAATACGACACTTGCTGGCTATGATAGGACGAATTGTACAACAACGACTAATGATATTGATAGTACGGATATAGTTCAATTTGCTGATGGTTGGTACGCCTATCCTGATCTTAATACATTCGATAGTCCTTTACTTCTCGCTACACTTACACTGCGCGTTCGTATTCATTTGATTAGATTTTGCGATGTTCACCATTTTTTCTTCTACAGAATATCAAACCATCAAAAGCTCTCTCGCCATGGAATACAAAACTAGATAATTCGACTACTATTCCTCTTACTGAAATCGGTATGTGGTTTATTCAGTGNATGGTTGGTACGCCTATCCTGATCTTAATACATTCGATAGTCCTTTACTTCTCGCTACACTTACACTGCGCGTTCGTATTCATTTGATTAGATTTTGCGATGTTCACCATTTTTTCTTCTACAGAATATCAAACCATCAAAAGCTCTCTCGCCATGGAATACAAAACTAGATAATTCGACTACTATTCCTCTTACTGAAATCGGTATGTGGTTTATTCAGTGGTCACTATTTTTCGCTCAAACTGATTCTCTTTTTCGTATAGCTACGCGTCAATTAGAAGCATTATTTAATTTGTCACAATTGCTTTTTGGCTTAGCTCGAGGTGAACAATCAAATTATACATTTCGCGATTTACAATTGGGTCATCCACCACGCAGATTTCGTGAAGCAGGATTCAATAAATTCCGTAAGCATTTGTCACAGTCCTATCGAATGAATACGAAATATGAATGATCATCTGTTTAGCAAATAACAATAGATCGACTGATTTCTTTGGTACTTTTCAACTCATTGTCAATGATATACTCAAATCAGGCGCTATAGATATTGTTTATATGATGTACAAAGTAAGTCTCATCATACAACTGTTACTCGACAATGTTTATTCTATTGAAAGGATCCTCGCATTCGATGCGTCAAACAAAAATCTCTCGACTTATTAACGAATATAACGACCATCAACGAAGTCGGATATTTTATTCTCGATCGCTATTGTCAATTTCTTATTCAACTTATACAAGGTATTCGTGATGGGCATTTAATTGAAGAAAAGATTCCATCGTTATCTGTTCTCATACGTTTATGTAAAGTTATTGTTGAGAAAAATCTTCTTAACCATTATCAACATTTGATTGATATGCAATTCATTGATATATTGATTGATCTTTTTGAATATCAACAATATAAAACAAATGAATCGATAGTTTATTTTATAAAATTTGAATCGCTTGCTCTTCAATGTCTTTATATAATGCTACAATGTGCTTCTCATGTTGATATGTGGTCAGAAAGTAGGTTGACAACAAAACAAAAATATGTTTTTCTTGAATCAATTAATATTCTCTCTTTTTTCGCTCGTCGACGATAGAAGCTCAAATACGTTTAGTAAATTATTGTTGTACAATATTGTATAAATCAATTTTGGACGATGATGATGACGACAAATGTGACGATTATTCGAAACGAATAGAAATCAATCATATATTGTATGCTGAACAACATGAAATGACTCATTCGTTGAGTTATAGTATATTAACATTTCTGAGTATTGTTCGATGTCGAAAAGAGATCGGAAGGTTCTATCGTGAAAATGAACATTTTCGAGAATTACTGAATGCAATGAGACAAAAGTATAATTCAAGAAACAAATATCTATCACGAGATTCTTCCATATCGTCTGCGCTTGATCAACTTATCAATAGTATGTTCGATAGAAAAAAGCGACGACATCATCATCATCACATATCCTCAAAAGATCATCCACGTCATCAAACGCATGATGACGATGAAGAAAATATTGAAAATCGAGCATATCGAAAATGTTCGAATTCTTTATGTCAAATAATTGAAAATGATGTAAGTAAAAATTGAAGTTTCTTGAAAAACAATTTGGATTTGAATTATTTTTTTCTAGCAAATAAAATTTGAAAACTGTCCTTCTTGTCATAAATTATCATACTGTAGTCAATATTGTCGAGAAGTTCATTGGACATTGAATCATAATCTATTTTGTCAGGCTGTCAATTCTGATGGAAAGAAAGAAGAATCGACTGTACGATGTAAAATTGGCAGAATTTCTGGAATGACATCATCAAATTATCAACAGAGAAAGACAACATCAATGACTTATAATTCGGCATTCGAAACATTACCTATACAAATATCACATCAAGTTATGGAAGCAACGGTCGAGAATACTAATGACTTATGTTACCCATCATCGTCATCATCGTCTTCAAATGTCAAAAAGAATTCGTTAAAAACTCTCTTGTCGTTTCTTCGCGTTGGTGGAAAACGACGTTGAAATAAAAAAAGAAGGAGAGGAATACTAATTGTTATTTTTAGTAATCTCTTTGTACAAATTGAATTTATTTTTATATGAAATATTGTATGTATTCAATCATTGTAAAATAAGCGTTGTCTTTTTGAAATAAAAAATAAAATCAATTATAATCGAACTGATTCTTGTAGCGTAGAGCAACTAAATCTCGATGAGAAATATCGCAGTATGAGGATATTTGTTTTCTTTATGCAAAGTTTTATTAGAATTACGTATAGAAAAATTACAGAGCATGAATTAATTCTTTGAGTAAACATAATAAAATAATCTACTTTGTTGTTCAAATATTTGTCTAAGTGATGACTCTAATTATAATTGACTTAAAACGACGTGGCTGGAGAATATCTAAATTTCATCGATCAAAAAAGAAATGCTTCTAGAAATTAGCATTTTTTTGAACCTTATTACACAACATTTACTATTTCGATTGTCAAAAAATCAAAATATAAGAGTTCACTCTTCCATTTCGTCTTATTTTTCAAAATTGAGTCATCCAGTTTCGTTTCTGTAAAAAGTCATTTGGAAAATTCATTGTTATTTCTAGTTTAGTTCAAAACGGTTAGTTCTTCTCTTATGAAAAACTGTGATACTAAGGTACATAGAATATTTCTGTTATAGAGAAAGAGAAATACAAATGTGCATGAGGTTCAAGTAAACTGCAACACATCATTTTTTACAATTCCGAAAAGGACGTTTTAGTGTAGTGAGCAAGGATACACTGTAGCTCATTTACGAACGATCTGTCTCGGCTGCAGTCACTGCTAGAAAGGTCTTATTAACAACAAAAAAGTGCAGAATAGCAATTTAAAAACTTTTCAAAATGACATGATTCATTGCACTAAATAAATATCCGCTTGGATATTTATAATTAACAGCTTCCTCTATAGTTATGATCATATGAATGAAATTTTAGTCAATGAGATAACACTATGAAATGAACTAGAACACCAAAATCTTACAATGTAAGAATGTATGCAGAAATAAATTTCGTGATCGTTATATTATTCTAAAATTTTCAATGATGAATAGATGCTTTAGATGCGACCCATTGGATTCGTGAAATGGCTCATTTCCTACGAAAAATTAAGGAAAATCAACATTTTTTCTACTTTAGTGAAGATGACGAAATTTAGTAATTATGCTAACTTCTATTTTTGAATAAAACTTCACGATTTAGTTTTTCTTCCGTAGTATCTTGAGATAAGATCAAACGTCAGTTGAAAGATTTCAGTTCGAAACTTTGTCTGTACGATGAATCTATATAATTAGCCAGACATAAAATAGAGCGAAGAATATGGATTAATTGCATTTTTATGGTAACATGTGAAAATCTCACAAAAACATCAGCTCCTGTGGTTTTGTTTTCTAATATTTTGTTACTGTTAAAGTATTTTTTCAAAAACAAGTTATATTGTGAAAACACTTGAAGTTTGTTTTTACGGTGTATTTAAACTAGCATCAATTGTTTCGCTAAAAAATAATAACATCCAATGACTATATTGTCATCAGCAGCTATATATAGTTCGATATTCTTGCTTAAAATTTTTTAGGTACAAATAATTACGATAACTTCTCTGTCTCGGAACTAAACTAATTTTGATTCGGCTTCATTAATTTTCTAATTAACACCAACACCCTTATTTCCAGGCACATATTCAAAACCTCTGAACATCTGATTATTTGAACTCTCTTTTCTTGCCTATTTATTCCATTCAGTTAAGAAATTAAATTGAAAAACTAGAATGGTTCTCATCAAAACATATGATACCTTAAAGCAAGTACGTAATAATAAACGTTCTTCAGAAAATTATAGGATGAATCTTTATCAATTTTTATTTTACTATGATTGGCATTATAATAAAACACAGTTTATCATAGTAATTACTATTTGTATAGCACTATAAGGAAACTTATGTCAAATAATTATAGAATTACCTGCACATATATTTTGTTTAAAGTTTTCCTATTGAAACAATGTTTTGTTGAATTAGTAGATACCCAACAATAAAATATCAGTTTTTACTTAGAATAAACTATGAAAATTTTCAAATACTTTTTACATAGTATTTTTCGTTGGTAGAATGATCATCCTTCTATCATATAAATAATTTTTCCTCTCAATAAATCAATGTATGATCCTCAGTTTAACTGATCAACTCGTTATGGATAATACACTATCGCTATAATAATCAAATATTTATCGACAAATGTGCATGAAATTCGGATATTAGTAAGTTAACACATCAATATAATGTAGTTAATTTAAAATGATAGCTGATAGTAATTGAACTCGTTTTCAAAGTAATGAATACTTTTATTATATCAGTTTCTATTCATGTAGTTGAATGAAAAAATTAAGAAACGAGTTTCAGCTTTTGTGAGCGTGGATCCAATTAACTAAGTATCTCATAAGTCACCCCTGTCTAGTATACATATATTCTTTAAAACCATCGAATATCTTACTCTCGGTGGCGTATTATGTCTATTCGAAATATGATTCTAGCATGAACAAATATGTTCAAAGTTGATTTCAGCGAAAAGATAACTAACATGTATCTATCTAAAAACAGAATATTCTTTGCGTAGTTTTTCTAGTCTTGTAGTTGATTTATCATTGGTCAGCGACCTCTTTTCATAAATATCACAACTGGTAACTAACTGAATAATATGAACAATTACAATGTGAACAAAAAAGAAAAAAGGAATAATATCAAACGATTGTAGTAACTTCTTCTTTTTCTCTTCTATGTTCATATGCCTGCAATGTCACATTCATTGTTACTGTTCACATAAGGCACATGTGCTGTTTAGGACCAAATCGTTCGATATTAACTATACTAGATGAAACTTTTGCATTTGATTCTAACGCTGAAATCTATAGAACATTGGAGAACAGTGATATTAAATCTAATGATATTATTGAATTTGCAAATGGTTGGTACGCCTATCCTGATCTTAATACATTCGATAGTCCTTTACTTCTCGCTACACTTACACTGCGCGTTCGTATTCATTTGATTAGATTTTGCGATGTTCACCATTTTTTCTTCTACAGAATATCAAACCATCAAAAGCTCTCTCGCCATGGAATACAAAACTAGATAATTCGACTACTATTCCTCTTACTGAAATCGGTATGTGGTTTATTCAGTGGTCACTATTTTTCGCTCAAACTGATTCTCTTTTTCGTATAGCTACGCGTCAATTAGAAGCATTATTTAATTTGTCACAATTGCTTTTTGGCTTAGCTCGAGGTGAACAATCAAATTATACATTTCGCGATTTACAATTGGGTCATCCACCACGCAGATTTCGTGAAGCAGGATTCAATAAATTCCGTAAGCATTTGTCACAGTCCTATCGAATGAATACGAAATATGAATGATCATCTGTTTAGCAAATAACAATAGATCGACTGATTTCTTTGGTACTTTTCAACTCATTGTCAATGATATACTCAAATCAGGCGCTATAGATATTGTTTATATGATGTACAAAGTAAGTCTCATCATACAACTGTTACTCGACAATGTTTATTCTATTGAAAGGATCCTCGCATTCGATGCGTCAAACAAAAATCTCTCGACTTATTAACGAATATAACGACCATCAACGAAGTCGGATATTTTATTCTCGATCGCTATTGTCAATTTCTTATTCAACTTATACAAGGTATTCGTGATGGGCATTTAATTGAAGAAAAGATTCCATCGTTATCTGTTCTCATACGTTTATGTAAAGTTATTGTTGAGAAAAATCTTCTTAACCATTATCAACATTTGATTGATATGCAATTCATTGATATATTGATTGATCTTTTTGAATATCAACAATATAAAACAAATGAATCGATAGTTTATTTTATAAAATTTGAATCGCTTGCTCTTCAATGTCTTTATATAATGCTACAATGTGCTTCTCATGTTGATATGTGGTCAGAAAGTAGGTTGACAACAAAACAAAAATATGTTTTTCTTGAATCAATTAATATTCTCTCTTTTTTCGCTCGTCGACGATAGAAGCTCAAATACGTTTAGTAAATTATTGTTGTACAATATTGTATAAATCAATTTTGGACGATGATGATGACGACAAATGTGACGATTATTCGAAACGAATAGAAATCAATCATATATTGTATGCTGAACAACATGAAATGACTCATTCGTTGAGTTATAGTATATTAACATTTCTGAGTATTGTTCGATGTCGAAAAGAGATCGGAAGGTTCTATCGTGAAAATGAACATTTTCGAGAATTACTGAATGCAATGAGACAAAAGTATAATTCAAGAAACAAATATCTATCACGAGATTCTTCCATATCGTCTGCGCTTGATCAACTTATCAATAGTATGTTCGATCGACATGAACTAAAAAAGAAAAAGAAATATTACTATCATCGGCATATTCATCTTCATTATTATCACACCTTAGATTTGTCGCATTTGCAAAAGGTTGCAGATCAGTGATACTTTTGTTTTTGTTATTATTGTTTTTTTCTTGTGTATGTATGATAACTTTATTATAAATAAATATTAATTAAACATATAATTTATGCATGAGCAATCGTTAACGCGGAATTTATGGATATAATAAAATGCATTCCTTTTCAGCTTTACCATTCGACGAAAGAAACACAGAAAGAAAAGTACTTGCAGTTTTATTTGCTTTGAAACTAGAAGTAATCGAATCAGATATGCGACAGTGATTAATTTCAGCTTGTTATTTGTCACTGAGAAAATCTAAGCAGATGATAACACAAGCATGTTTAAGTAAATATTTGAGTTTCTAAGAATTTATCAATGTGGTAGGATACTAGCATGCACTATATATATATCTATATATATATATAGAGAGAGAGAGTGAAATCACAGGTACCCGTATGTTTCATTGCTATTAAAATCACAACCAATACAAGTCGATGACGAGTTTTTTGCTTCTTGTTATTGCTACGGTAGTGCTTATTCTTGGAGTTGCTTCGCATGAGCACTTTGATAAGGTTTTCCTTTACACAGGATTCCATTTTTTTCTGAGTTCTATTCATCATATTGTTTATAGACAATGAAAATGTCTTCGTAGACAATGTGGATTTTAATGGTAACGATGAGCTTCATCCAAGTACTCGAGGCAAGATTACAATTCCACTGAAATTCATAAAAAGTGCAGTACATAATTGGTGGAGAACTGCTCCCTCTTCAGTCAAGAACTATTTCAAGCGTGAGGGTGTACTCATTGCTATGGATAAAGTGTTTGAGATTTCAGATAACATCAAGCAGTTTCTTTATAATACGACAATCAACTTGGGTGCTCGTAGTTCGACTGTATGGACTTTTTCGAAAGGTATAAGTGCCATTTTCTTACCTCGAACCGCACACAAGAAATGTCGACTAGTCCTTTTGAAAAATAAATTATGATGGCTACATCGATTCTTTTTGTTTTCATAAAATGACGCCAAATACATTACGAAGAGCAAAATTACAGCAAGAGTAATTCTTAAAAGGACAGATGTCAGATAGAAGTAATCAATCGATTAAAAGATTTTATCTTAATTTATCAGAATTTGATGGTTTTGTTTCTTAGATTTTTTAGTCTTATGATTTTTTTTTCTATCGTATCAACTGTAAAGCATAAGTTTTTGTCTTAAGAAATTGCATTTTTATTAGTTTACAAAGATTACAGTATTTCCTAGATATATATTTGTCAATTAGAAGAAACGAAAACATGATATTAATGCGTAGTTCACAGTAGGCTTAACTTTAGGTCTGATTGCATACATCTCAAGTGTACTTTTATACTTAAGAATGGCGCATACAGTCAACTTTAAACAATCAAAAGAACTTGGTTGAACTAGCTTTCTTTATGCAACTCATAATTACCCATACTTCTTACATTCACTATTAGTACGTATTATTTCACACTATGTATAAAATAAATGTGGAAACTTCGGATTTCATCCGAAAGTTATGTGTACTGCAAAAAGTGCATGGGATGTATGAGTCATTCTAGAATGTCTGAACACCAAAATTATCATGAGAAACTAGGTAATTTGATTTCTAGATGCAGTTTTTGTGCATTTTGAGACGTTTTTCAGGCGATGTTTCATCAGAAAGCTACGGTTTAGCTTAAAAATAATATCAGATTCGGAATTAGCGTTAAAAATTGAGTCGATTTATATATGTTGTGAATAATTCTGAGAAAGATTTATTTTTTGAAAAAATTCCCTGTACTCCTCCTCAGGGATGGCCTGGTCAAAAATGACAATTTTTTCGATAACTCAACCATTTCTTGAGGGATTCTGCTCATCTTCGAACTCGATCGAGATATTCATGAGATTGAACTGTGTGGAAAATTTCATCACGGCCTGACTCTCCTTTCGCAAGTTATTGTGCCTACGGGCGGCCGGACACACTGATCGATTCTAGAGTGTACTCACTTTTTGAGTACACAAAAAACGGATTAATAATAACTATTGAGGAGATAATGAGAAAAGTATCTTCTATCACCGGGTTGCAGAACTAATGGTAGTCGATATGAAGAGTATATGAACTGATCAGAACGCCATATATGATTAAATCTAGCCACCGAGAAATTTTGTTGACGAATGAAATTGATTCATCATATTCAAAATCTTGATGACTCTAAATTATTTTCGTTCACGTGGATTGAAATAAGTATTTTAACAGTAGTATCTGATATAACTCTGTTTTTTTTACTTTATTAGAAATAGAATGAAAAATTACTTCGTTCAGTAATTTTTACCTATACCAACCATCGCTATATTCCGATGAACACTAAATAAAGACTGCAAAGTTTCTTGTCCACAAGTGTCATTCTTTCACTTTCTTCATCCTTCCTTGGTTTGAGTTTTTTCAATTCTTTATACAGGACACTAACTTTGAGTGCACATCGCTGCCATTATCTAACTAACTTGTATATCAATTATAAAATTGTGAAAAACATCTTCGAAATGAATGAAATATTTCTGAGTGCATAATGCAATATATTTAAGTATGTTCTAATCATTACAACTTTTTTATGAGTTCATTCTATTGGTGTCTTGAATATATAAATTAAATATAATATAATTTCATCACAGTTAGATTCTAAATTTAGATGACAATGACTAACGATCTTTCTACTTGATTTCATGAAGATACTCTAAAAGAAAATACTTCGAACGATTTAATAGAAGCAAAAAAAGATTAATAATTAATGAAGAAAGAAAATGGCTATTTGCTTCGATGGAATGAACTATATTAATTATTTTAAGTTCTTATTCGTTTGAGCTCTATATCGAACAAACTTAATTGAATCCTCAAACAAGAGCGGTACTCTTAGTAGCTATAAATGGTTAGTGGCATCGCGTATCTGTTAATGCTCATTTACTTTTTGTCTATTCATTTATTTACATGATAATGAAACAGACGCAAAAAAACCAAACACAACGTCAATTATAAGACAGTACTAATCGCATCATTACATATCGATGTTAATGATCTATGAATTTGTTGAATATCGCTCTTTCTTTCCAATCCTGATGATAAACTTCGACCAATCAAACTTAAATAGCGTCCACTCAACGTTACGAAATCTTGAGCCTACGACAATATAGACAAATCATTTAAGGTCATTACGTTTTCAATAGAAAATTTACTTTTTCAATTTGACATAGAATTACATCTGGTTGACTTAAACTACCATATTTTATTGCGATTGAATTTCGATGACGACGAATTGATACGACATCATCGTACAGAATTGTAAACAGTGTTTCCTATAGTTGCATGAAAACAAAAACAGAAACAAACACTTTATCATGGAAAATTTCATCAGCTTACTCGAGTATCTAAATCAAGAAATACGATGCCATTTCGAGAAATACCAGAAAAACATGGTGATCGAATTGTTGGGTCATCGATTGACTAAAAGAATAAGAATATGTATAGATTGCTGAAAACAACAAATGATAGACCTCGACAGTGAAGAATGTTGTACCGAATAAAGGCCATGTTTTTATGAGATCTAAACACAATACAATAAGCTCAAAGCAAATCTGAAAAGATAATTATAATAATTACTTAAAAATTGAACTTTAGCCTCAATGATTGGCATCGATTCAACAAACGAACTTAATTTATCATGAATAGCTGTTGTCCATTCTTGAGGAGCTACACTTTTCAATTTCAATATCGTTGCGGGCAGAAGAGATTTAATTTCTCGCCTAATCAATACGAAGATTATCAAATAAACATTTCATACATATTTACATACATAGTTGGCAGATCAATTTTATTTGAAGCTCGATATTGAAGTGCAGCCATCAATGAAATTTCTTGCTACAAAAAAAGAAGGAAATCACACGGAAATACTTTCATCAATTCAAAACAAAGCCGTTTTCTTTTCTTACCACGAGCTCATCAGAGAGATGATTATTATTTAAAATGATCATTGTTCCTTCTAGTAGTTCTGGTATAAGTTGATGATACATGAAATGAATGAATGTTTCCGATTGATTATTAGTATTGAATGTGAATGGAATGTTAAACCAAAGAATGCGTTTCATCATAAAATGAAAATCTATCATATTGACTCTGAAACATTCATTGGTAATATCAAAAAGATATTCTCTTGAATCCAATAGACGCGCTGAGTGATCTTATTGAAAGAAAACTAATTATAATAAACGTCGAAACAAAAGGAATCTTTACCCGAAGCGCTGATAATAAAAATTGAATATTCATCCATTTCTAATGAGTTTGACATGTTAAGACGTTCACATAAAAGATTACGGCAATCATCGATTACCTATGGTATAAAAGTATCGCATTTGACTTCGATTCTTCTTAATCTACTTGCAAAACGGTTATAGAGTACTTAGAAACTTTTTATTTTTGGAGAAAATATTCCTTCGGCTTTGACTGGTTAAAGAATTGAGGAGCAAGTATTAGATTAGTTGAATTTTCATCGCACACAACTCACACGACTATAGTCTCTACCATATTAAGATCATAATATTTATTCGGAAGTTTTTCTCATAGTTCAAAGGTTGAAATTATCCTTTGAAAATTCAATCAGCAACTACACCCTCAAGACCACTTGAAATGTTGAAAATATTTGTGTAGATTTCGACGAAAAATTCTTAAAAGCATCGCCTATTAACTTAACATAATTTAATAATATTTTTGATAGAGTATCAATTGTTAGAATCTATAGTATTTTACCATTGATGGTGTTATCACCAAGGACAATGGATATCCACCTGGCAATATAAAAGGTTGATTTTTCCCAACATTTTCAGCATTCTAAAAAGTAAATGAACGCACAACTACTTTCTTACAATGCACCAGTAAACTTTTCTATTTACAGCTATTAGAAGATCGACTTCTCCTTTATTTGGTGGATTTTTTCGTCCGCCATATTTCAATGTTTGTTCATAATGTTGTAAACATAATAGTGCTATAGAAATAGACGCTAACAAATCAATTAATAAATAAAACCTATTTTACCTAGTTTTTCATTTTTACTTCGATTATCATGAAGATATTTTACAAAATATGGTTGTAAATGTTCACTTGGAATAAAATGATTAAGTATCAGTGCAAGTAATTTCCAACCGCGTTCTATACTATCAGTTTTTACACTTTTATTATCGGTTAATTGCTTTATTGTTTGACATAAAATTTCATCAATTAAACTTCGATGTTTATGCATATTCTATTTGAAAAAAAACGAGATACTTTAAGAAACAAAATCGAATCATTTAATTCATACTTTAAGAAGATAGTGAAGACAATCAATATCAGTTTGACCTCGTGACATAGTATGATCATTCATAAAACGCATAATAGCTAAATGCAAAATTCATGTGAATTGAAAAGTTTTGGCGAAAAATAAAAATTTACAAAGAAAACATTGTCGAACAATACGAATTGGATCCTTTGATGAATGTCGAAGCAGTGGAGTTTCAATTGGACTCTAAAATTTTTTATAAACTATCTTGAATGGAATATGACTAAAGGTCATTTCGAACGTGTTGACGCGAATAAATCTCAAAAACATATCAAACAATTTTCAAGTATTCTTTGAAATTTGATTCTTTCTATTTCGAAAAATCTAAGAATGAATGATGACTATCTTCCAAAACAAAAAGCAAACATGTGAAAATTCCACTTTACATTGCGAAATTCTTCAATAGTTCAGTTTTTGTATTCGCATGCAGTTAGAATTTTTAGCAAACTGTCGAAGATGGCGATTGTTAGTGAATTTTATCAAACAGTAAAATTCGAAAATTGTTCATATTCGTGTTTAGTAATTTTTCACAATGCCTAATAATGCACATAGACCGGTTCTATTTAGAGTCTCTACAATGAACTATTTTGTCCGTTAAATCAAGAAAGCAAAAAACAAAATGAGTACAGCTAATTGCAGAGAAAAATTCTTTGTAAAACGCAGAAATAAACAAAATATGTGATTGCTCTGTTGGTCGATTATCTTTTGAGGATTCTGCAAACGATGGTTTTATTTCGACGAACTTTTTGGATACACATGATTTATAACCATAAACTTACTTTAGACCATTTAATAAGTTCAGCATAATCTTGCCATGTCCATTCTAGGAAGAAAATAATCATTAATTTAATTGAGACAGAGCAGAATTATAACAATACCTGATGTTTTCCATTTTTTCTTTGATCGCCTAGAAAACTAAAAAGTTATAGACTTTATTTCAACAAACATTTTGAATAGTTTACCGTTTATTTGGAATTTTGAAATTTTGCAGAGCGAATTCCATCATTGAATGTCCAGTAGGTAATACAGAGAGACTTGAGCATGCCATATCATTTTTAGTTGGTTTCGGCGTATAAATTTCGAATGATGTTGATGGAATTAATTCACTGAATGTTTGACTATAACTCAATAAGCTAGTTTGACTTGACGATTTAAATAAATCACTCGTATTTGATAATAGAGGTGATGTTAATTTCTTTTAAAAGATAAAAACAGATAGATCACGAAAATTTATTTGAAATATTTCATAGGTGCTAAAACTCGTACAGACTAGTGTTCTATTTTAACGAAGAAAAATTCAATAGAAAATGCAATGTAGACTTCAAAAAAAGATAACACTGGTTTTTCGAAACCAAAAAGTTAAAGAGAATACTCTCTCAAATATGACTTTCGCCAATTATTGGCGAGTGTCCATCTCGCTTTCGCCAATTGGCGAATGTCCATGAGGTATAGTGATGAAAGTTAGCTGAACATTCGCCAATATTGGCGAATGTGTGAGGGACATTCACCAATATTCACGATAATTTACTCGAAAAATTCACTGTAATAACGACAGGCGTTGAACCATTCAACTATGAATCAAAAGTTTATGTATGTTCGGCAAGTCGGCAAGAACACAATAGAAACTGTATTAGAATAGGGAAGAGTCCATATTATATATAAATATAATCTGCTCTAATAATTCAAAATGTGAGGAAGTTTCGCCAGTATTGGCGAATGCCCACCTGACTTTCGTCAGTGGCGAAAGACCGATTGGCGAAAGTCATATTGGCGAACTTCGGGCTACTCATGAAATTATTTCTTGGCAAAACGAAGTAGATTTTTGATGATCAAGTTTTACAAAGTTCAATTTCAATGCTGAAAACTCTTTTTTCTTCTATTGTATTACGGCAAGCTAATCACCGTTGAATTGATCTAATGTATTCGAACTGTTCTCCATTCTGTTTGTCGAGTCTATGGCTGATGGGAAAATTTCGCTATTCATTATGATCAGTATTTATTTAGAAAATGAGAGTAACATTCTAAACGAGTATTTAAAATAGGTATAATCTTGAGTAGCTGCTTGTGAAATTCATAATGAGTCTCTCATAAATCATCGAAAAACTGTTCTTCTGATTCTTTAGAAATTTTGACCAGGGATTCTCTATAAATGTTTTTGAAAGGAAACTATTAAGTACCGCAAAATGCGATGAAAATAGAAACAGTTTTATATAGCATTCGGTATTTTTTTCTTTATCTGTATTTAAATACTGTTAGCATCAGTAGAAGGATTCAATACACTCTACTGTAACTATCTATGGAATCACTGATTTATATAAGATATAACTACTCAGCATTCGTATTTTACATAAAGATATTCTGAGTACCTATTCAAAATGAGAGTAACAATATTAATTTGTGTCTGTTTTTTTTCATTTATGAATAGAAATCTATTTGAACTTACTTGATTAGATCCATGAGATTCTTGTTTGTTTCCATCAGTTCGGTATTCTTGTAAATAATTTTCAATCATTTGTCTGACACATAGAATCTAATAATTACAAAGAATAAGTTCAATAATTAGAAAAATAGAAATCAAAAAGTAATTTCTATCATCCGTTTTGTTTTTCTATTGATAAATATTTTTCTTCAAGCTAGACGTTGCAAGAAAACTCTTATTTTCTTATTCACTTGTTGACCAAATTACATACTCGATGAGAACTAAGTGTAATACGTTTTTTCGATAGAGTTAACTCGATGGTTGAATCATTTCGAATCGGTGAAACATATTGAATCGTATCAAATGGAAATGTTTCAAGAACTTGTAATGCATCTTTCTGAGTTGTTGTTCGACTTTGTTTAACTAATCGAATACCACAATGTGATAAACCGAGAAATTGTTCTTCATTTGGATGAGACACGAACGTCTAAATTGAGACAAACAATAACATGCATATGCATATGAGTTTTGACTATACTGACAGATATTGGAAAGAGTCGACAGAAATAGATTGACCATTGACGTGCTTGTTCAATAATATCTTTTTTTGCTGACAATGTTTTTATTAAATTAATATCACTAATAGTTGCAACACCATGAGAAGCTAAAAAGAACGGATTAATGCTATCACTGGCACTTTTTTTTCTAGCTTACATAGAAATATCTTCATGTTTGTTCGTTCTGCTTCGCTTATACGAATACAGGCTGATGAGAATACATCATGTACAATTTGCAAATAAAGTAATTCAATTAAAAGTGGTTGTTCAAATGTTTCAGTTGGTGAAAATACCTAATGATTATATAAAAATAATTTTTGATAAAATCATCTTGATCTATCATTTTCTCTTTCGAATAAATAGATGTTTGCTCTTCTTGTTGTCTAGTAAGAATTAGTAATTAGGAGCTTTTGACTACGTATGATTTAAAAAATTATACGTTTTATCATGTGTTAGAAATTGAGATAATTCTTTTTTGCGTACTCAAAAGAAAAAGTGAGTACACTCTAGATTCGGTCAGTGTGTTCGTCGGGCCGTTAACACGATAACCTTTGAAATCCTCATCCAATTGCCATGAAATCTTGTACACATAATGATCTCATTAATATCTCAGTCGAGTTCGAAGATGAAAAGGATCCGTCAAGAAATGGCTGAGTTATCGAAAAAATTGTCAGTATTTACCAGACGATCCCTGAGGGCGGGGGGATACAGGAATTTTTTCAAAAAACCTTAGAATTATTCACAACATATATAAATCGACTCAGTTGTTGCAGTACACATAACAGTCGGATGCGAATCCGATGTTTCCTCATTTTTTTCTATTTAAAAATTCCATTAGAGATATCCGCAATTTAAACAAATCCCTCGGATTGAACGCTATGTAGTTATGTAATGCAAAACTGCTTTTTTGAAAAATCAATGATAAATGTAATAGATGGCCGATGCTTGACATTTTGATTGATATTTTTTGTTAATCCAGTGTGGTTCTTATTATTATTGTGACTAACGTAAGTAGGATGACTTCTAAGAATAAATTTTTGACTTATTAGCTAAACTTGTTGAATCGTTTTCTTGAATTACTTTTTTTTTTAAATTTTTCGATCAATTATTCTTATTATCCTACTTCAACAACAGACTAACTATTCATTGTAATCAGTTACATATCAGGATTGCTAATATCCTCTTTCATAGCATATTCCATCGAATTTTCCAATCACAGACATACTCACAAAAAAATGAGTACTGAAAAAGAATACTCTGCGAGTTACATCAAAGTAAATTTTAACTCAGTTCTTTTAGTCAAGAAATTTTAAGAATCTTATCGTTCATTAACATATACTTTGTTTAGTTAGTTAAAGTCTTTCAAATTCCATTCACGTATCATCGATTCTAAAGTAATAAAGTCTATTCAACGCCGCATCGTTACCTCTTTTCGAATTTTTAATTTCCATGGAATATCATTATAAGTTAAATAAGCAAGAGATTGTCTTGTTGATAATTTGCTTGTATTTATTTCATCAATAAATGGTGCAAGAGGATCTAAATGAACAGAAATAAAAAGATTATTTAGAAAAATTGTGTGATGAAAAGTTTTTAAAAAGAAAAAACATGCAGAATATCACGCCTGAATAGGATTGCGAAATATCTTGTGTAGTAGCAATAACAGAATCAGGAGTAATAGATGATAAATGATTATTATCAATATTATCCGCTTTTATTAACGATGTTGTTGTTGATGTTTCAATTAAAGATGATGGTGTTGTTTGACCCGATAACCAAACAAGAACATTACTAAATTTCTTTACATCAGATATTTTTACAACATCATTCACAGATGATTCTCGATGAGCTAAATAAGCTTTTAATTCTTTAATATAAGTTGGCGGTCGACGACGATATAAACGTTTTTTATTTGTAGGATTATTAAAATGACGTCGTCGTTTCGAACTTTTTATTGATGATTGAGTTAATTGTTCGCGACTTGAATATGAATTTGTATTAAGTAATGTTTGATATGTAAGACGATCATAAATATCTTCGGAGAAAGTTCGATCACGTATTGTTTGATTGATATCTTCCTCGTCAAGTATTGTTGGTAGTGCAGCTGATATCGGTGGGAAAACATCTATTGATGATCCTGATAGAATGGATGTGTTTTGACTAGTTGCACGTATTTGTTGTTGATTATTTGATTTTGAATTATGTGTTAAATCTTTATTTAAATCGTTAATATAATTCTCAAAATAGTTTATCAATTTACCAACTTCATGATTAGTATCAGTACGCATTTCGCTTTTCGAGTGATTTGAACGAACGAAAGAGTGAGAGAAAAGAAAGCAATTAATCAACTCATTATACAGTCGTGATCCGTATTGACACAAGGGGATAATCGTTGATTAAATAGAAAAGGTTATTCATACCTACAAATGATGATTTGTTGAGATGTTCAAATAAATTTTTACGAAGCTGATAACTTTCTTTATCAAGCCTAAAATTGATTTATGTTTAAATAAAAAACCTAGATATAATCAGTGTTGTTTTAAATACAAACATTAATCCGAATGATTTTTTGTTACGAAAAATCATTTCGTTGGCAGACGTATCATCATCATAGTCAGACAATAGAGATTTTTTATCATTGGAAATATGATCTTTTGCAATTTGTTCATTACCATGAATTTCTTCTTTAATACGACGTTGTATAAGTAATCGTCTGCAAAAAAATTAAAAAAAAAATTATTTTCATTGAAATACAAAGAAAACCTTTGCTGATTTGCATGATCAGTTTCGTCTGTATTGATTGGTGGTGGCCAACGAATTTTACCGACTCGTATTGTTTTAGCTCGTAGATTTTTATAACCTTCAGGCGAACGTCGAGTGAGAACGTGCGATGTTACTTTGATGGATTGCCTATTTAAAAGATTCAAAAGAGAGGAATTTTCTAAATTTAAATTAAAAGCTTTAGCGTGATAAATTCAATCTTTGAAAACTTCGATTTAGATTATGAATCAAGATTTCGATGATATTGTGGCATGAAATTTTCAGCCGTTTCAAATTTCACAAAGTTCAGATAGACTATCAAATGCAGCAAAGATAAAATGTCATAGGTTTAGAATGACAATTTTTCAGTATATATATGAAAGGATCATCGATGGTGGCAGAGAAACTCGGAAAGTATGGGGACAGCTCAACTGTACAGTTTTCTGAGAAAAAATACAAACTTTTAAGATTATAATTGAAAAATATCCCTACAAGAACTTTCATAAGTACTACTGCTAAAAAGAAAACTTGATAGATTTTTAAAAAAATCATCATTTTCTTATTTGTGAAAATTTAGAAAAATCTCTCGAATCTATGCAAGAACTCTTCTGGTGTTTAATATATTCTTTTTAAATGTTTTATAAAATTTTTATTTTTACTTATTATTCGTCACTGAATATGTTTTAGATATTTCTGCTTGTTGTTGTTGTTGTTCATCTTTGGTTGAGATTATAGTTTTTTGCATAAACATATTTGATTTATTTTGATTTTCAATTAGTCTGCCTTGTGTTTTTAATTGTGAATTTATTGGTGGAATAAATGGATTATTCGAAAGAAATTGTGAAATCATATTTGATGATTGAACTAGAATTTTCCTGAAAAACACATTCAAAATGACGTATCAATACATGATAACTCACTAGATACTTTATTCGCTTGATTGCTTTGATCGATCTAAAAATGCAAGTTATAAATAATTAAAATGATTTTATAGAATGAAAATAGATTTCACTCTATTGTTGTCGATTGGTTGTTGTAGATCAATAGAACGATATTTTCTTTCGCTAGTATCAATTAGAGTGGTACAACGGCGTGTGTAATTGAACTAACTGATGTCTCAAAACCAACAGCAGGACTAATTGAAATATAGCTGTATATTTCTACCGTTCTGTAATGAAGAAAAAAAGATCATTATCGATAGTAGATATCTCTCATATGAATTTCTCAAAAGCAACAATATGTCGAGTCTACATTACTTTCCACTGTCACTTAGTTTCATTTTTAACTGACGTCTTTCTGTATGTTCATTTTGCTTGTTTTTCTTAATCAAACAGACAAATTCATTTGGATCGCATTAACCTAAAGTTAGAGATCCTACTAATTAAGCACGATAACTAGAGAAATTTGCTAAAATTACCTAATACTAACGTTCTACGATTAAAACGGCCCTTGAGATTTTGTTTTGAAAATTTAATAACGTCAGAGAGAAGAACGCAGATTTAGTATTTAAACAAGTTATTGTTAGTAATGTTTTCAATGTTGTACAGATCTTTAGAGGTAAAGAATCTCAACTTGTTACTCTAGCATTACTGCTAAGTAACTATATGAACAAATGACGGAATCGTCTTTTTCTTTTGTTGACCATCTGCACTCAAATGTCTTAAATATTGACATAATAATGATCAATCATTTATCCTACCAATTGTTTCAGAATAATGTACACTCAAACATATCATTTGAATAATGTAATCGATTCGTATCAGTCTTGCTTTCATAAGATCTATTCGATGGAACAGAAATCGCACAAATAAACATTCTGTTAACCATAAATTGAATTATCTTATTCTTACACAAAATCTAGAATAGTAAAATTTATCTTATTGTTTTCATTATATATATATATATATATATAATGATGAATAAGATCAAAAAATCTATAGTTCTATGCAATCAACTATCAGTTACGGTCAACACTAAATTGAAGTTAATATCATTGGTTTAATGAAATCTAAGTGTTTCGTAGCTTTCAAAAATTAATCTTACGCTATAATTAAATATAAAATAGAAGAATAACTTGATTGGAATAAAACGTCAGTTGAATTGACACAAATTTTCTTCTAACTAGCAAATTGAATCTATTAAATAACCTCAATCGGACATTCAGTCAAATAATGATCATCGGATAAAAATGAAATGTTCTTTTTTTGTGTCGTTTCATAATGTCAATATTGAATGATGATGTCATACATAATTTACTTTTATTGTGAAATACAATTAAAAACTCATGACACAGGGAGATAGACTTGACCATTAGTTCTGTGAACTCGTCTACTAAAGAATAATATGGAAAGAAAAAGAAGGATTTCCGATAATTCATGTTAGTGCGTTGAAAGTTAAAGATCAATTCCTAGACTGCAGAATCCTTTGATATATTAATATGCAAATCCATTCTGCTTGACAATTGAATTTCTCAACGAATGCGCTGACTGAATTTATTATTAGATCAATTTTAGTGTAATTTTTTTCCAGAGGAATAACCACATGAACGTTCTTTGAAAAATTCTTGTTTTCTTATTAAATAAGTGTTAAGTAATTAATCATCAACATTATGTACACTACAGATCAATAGGATTCATCACTAGAATTAAATTTAAAAGAAACTACAAAATACACTAATACACCATCGAATATAGAATGTTTTTGTACTCATTGTAATCGATGGAATATTAATGGTAATTCCTATAGTAAGCAGAATCGAGTGGGTTCTCGTGCTTGATACTATTGAAACATTTTCTATTCGAATGAGAAATAAACTAGCAACGGTCATTTAGTAAACTAAAATATATACGAAATAAAATGTAACAACAATTCACAGATAGAATATACACTACAGGATGCTAGATTAATACCAAATGCATCGCATATTAGAAGATTGAGCTGATAATTCAATAAGATTTTTGACGATAATAAATTGCTTCTTCTTAACTATGATATAAATTAAGATTGCATATTTTCAATGTTTTTCTTTTACGATGAAGCATGGTAGTACTCATTTTTAAATTGAAATCGCAAAAAAAAGATACCTTATAAATTGTATTAACAATCAACCAATAAAGAAAAAAAAATCGGGGGTCGGTGACAAGAGAGAAACTTTTATTTTCATTTTATTTTTTTCCGATTCATTTTTATATTCATTAAACAATCGCAACCAAGGATAGATACAATACAACAATAATAACGACAATCGTAGTTTCGTTATTTTTTCTCTACATTAATTGATATATATACATAATAAACAATGTTTATATCAATTCAAACAATATGTACTTGCCATGGATATCTTCTATTTGAATCGCTCCATTGTGAACGATGTCGTTCACTGATTCCATTTCAACTTACAGATGAATCTTTACTTGATCCAGTAGCAACACACAATATCACTAATGCGATTAGTGTTGATAATCAAGGTAAACCACCACCCGGTATGCTTGTACCATATCGTCAACAACAACAAAAACCAACAACAACAGGACGTGTTCGATTTCGAGTGTTATGTCCATTTTGTAATAGTTCAACATTTATTATACGTTACTATTGTAAACGTGAACGAATTTACTATCATTTACGTATACAAAACCGAGGTGAAAATGAACAAAATATATATAAATCAATAGCTGATACACAAAATTTGATAAGTATTGATGAATATGGAATAAAACGTGATCAATCAGAAAATTCACCGGTCGATAATGCTGATGATTCATATTCACTAAGAAGTTCAACGTCACGATCAGCACCAACAACTGTTATATATGATCAAAATGGTATATCGAATGCAAGAGAGAAACAAATTGAAAATGAACGAAATCTATATGGATTCAATGAACTAGAAGGTGATCTATTTAGCGTATTAAGAAATGGTTTATTTTATGATACACTAATTCAATGTCAGGATGATGTTAAATTGCAAGTACACCGATGTATTCTTGGTAAGAAGAACTATATTAATAGAAGCGAAACGAAATGAAAAAAAATTCTTTGCATTGTTTTTCTTTTGTTTGAAAGGTGGTCGATCATCATGGTTTCGTCATCTTCTTGGTGAATATCATGATTCAAATACAAATGATGATTATGTTTTACAAATAAGTATCGATGATATTTCTTCCGACGTTATGAATGAAATATTAAATTTTATCTATACAAATCGTTGTTTAATTAGTTTAAAAAATGCAGCTGATTTATTAATAGCAGCAAAACGATTTGAATTAGAAAAATTGAAGTCACAAATAGCTGATTTTCTTTTGTATCGTTTAACAATTGATAATGCTATTGAAATGTTAATAGGTGCACATGAAGCTGGTTCCGATGCACTTAAAACAGCATGTATACATTTAATTAATCGAAATGCCGAAAAAATTAAACGCACAGAAAAATGGAAAGCATTTAAATCCCAGTATATTGATCTTATACCTGAATTATATGAAAATCGAGTTGAAAATCCAACACCTGTACCACAAGCATTCTTACCTGATGTTTTTACACCACAAACATTTCCGTCCGATTCCATACGTGCATTAAGTCGATTATATGAAAATCCCGTACAGCAACGAATTGCAACACCTCGTGGTGGACGTCGACCATCAAGATCTCGACAAAGTATTCCACCTCATCTTTTTAAATCAATGGAATTAGCTCAGCCAAATGAGTATGCAACAGACATGCCTACTGGTTCTTATCCACAAAGAATACCGAAGAATATTCGAAGATCTTCGCCGCAAAATGCGCGTACTATGTTACCAAATATTCGACAAAACTCAGAAGTTGATGTTTACCGCCGTCCAGTTAATCTATTTGAACCAAGTCAAACTATACCAGCGAATAATCAACGCACTTTCTATACGAATGCTCCACGAAGAGGAGCACTTAGAAAAGCTGGCTCACCAAGATATCCTATCAATGCTCCGAGAAGTCCACCCATAGAAAATACACAGGCTGATGATGATATAACGTTAACACGAGTAGTTAGTATAGAACCTGCTGACTAATACTTATTTTCAAAAACAAACTTACTTGTTTAAAAGTATATTCCATCGTCATTTTTGTGTGATGTTAAAATAAATAAAAAGTTTTGTTCATTCTTTTCTCTCTCTCTATTCTTGTCTATATGACATAGGATCAAGTAAATGATGTCAACAAAACAGAATATATAGAGATTTACATCAAACGAAATAGGTTAACTGTATATTTCACACTCGTCGTCAGAGCTTCTCGTGATTTTTTTTCTTATTGATAGATACCGACTGTTTAACAATCAAATAAAATATCTATGATTACTTACTATGTTATGTTTAAAAGTTTTTTTTCTGCATTCAACAACTAATTTAACAACGAATACAGCTGGTAAGTATTGAATAATTTATAGTCATATCTAAGAAAATGTCCTCCAGTATCTCTCTCTCTCTCTCTCTCAGTATTTTATTTCATGTTTGTTTTCTTTTTTCTATAAGAATTGTTTTGGATATGAATGATAGGTTTTCAATGAATCAATCGAACTATTGACAAATGAATTCGTTTCGATATTGAAAAAGTACAATTACGAAGAACATTGCAATTTTGTTAAGAATTGAGTTTAATATTTACCATGTTGAATGATTTATTGATATAGAGAGAATGAAAAGTAATTGCAATTGATAAATTTGTTCAATTCTTCTTTTTAACTTATATGTTCATATTAGAATAAACACAAATTAGAATATACTCAATAGCGATTGTATCGTTCAATCAGAACAATTTGAAAACTGTGTCGACATTTATCAATGATCAATAATAGTATCATAATTATGCTGAACAAATATATCGTTTTTACTTTTTACTCGAAAAATCAATTAAAAGCCTATTATACTGTTCTATTGACCTTTTGGCTCATTCATTTTACTGTGTTTGTCTGGCTCCAACGAACAATGTTTATTCAAATATTTCTTTCGTAACAACAAATATCTCTACACAATGAAATATAAGAATTACTTCTACGGTACATTCAATAGAATATTAAAAAATATTTATTGTCGTCATAAACACGAAGCTATTCGGAAAAGAGAGCATTACTGTTTGTCAATGCAACCAAAATGGTAATTTTAATAACGTTTTGAACGAACAATATAGAAATGAAATCTTCTCGAAAAAGTGTCTGTTAGTCAGATAAACTACAATTAAAACTTGAAGTCTATTGTCAACACTAATCGAATTCAATGAATGCTTACTGCAATAGTCATTTTCTTCGGGTTTCTATATAGAATAAAGGTTTTATGTCACAACAGCCGCCAGTTAACTGCAATTGTTCGACTTGAATTTCTTCCAAATCTTCGTTAGCAGCGTTCTTTTTTCTTAATTTTAGAAGTCGTCAAGCGACGTACAGTACTATTCAAATCGATACTTTTACTTTTATGACTTTGATTTTGTTTTTAGTGGTTATGTATATATAGATGGTGCCCTAAAATTATTCATCGGTGGAAACATAAAACCAATAGAAATCACTGTAGCGTGATCCAATCCAATCCAATTGTTAATACATTGTAAGAATAAAAACAATTATCCAATGATTATAAGAAAATAAAGGTGGCGCCATATGAAACCTATCAAAAGTTATATAGAAAATTGTAATGGAAAGAAAATTTTAGAAAAATACTGCGGTTCGGAAAAAGTTCAAGAATTCGAATAAATGCGGAAAGTCCGAAAGGCAGTCGGAAAAAACTTAGAAAATTCGGAAAATTTCGACTAATTCGGACGATCTAGCAACCTTGGGTATATGGGCGCCCGGTTGGCGTATTTGGTTATTCTTCTTACGTAGTGTTACTCCATTATTAGAGCGGTGGTTAGCTAAATCTATTATCACGACAACTCGAAGGCCGTCATTCCAAAGCTATTGCTAAAACCGTTACAAAACAACGAGTCGAACACATTATGATTTGGAATTACGTGCTGCTGTTATGCATGATATATTAGATATGATGCCGGAAAGTATAAAACAAAACAAAGGTCGTACGACATTACAACATTTAAGCGAACCATGGCGTTGTTGGAAAGCTAGTATACCAGGGAAAGTACCACCTTTACCTATACGTATTGAAAATAGGATAGTACGGTATGTTAAAGCCAAAGCCGATTGGTGGACATCAACAGCACATTACAATCGAGAACGTATACGACGTGGTGCAACGGTTGATAAAACAGTTTCCAAGAAAAACTTAGGTCGATTAACACGCCTCTATTAAAAAGCTGAACAAGAACGACAACATAATTATCTTAAAGACGGTCCTTATATAACAGCCGAAGAAGCTGTTGCAATTTATACAACTGTTGTACCTTAGCTTGAATCTCGACGTTTTTCACCAATACCATTTCCACCATTGGCATACAAACACGACACGAAATTACTCATTTTAGCATTAGAACGTTTGAAAGAAGCTTACAGTGTTACATCAAGATTAAATCAATCATAGCGTGAAGAATTAGGTTTAATTTAGCAAGCATACAACAATCCACACGAAGCATTATCACGTATCAAACGTAATCTTCTAACACAACGTGCATTTCAAGAATGCGTAATTGAATCTATGGATTTATATAGTCATTTAATACCGGTTTATAATGTTGAACCATTAGAGAAAATTGCTGATGCTTATTTAGATCAATATTCATGGCATGAAGCCGACAAACGTCGACTTCTTCCAGCTTGGATTAATGCGGCTGATAGCGAACCACCACCATTGCTTGTTTACAAATGGTGTCACGGTAAGACACTTACAAACTATGAAGAAATATAATTGTTCTCTGTGTTTCAGGTATAAACAATCTTCAAGATATTTGGGATACAAATGAAGGTGAATGCAATGTATTGCTTGAATCTCATTTCAAAAAAATTTACGAAAACATTGATCTTACATTATTCAATCGTTTACTTCGTCTTATTGTTGATCATAACATTGCGGATCATATGACAGCAAAGAATAACATTGTACTTAATTATAAAGATATGAATCATGTTAATTAATATGATATTATTCGTGGTTTACAATTTGCATCATTTTTTGTTCAATACTTTGGTCTTGTACTCGATTTGCTGGTATTAGGTTTACAACGTGCATCGGATATGACTGGTTTACCACAAACATCCAATGATTTCTTAACATTTCAAGAAGTTATCATTGAAATAGAACATCCAATACGGCTTTATTGTCGATACATTGATCGTATACATATGTTCTTTCGTTTTACAGCTGAAGAAGCCCGAGATTTAATTCAACGTTGTTTAACTGAACATCCTGATCCAAATAATGAAAATATTGTCGATTATAATGATAAAAATGTTGGTCACGTGCTGCACGCATGGAGCTAATGAAACACGATGTTAATTTAGGCCGTGCTGTCGGTTGGGATACTAAAAACCGTTTACCACGTTCAGTTACAACCAGAGATCAGAGGCAGAATTTTCTACACCGCGGCGAGCACGAGTCGACTCGCCTATACTAATGATGTTATTTTTTGATGAATAAATGGAAAATTTTCAGCAAAATCTTTCGTTTTTATTTTAATTGCTTCTAAGCGTTCCCATTTGTAGTGAAGTTTATTGCATTGGTACAGTAAATTAGTGTACAGGGTGCCTCAAAAGTCAGGTAATAAACAGAGAACTGTATATCTCCAGAGTTATGATCAGATGAGCTGATTCTTTTCATGATGGGAGAGGATACTTACAAGTTTTTATTCATTCAGCAGTAGCTTGTTAACACACCCTCAATCTAGCATCATCTACTTCAATATGGAATTTGGTCGTTTTTTCTACACACCTCTATCAGTAGTCAATCACAAAAAATAGAAACGTATCCTATAGCTTATTTGCAAATTCCATTTTGTTGAGCTTGTTAGGATGATCATTTTAGTAACAAAACTTATTCTATTTTCGTCAAGAAATGACAGCATCAGAGTCTAAATACTAAAACCTGGCGCGTCGCTTCGACCACAATAGATGTGACCGGTCTAGTTTTTTGACGACCGACACTATTTGCAGTCTTCCAGTATTTTGACTCGCAAAACATCTTTCCTTGATGAACATAGAGCATTTTTAAACTAAAACTATTAGTAAAGAAGAGCTCTAAAAACTACATGTATGATTTGTCAATAAGTTCTTGAATACCTTTGCTTTTTTGTTCACTATAACTCATAAGAGAACTTTATCAAATTTTAACTTAAGTCACTAGTGCTTCCAGATCTTTTCAGTTCAAATAGATTTGAGAGGAATTTGTGAAGTTAGATAGAATAGAGAAAACTACAGCTTTCAAACGAAGTATTCTACAGTTTTGAAAATCTAAGAACAGGATTTCGCATCTGATTACAGAAACCCCAAATCTATTGTTTATCTTTGGCACAAATGTGATTTTTTCTCTTTTAAATGAATGATAATAATGCTAAGTGATGGTATTAAATCTTTTATTGATGAATAAAAATTTTGAAATATACTGTAACATTAGGAAAAAAATCAATTCATTTGATCATAATCCTGTGCAGATATGCAGTTTTCTTTTTGTTAGGTGACTTTTGGCATACTCTGTATATACATATATTCTATTATTCAGTCTAGTTCAACAATTGCAGCACTGTAGTTCACAATGCATTGTTTATACGCAGTAAAACTTGAACGATTGTTATTTATTGGATTCTCATTTATATTTTTGTATTTTTGAACTTATTTCAATGTATCAAATGCTCTTTATCTGATTGTTATGGGTGGTTGAGAAACTGTCTAAAAATAACTATTTTGTTATCAAATTTAGACGAGGCGAGGCGAGGCGGTGGCGAGTCGCTTTTTTGACTGACTCGCGGATCTCTGGTTACAACCATTCTATGGGAGACAAGTTTTATTTCGGTTTATTCGAAAGATAATCCAAATCTATTATTTAATATGTGTGTTTTTGAATGTCGTATATTACCAAAAATACGAATGACACATGAAGAATTCGTACATAAAGACGGCGCTTGAGATTTACAAAATGAAACAACGAAAGAACGTACAGCACAATGTTTTCTACATGTCGACGATGAATCCATGAATCGTTATCACAATCGGGCACGACAAATTTTAATGGCATCAGGTTCAACAACATTTAAAAAGCTCGTCAATAAATGGAACACAGCGCTAATTGGTTGAATGACTTATTTTCGAGAAGGTGTTGTTAATACACAAGAATTATTAGATTTACTTCTTAAATGTTAAAACAAAATTCAAACACGTATTAAAATTGGTTTAAATTCAACAATGCCATCTCGATTTCCACCCGTACTCTTCTGCACACCAAAAGAATTGGGTGGTTTAGGTATGCTATTCATGGGCCGTGTTTTTATACCACAATCTGATCTTCGATGGTCAAAACAAACCGATGTTGGCATCACACATTTTTGTTCGGGGATGAGTCACAACGAAGATCAACTTATTCCAAATTTATATCGTTATATTATGCCACGGGAAGCTGAATTCATCGATTCACAACGTGTTTGGACTGAATATGCACTCAAACGACAAGAAGCGATTACACAAAATAAACGTTTAACATTAGAAGATCTTGAAGATACATGGGATCGAGGCATTCCACGTATTAATACTCTATTTGAAAAAGATCGACATGCACTTGCTTATGACAAAGGATGGCGTGTACGAACTGACTTCAAACAATATCAGGTAAGCTAATCTTGTGACATATAGTTATAATATTGTTCATTTTTATTTAGATTCTCAAACAAAATCCATTTTGGTGGACCCATCAACGGTATGTGTACATGTTTCATTCATTTTCCATACTTCATAGTATCACTTTAGACACGACGGAAAATCATGGAATTTAAATAACTATCGTACCGATATGATTCAAGCATTGGACGGTGTCGAAGGCATTCTTGAACATACACTTTTTAAAGGGTTTGTTATCGAAATTGTATTTTCTGATGCTTTGACATTTTCTAGTTTAGAACGTATTTTCCAACATGAGAAGGTCTTTTTGGGGAAAAAGCGTCTGGTTTCGAAGAATCTATGCGTTGGAAAAAACTAACCAATGCTCAACGTTCGGGTTTAAATCAGATTCCAAATCGTCGTTTTACATTATGGTGGAGTCCGACAATTAATCATGCTAATATCTACGTTGGTTTTCAAGTCCAACTCCATTTAACGGGTATATTTATGCACGGAAAAATTCCAATTCACGAAAGTGTTGTTACGGATCATTGGTAAGAAAAAACTCCGTTTAAAATAAAAATTCTTTTTTTCGTTGTTTTTTAGTCAAATTTTCGATCAAGAATTGGATGCATTAGAAGTCGAAACTGTACAAAAAGAAACAATCCATCGAAGAAAATCCTACAAAATGAATTCATAATCTGCATGTGAGGTTTTTCGAGGTATCGGCGTTCACAAACCACGATATTCTCCTATTTGCTGCCTATAAATGGAATATCAGTAAACCATCATTATTAGCTGATTCGAAAGATGTTATCGACAATACAACATCTAAAAAATACTGGTTCGATGTTCAATTACATCGGGGTGATTATGATTCACATGATGTTGAACGTTATGCTCGTGACAAATTTCTTGACTATACAACAGACAACATATCAATTTATCCATCGGCCACAGGTGTCATGATTGGCATTGATTTAGCATATAACTTACATAGTGCATTTGGCAATTGATTTCCTGATTCTAAACCATTAATACAACAAGCTATGGGCTAAAATAATGAAAGCAAATCCAGCTTTATATGTATTACGTGAAGGTATACGTAAAGGTTTACAATTATATTCATCCAAGCCAACAGAACCCTATTTATCGTCACAAAACTATGATGAATTGTTCTCCAATCAAATTATTTGGTTCGTCGATGATACCAATGTCTATCGTGTCACAATTCATAAGACCTACGAAGGAAATTTAACAACGAAACCAATCAATGGAGCCATATTTATTTTCAATCCACGTACTGGACAATTATTTTTGAAAATTATTCACACATCTGTGTGGGCCGGACAAAAACGTTTAGGACAATTAGCTAAATGGGCGACAGATGAAAAAGTTGCAGCTTTAATTCGTTCATTTCCATTTGAGGAACAACCGAAACAAATTATCGTTACCCGTAAGGGTATGTTGGATCCATTGCAAGTACATTTACTTGGTAAGTTGATTTTCGTTTGTCGCAAAAAGTTCTAAATTCTTTCTCTCCTGATAGATTTTCCAAATATCGTCATCAAAGGCAGTGAATTACAATTACCATTTCAAGCCTGTCTTAAAATCGAGAAATTTGGTGATTTGATTTTGAAAGCAACTGAACCACAAATGATTATATTTAATCTATACGATGATTGGTTGAAATCGATTTCGTCTTATGCAGCATTTTCACGTTTGATTCTTATTCTTAAAGCACTGCATGTTAATAACGATCGTGCTAAGATGATTTTAAAACCCGATAAAACAACCATCACTGAAATTCATCATATATGACCAACATTAACTAACGATGAATGGATTAAAGTCGAAGTTTCATGGAAAGACTTAATCCTAGCTGATTATGGTAAAAAGAACAATGCCAATGTTGTATCATTAACACAAAGTGAAATACGTGATATTATCTTGGGTATGGAAATCAGCGCCCCCAGTGCTCGACGACAACAAATAGCTGAATTTGAAAAACAATCGAAAGATACATCACAATTAACAGCAACAACGACCGAAACAGTTAATAAACATGGTGAACGAATTATAACAGCAACAACGAGTAATTATTAAACACAAAAATTTGCATCGAAAACTGAACGGCGTCTGCGAGCTATTTCAGCAACAAACTTGCATTTAAGCACAAATCATACCTACGGTTCATCGGATGATGTTAAAGAAATACGCTATCGTTATAATTTACCGAAAAACGTCCTTAAAAAAATTCATCATAATCTCCGATCTTCGTACACAACTGAGACAATCCATTGAAATTTTCACAAATAAAAACAATCTATGTTACATTTCTGGTTATTTATATTGTGTTAGTCCACCAGGTATTCCACAAGTTAAAGAAATTCGTTGTGTCGTGTTAACACCAAAAAAGGGCGCACAGATCAAACTGTTCATTTACCAAATATACTACCGCGACGTGAATATCTTAGGGTAAGAAAATGAAAGTGAGTTTTTTCAATGTTCTATCGTGTATTACGTTTATTAAATAGCATATAGAACCACTTGGATGGACTCGTACTCAACCCAATGATTTACCACAATTATCACCGCACGATATCACAACGCATGCTAAAACAATTGATGCTCATGCATCATGCGATGGAGAAAAAACAATTGTTATAACATGTTCATTTACACGGCGTTCAGTTTCATTGAAAGCTTATAAATTAACACCAACTGGCTATGATTGGGGTCGATCAAATACTGACCGTGGAAATAATTCGAAAGGTTTGATTACTTCAAAAAAAAAGTAATTTTTATACAGTATTCTTTTTCAGGATATGCACTGGCGCACTATGAAAAAGTTCCATTGTCAGTATCCGATCGTTTCTTGGGATTCTTCGTGACACCAGAACAAGGTTCATGGAATTATAATTTCATGGTGAGTCGAAATTCTTTTCATTTGTTTTTATAGATTCATTTGTATTTTTTAGGATGTTAGTCATGATGCAGATATGAAATACGATTTAATTTTATCAAGCCCAAAAAAATTTGATGATGAACTTCATCATTCATCGCATTTCATGAACTTTTCGAATGAAGAAAATTCGGACACATTTTCAACTGATCGTGAAGATCGATTTAGTTGAAAACACATCGACCCGGTTATTGATTATTGTATAGTTTGGCTTCTTTTTTTGTTTGTTTTTTGCCTTTTGCTGTTGTTCTTTTCTTTGTGAGATAATGAATTGTCATGAGACTTATTGAATAAGTTTCATCATGAAGAATGTTTTGAAAGATTTTTTTCTGTTCGTGTATTGCAGATTTAATCGTTTTTAGTAAGAAGAAAAAGACTATGAGTGAACAAATCGATGCAAGTAAGAATAATGACGCCCCGAATACGAATGAAAATTCCGCGGCACCTAAAACGTCGACACTTGATTTAACGATCAAAACACCAAAAGATGAAAAGGATATGTTAATTGATGCATCTTCAACTGTTAAAAAGGTGGCTATTTATATTTTTCTTTGGTAATAATGATTTTGTGTTTCTGTCTATTAGTTAAATGATATAATGGTACATGAATTTACTACATCAATCGATCAAACGAGTACGACATATTCGGGTGAGATTGGAAAAGACGATGATGATCTCAAACAACATGGTAAAACGGCAAACGTCTCTCGTTTAAAAAAGAAACGAATCCCTAATCGACTCTCCCCCAACGACCCCCCGGGGAGTCCCTGTAAAATAACGAAATCCCTGGGGAGTCCCTGCCGTGAGTCCCCGGGGATTTCTCTGGGGAGAATTGATAAAATTTTTTAAAATAAAAAAAACTTTTTAATTTTTTTAATTTTTAAAAAATTAAGAAGAATTTATTAGTAATTAGATATTTCATCGATTTTGACCAGATAACGCCCCGGGGAGTCCCCGCAAAAGAACGAAATCCCTAGGGACTCCCTGGGGATTCTTCTAGGGAGAGTTGACTAGGGATAACTGATTACTGTCCTGTTCAACATTAAAAGTTCTTAAAACAAATAGATGTTTTTTTGTTCAATTTCAAACAATCGTATACGACTGATTCATTATTTGTTTCAACAAAAAAATTTTTTTTTCATCCACTGATTTAAAGTTGTCCTTGCAATCATGGTAACATTTAACTAATTTTTCAAAACAGAAAATTAAGAATACTTTTTTCTAACTAATGACACTGGGAACAGTAGAAAAAGCCATCAATTTGCTATAGAAGCTATCAAGGCGTCATTTAGTTTTTCTTTCGTTGAAAATCTCTTTCGCTATTATTAGGAAGAATCAAACCGACTTTTTTCTGGATCGAGTTCGGGTTCGGTTTGGTACGTTTTCGGTCACTGGAAAGAATAAAGAAAATGAATTGAAATTGTGTACTTTTATATATATATATTAATTTTGTTCTATTTTCTTGTGTTAATTAGCTGAAAATGATACGACAAATAAACAAGCTTCATCCACAACTTGCACTGATTCAATTGAAACATTTCAATTAAATTTTTATCGTGTACATGTTCATTTCTTATTTCCGGAAAACGAGAAAAAAGCTATATACGAACGCTGTTGTGAAGTAAAACGATTTTTGACAAATCTTCTTTCAGTTGATCCTCGTTGTACCCAAGTATGGGCAAATATTATTGCCGATGCTTATGAAAAAATTTCATTTGATTCAACGCGATCAGAAATTCATAACCTACTTTTCACGAGATCAACTATCCCAACATCTAGGCTACAAGAATTGATTGCAACAAGAATTATTATCGCTGTTGTTCATCCTGATGCACCGGTAAATCCATCAGTTCTTGATCCAGTTCGAACCAAGGAATATGCTACAACGACACGATTTGAAGATAAAGCTTTAATTGCAATCAATCCAATGGTATTTAGCAGTGAAACAACAAGTAAACATTTCATTATTATAGAATTGTCAAACAAAAACAAGGATCAATTTAGAAAATTGACTATATATTTTTTTGTTTCAGTTCACGGAAGTCGTATTTCTCACGAATCGTCGACGCTATTTTTGGCTATTCTATTTTTACATGAAATTACTCATGGCGTTAAATATTTTAGCCAAAAAAATAAAACTACACCAGAACTACCATTTTTTAAAACATATTCAAGTCCTGATGAACACGATGGTGGAAATGCATTGGAACATGAATTGCTGTCTGGTGAAATCCATATTAATCGTGATTCCACACATACTGACGTGGACTTGTTTATCCTTGATGAAGATGGTCGAAATTTTAAACTGTCGCCCTCAGATATTAATGACTGCTTGTCAAAGAATAGTCTTAAACCATTATCATCATTAGTTCATCGATTACGATTAAAACGTCGCCGTTCGAATGATGGCAGAAAAATTCAATGCAATTATTCCGAATCGCCTGATCTCCAAAAAGAAAAAAACGATCAAGAACTCGTACCTCTACTCCGCTATCATACGCGAAGAATTGTTTTCCAAGAAACTGATGATGTTGATACAAATGAATCGTATGAATCGTTGTTAAAGTACCACTGTGAAGGACATAATGACCAAGCGCAATCCCCAGATGATTCACTACTATATGTTTCATCGGATGATGTTAATGGAACAGGTTACCGTTATATTTTACCGGAAAATATTTAAAAAAAATTATTGTTATATCCGATCATCGTACACAAGTAAGACATTCAATAGGAATTGGCAAAAAAAACAAATAATTTATTTTAGATTGCTGGCTATTTATATGGTGTCAGTCCATCAGATAATCCTCAAGTTAAAGAAATTCATTGCGTTGTTTTACCACCACAATGGGGTAAACGTGAAACTGTTCATTTACCCAATATATTACCGGAACATGAATCTTTTAAGGTAAGATAATAAAAATATACGATGAGTGTTTCCAAGACCAACAGTTATAACTTCTTCTCCGATTGTATCTAAGAAAAAAAATGGTTCTTGTATTTTCGTTTATTACTACAGTATAACATTTATTTTAATAAATAGGATATGGAACCACTTGGATGGATTCATACTCAACCCAAGGAATTACCACAATTGTCACCGCAAGATATTACAACACACGCTAAAATAATGAATGATCATGCATCATGGGATGGAGAAAAGACAATTGTTATAACATGCTCATTTACACCGCGTTCAACTTCTTTGAAAGCTTATAAATTAACACCAACTGGCTATGATTGGGGTCGATCAAATACTGACCGTGGAAATAATTCGAAAGGTTTGATTACTTCAAAAAAAAAGTAATTTTTATACAGTATTCTTTTTCAGGATATGCACTGGCGCACTATGAAAAAGTTCCATTGTCAGTATCCGATCGTTTCTTGGGATTCTTCGTGACACCAGAACAAGGCTCATGGAATTATAATTTCATGGTGAGTCGAAATTCTTTTCATTTGTTTTTATAGATTCATTTGTATTTTTTTAGGATGTTAGTCATGATGCAGATATGAAATATGATTTAATTTTATCAAGTCCAAAAAAATTTGATGATGAACTTCATCATCCATCGCATTTCATGAACTTTTCGAATGAAGAAAATTCGGACACATTTTCAACTGATCGCGAAGATCGATTTAGTTGAAAACACATCGACCCGGTTATTGATTATTGTATAATTTGGCTTCTTTTTTTTGTTTGCTTTTTTTGTCTTCTGCTGTTGTTCTTTTCTCTGTGAGAAAATAAATTGTCATGAGACTTATTGAATAAGTGTGGTCATCAAGAATGACTTGAAAGATTTTTTTTGTTGTTTTATTGCAGATTTAATTGTCTTGAATAATAAGAAGAAGACCACGAGTGAAAGAATGAATGCATGTAATAGTAATGACGCTCTGCTTAAGAATGAAAATTCCGGGGCGAATGAAATGTCTACACTTAAATTAACAATCGAAACACCAAAAGATAAAAAGGATATCTTAATTGATGCATCGTCAACTGTTAAGCAGGTGACTATTTACATTTTGGTTTGGTAATAATCATTTTTTCATTCATTATGTTAGTTAAAAGATATAGCGATCAATGAATTTTCTACATCCATGAATCAAATGTGTATGATATATGCGGGTAAAATTCTAAAGACGAGGACGATATTAAAAAACATGTAAAACAACAAACTTTTCTCTTTTAAAAAAGAGAAGCGACTAATTGATTACTGCGCTGTTCAACATTAAAATAAAGTTGTCTTTGCAATCATGGTAACGTTTAACTAATTTTTCAAAACAGAAAATTAAGAATACTTTTTTCTAACTAATGACACTGGGAACAGTAGAAAAAGCCATCAATTTGCTATAGAAGCTATCACGGCGTCATTTAGTTTTTCTTTCGTTGAAAATCTCTTTTGCTATTATTAGGAAGAATCAAGCCGACTTTTTTCTGGATCGAGTTCGGGTTCGGTTTGGTACGTTTTCGGTCACTGGAAAGAATAAAGAAAATGAATTGAAATTGTGTACTTTTATATATATATATTAATTTTGTTCTATTTTCTTGTGTTAATTAGCTGAAAATGATACGACAAATAAACAAGCTTCATCCACAACTTGCACTGATTCAATTGAAACATTTCAATTAAATTTTTATCGTGTACATGTTCATTTCTTATTTCCGGAAAACGAGAAAAAAGCTATATACGAACGCTGTTGTGAAGTAAAACGATTTTTGACAAATCTTCTTTCAGTTGATCCTCGTTGTACCCAAGTATGGGCAAATATTATTGCCGATGCTTTTGAAAAAATTACAGAGCTTTCGCCACTGTCACAAATTTATCAAACTTCAAGACATCTAGGCTACAATAATTGATTGCAACAAGAATTAGTGTTGTTATCGTTCATACAGATGCAGCAGCTGATCCATCAGTTCTTGATCCAATTAGAACCAAGGTCAAAAAGAAGATACCCCAGCTGAACATATTCGAAAAATAATTTCCGATCATGGTGATATGACAAACAGAAAATTTCGTCATGATAAACGTGTATATTTAGATGTTTTAAAATATATGCCATATGCTGTGCTGAAATTACTTGAAAACATGCCCATGCCATGGGAACATACACGTAATATTAGGGTCATTTATCATATAACAGGTGCTATTACATTTGTGGATGAAATTCCATGGATTATCGAGCCCGTTTTTATTGCTCAATAGGGTACAATATGGATTATGATGCGACGTGAAAAGCGCGATCGACGACATTTTCAACGTATGCGATTTCCGCCATTCGATGATGAAAAACCGCCGTTGGACTATGCCGACAATATTTTCGATGTTGAACCATTGGAAGCAATACAATTGCAATTAGATCCCGACGAAGATAAAGCCACTTATGAATGGTTCTACGATCATAAATCATTAACAGATAGGAAGTAAGTTCATCATTTCTTGAACACGGAGAATAGTCATGTTTACTTTAGAATGGTGAACGGTTCAACCTATTGTCGATGGCACTTGACATTACCAAATCTTTCCACGCTGTATCGTATGGGTAATCAATTATTAACTGATCTCGTTGATGATAATTACTTCTATTTATTTGATTTGAAATCATTTTTTTACTGCGAAATCATTTAATGTTGCTATTCGAGGTGGTCCTAAATTCGAACCACTCGTTAAAGAAGTTAATCCTAAGTAATTATTTTTTGTTAATTATTCGAAAAATATTTTATTCTTTTTTTCTAGTGATGAAGATTGGAATGAATTTAATGATATCAATAAAATCATCATTCGCCAACCAATAATGTACAGAATATCGTATTGCATTTCCATATTTATACAATTCGTATCAATTCAAGGTTTATCTCGCTGAGTATCACACGTCCAATGTTGTCTTCATTAAAACCGAAGATCCTGATTTACCAGCATTTTATTTCGATCCATTGATAAATCCAATAGCACATCGTCATACTGTCAAATCAGTCGATGCACAAATCGATGTCTTAACTCAAGATTACGACAACGAGGAAGAAGAATTCGTTCTGCCCGAACAATTCGAACCATTATTAACCGGTGTATCATTGAATACAGATAACACAGCCAATGGTACTGCATTATTATGGGCACCACGTCCATTCAACCTTCGTTCGGGCCGTACACGACGTGCACTTGACATTCCATTAGTTAAATCCTGATATCTTGAACGTTCTCCAAGTGAACATCCTGTTAAAGTTCGTGTATCCTATCAAAAGTTATTAAAATGCTTCGTTTTAAATGCTTTACATCATCGTAAACCGAAGCCACAGAAAAAAACGTTATCTATTTCGGTCATTTAAATCAACGAAATTCTTTCAATCAATGACCCACGATTGGGTTGAACTCGGTTTAGAAGTCTGCCGACAAGGTTATAATATGTTGAATTTATTAATTCATCGTAAAAATTTTAATAATCTTCATTTGGATTATAACTTCAATTTAAAACCAGTGAAAACATGAACAACGAAAGAACGTAAAAAAAATCACGTTTCGGAAATGCATTTCATTTATGTCATGAAATATTACGTTTAACAAAATAAATTGTTGATAGTCATGTGCAATATCGTTTCGGTAATGTCGATGCATTTCAATTGGCTCATGATTTACAATACACATTTGCACATGTTGACCAATTAACTGGCATGTATCGTTATAAATACAAACTAATGAGACAAATTCGTCTATGCAACGATGTAAAACGTTTAATTTATTATCGTTTCCACACCGGACCTGTTGGCAAAGGACCTGATTGTGCTATATGATTAGGGTTGCTAGATTAAAATGTTTGAAATCGGAATTTTCATGCTTACATTCGGAAAAACTATGCGGCTAATTCGGAGAAAAATTCGGAAAGTCGTTTTTAAGCTTCTTGATGCTTAAATGTTTTTTTTTCTGATAGAAAAGTCTTCTGAGTTTGATTGTTCTTTCTCTAGATATATTTCATCAATGTTAAAATAAATGCATTAATTATAACACCTTTGGAAAACACCATTTTCAAGAAGAGAATGTTGATACAAGAAAAACAACTCGCACTCTCATCATCGGATTTACCATCCATAATAACGTTCAGTTTATTCTGAAATAGAGGTATTAAAATGTAAAACGACATATTTATTTACATTTATATGAAGGTTTTAAGAGATATTAATTATATGACTTCTTTGAAAACTAAACATTGATTGAAGCTATTCTAACAAATCTAAGATGAGATGAGATTTGAAAAAAAGATTATTGCCAAGTGCTTGCAAAAATGATCTCAGCCAAAATTTAATCGATCTTTTCATTAAACCGTCAAATTGCTTTTTAAATGTATAACTTAAATAAAATTTCCTCAAAGATTATCAATTACAAGTTGCATGCCTCTTGTTGACAATGCAAGTCGAATTTGGATAAGGTTGATCGACAGATATATAAAGACTCCCCTGGTTGAGGGAATTTGAATTTCTTTCGATAGCGTTAAATTATCATAGTTACGGTTTGTTTGCATCAAATGATGTACATTCAAATTTTTATACTAAAAGATTGAGAAACAATATAACTTTTTCGTTGAGCATTTGTACAGAATCCTAATAATACTTATTGAAGTTCATTTACGCAGAGAAAAATTTGACTATTAATGGATGTGATGAATATTATCAGATAAGCGTTAAAATCATTTTTTTTTGTGAAATTCACTATTTGACTATTAAAAAAATCATTCGAAAATCGGCTAAATTAGAAGTAAAAATTTGATGTAACAAATTTATCTGTAATCCTATTTAACAATTACTAATATTTGATACAAAATAAATTGATTACATCTGTATTGATTGAAAATTTTAGTAAATTATTTGTGAACGCAATATGTTAGCAGCATCTAAATGACTAATCCGAACGAAAAGAAAAATGTAAATGCATTAATGTGTTGTTAAAGATAGCGTTATCTATATGAGATGAGTAAGTAACTAAGGAAATTAGGAAAAAAATTTTTTTGAAAAAAAAAATTTTTTTTTTATATGATTTTAATGCGTAAGATAGATCATGTTAAATAGACCCCCATCGATGGAATATACAACAAAGAAATATAGATTCTCTCTCTCTCGCTCAGTGTATAGTGGGCCATTTAACCTTCCACGTTTTAAACCATCCGCGTCATTCTTTTGAATTCCGAACAGCGTACAGCTGCCGCATCGCTTAGCCTCTTGAAAATTTCGTACCTATTTGTCTGATGTCTTTTCATTTTAGAATCCCCCTTAATCGGGCTGAAAGATCGTACTATCTTATTGGAATATTCTAATTAAAAAAATCGAGCAATGGTAAGTTCTATAGGACGAAAAATGAAAATAGAAAATCATGATAAATCATGTTCCTAGGTTAACTTCACTGTCGACGAAATTCGTGGCTTGATGGACAAAAAGAAGAACATTCGAAATATGTCCGTCATTGCTCACGTCGATCATGGTAAATCAACCTTGACTGATTCACTTGTCTGCAAAGCTGGTATCATTGCTTCACAAAAGGCTGGTGAAATGCGTTTTACAGATACACGAAAAGATGAACAAGAACGTTGCATTACCATTAAATCAACGTAAGACCGATTGATTTTTCTCGGTCATATGCAAATAGTTGTTTGTTTGTTTACTTATTTTTTTAGAGCGATTTCACTCTTTTACGAACTACCTGCCAAAGATTTAGAATTCATTAAACAAGAACGTGAACCTAATGTATCGCACTTCTTAATCAATCTTATTGATTCACCAGGCCATGTTGATTTCTCATCAGAAGTCACTGCTGCATTACGTGTTACTGATGGTGCTCTGGTTGTCGTTGATTGCGTTTCAGGTAAACAGATTTTGCTTTTCTAATTCAAATAATTATGCTTTTTCTTTTTTGTTTACATCAGGTGTCTGCGTACAAACTGAAACTGTTCTTCGCCAGGCTATTGCTGAACGTATCAAACCAATTTTATTCATGAATAAAATGGATCGTGCTTTACTTGAATTACAACTTCAACAAGAAGATCTTTTTCAAACATTTCAACGTATTGTTGAAAATGTTAACGTTATCATTGCTACATATGGTGATGACAGTGGTCCAATGGGTGAATTACAAGTAGGTTATAACGTAAAATCCTAGTCTCTGGTAAAAGTTCATAGATTTAGAAAAAAAAGCGAGTCGGTTTTTATAAGTTCCATTTCCGTATGCCAACTCGGGTCAAAGTACAAGGTCATCTCTGTCTACTACTCGAGACTATTTTAATGAATTCATCAGATTGTAGAATAAGGTCTTGGACTGGTACGCTAGTGCAATACCTTCTTGACTTGTTTGTACTAGAAGAGGAGCTTATTGAGATCTAAAACACTGTTGCCTTTGAGTTGTGACGACTATTGATCGTGCGATGATGGAATATATTTATGATGTGTCAAGTTCTGTCTTTATTTACTATTATTGACCTTGAGTCAGTTGTATTCAAATCACATGATACATTCAACTTTATATTATGACTTTTTTGTACAAATAATCAAGAGTCAAGGTTAAAAAGTACGTTGTTTGTTAACTTAAACTTCTCTTGAGACGCCCATTGTATAGATTTAATTAATGTTTGACACTCAAGAGCATACCAAAATAACAGCACTCACAAGAATCTTTGTTAAAACTTCTTAAGTTTAATATGTGGACAGGATAGTGAACTCCACAATCTAGAAGAATCTTCATCTGCCTATAGAAATGTTTTTTTTTCTGTGATAAAAACAAAATTTTAATTCAGAACAAACATTCCTAAGCTTGATTTGCTCTTGGAAACAAAAGCTAATATGAATTCGCTATAATGCAGCTCCTTCGAGAATTCTTGAATACACGATGAAGAACAAATACAGAAAAAATTTTGATGTTTGTTCTGCAAAAAAGACCGAAATCATCATGAAAAAATTAAGAAAAGAAAATCATGTCATTTAGGAAATATCAGGCAATTCCTTCATGAGCTTTTATTAATTATAATATTGACCAAAATTAACTATTTGCAGTGAGTGCTCAGTTGAATGAACTACTAAACGTAAAATGATGCGTCCATCCGGAGTTGTAAATAGATCAGCATCATTGGTTGGCAGTTCTGGTTTCAATTGTGCTGACCGTTTAAAATGTTCATTCTAAATGGAGATCCGATTGATAGGTATCAATATGTTCATTTTTTTGTAGGTTGATCCAACAAAAGGTACAGTCGGTTTCGGTGCAGGTCTTCATGGTTGGGCTTTTACACTCAAAGAGTTTGCTGAAATGTATGCGTCGAAATTCAAAATTGAAGTTTCTAAATTAATGAAACGATTATGGGGCGATAATTTCTTCTCACCTACAGAAAAGAAATGGTCAAAATCTGGTGGCGAAGGTAAATCGATTTTAAATTAAAACAAAAAAATGAACTAGATTTTATTTGTGAATAATATTAGGTTACGTACGTGGCTTCTGTCAATTTGTTCTTGATCCTATCTTCAAAGTTTTCCGAGCTATTATGGATTGTAAAAAAGATGATTATTTACAATTGCTTGATAAATTGAACATCAAGTTATCAGGTGAAGATAAGGAAAAATTAGAAGAAGGTGGTAAACCACTTTTAAAGCTTGTTATGAAACAATGGTTACCAGCTGGCGATGTTCTTCTTACAATGATTGCCATTCATTTACCATCGCCTGTTGTTGCACAAAAATATCGTGCTGAACTTCTCTATGAAGGTATGTTTGTGTAGAAGAAAAAAGAAGAAGCAGATCATTGCTCAAGTCAGAATGTATCTATGCTTAGGTCCACAAGATGATGAAGCTTTCATGGGCATTAAAACATGTGATGCAACTGCTCCATTGATGATGTACATCTCTAAAATGGTACCGACATCGGATAAAGGTCGTTTCTATGCATTTGGTCGTGTCTTTTCGGGTATTGTTCAAACAGGTCAAAAAGCACGTATCATGGGTCCCAATTATGTACCCGGTAAAAAGGAAGATCTTTACGTTAAAAATATTCAACGGTATGTAAATTTATATTTTGTTGTTTGTTCTACATGAAAATATGATGATCTGTGGATTCCCCATCCGAATTTTACTTTGATGGAATATATCCCAATTCTGATTTTTACTAAATGTGATTTTTGTTTTGAATTAAGCAAGAAAACAAATTGAGGATGTTTTATTTAATTTTGACATATGTCATAACTGGTCTTTATTTAGAACAATTCTTATGATGGGTCGTTACACTGAACCAATTGAAGATGTACCATGTGGTAATATCTGTGGTCTTGTCGGTGTTGATCAATATTTAATTAAAACTGGTACAATTACAACATTTGAAAATGCTCACAATCTTCGTGTATGTAGTTTTAGTTTCGTGCGAATTCATTTTGATTGATATGATCGAATATTTTAGGTCATGAAATTCAGTGTTAGCCCTGTCGTACGTGTTGCTGTTGAACCTAGAAATCCAGCTGATTTACCAAAATTAGTCGAAGGTTTGAAACGTTTAGCCAAATCAGATCCTATGGTTCAAGTAAGAGATTTTGCTTTGTTTTAATACAATACTATTGGATTATCTTTGTGTTTAAGTGTATCATTGAAGAATCTGGTGAACATATTGTTGCCGGCGCTGGTGAATTACATCTTGAGATTTGCTTGAAAGATCTTGAAGAAGATCATGCTTGTATACCAATCAAAGTTTCGGATCCCGTCGTATCATATCGTGAAACTGTGTCCGAAGAATCCGAAATTATGTGTTTATCTAAATCGCCCAATAAACACAATCGTATCTTCTTAAAAGCTCGACCTATGCCTGATGGTAATAAAAACGTTTTTTTTTCTTTCACTATCTAATTCAAAAGCATATTTTACTTAACGTTTTTCTTTTTCTTTTTCTTTTTATAAATATTTAGGCTTACCAGAAGATATTGATAAAGGTGACGTAACACCACGTCAAGAATTTAAAGCACGTGCACGTTATCTAAATGAGAAATATGATTACGATGTCAATGAAGCACGTAAAATCTGGTGTTTTGGACCCGAAGGAACTGGACCAAATCTTTTAATGGATTGCACTAAAGGTGTTCAATACTTAAATGAAATTAAAGATAGTTGTGTTGCTGGTTTTCAATGGGCTACTAAAGAAGGTGTGCTCGCTGAAGAAAACGTTCGTGGTGTTCGTTTTGATATTCATGATGTTACATTACATGCTGATGCTATTCATCGTGGTGGTGGTCAAATTATTCCCACCGCTCGTCGTGTACTCTACGCTTCAATGCTTACAGCTAAGCCAAGACTTTACGAACCAGTTTATCTATGTGAAGTACAAGTATGTTAAAAGGAAATCTTTTGTTTTGTTTTAATTCGTATAAAATTAAAATTATATTATTTAGTGCCCTGAAGTTGCTGTTGGTGGTATCTATGGTGTGTTGAATCGTCGTCGTGGTCATGTTTTCGAAGAACATCAAGTAACTGGAACACCCATGTTCGTTGTTAAAGCTTATCTACCTGTCAATGAATCATTTGGTAAGTAAATCCGTTCCGATTTTGGTTTATATTTATCTTATTTCTACACAGGTTTTACTGCTGATCTTCGATCGAACACTGGTGGACAAGCATTTCCACAATGTGTATTTGATCACTGGCAAGTTATGAATCAAGATCCATTTGATACAACAAGCAAGATTCGCCAAATTGTTAATGATATTCGTAAACGTAAAGGATTAAAAGAAGGTATTCCACCATTGGAAGATTATTATGACAAATTATAAACGATAATAAATTCATTATCTGTTACCTATTCACGAACAGACTTATGTTTTAACATCTTTTTTTGTTACCAGAAAAAAGAAATTGGAAAACAGCTATACAAGTTGATTGTTTTTTATATATATATATATAGCAGACTGTTTTCTCTGTTCGTGTGTATTGACATCTTTTATCATTATTTTCAGTCATCGATGAAAGATGTCTGGTATAAAAAAGAAATAATCAATCTCTTGAAAACAAATTTGTATTTATTCCAGCAGATTTTGATTCACAACTACATATTGTATTTTAAAGTTATTGGTTTTAAACTAAATTTAATTTAATTGAGTGAGAAAACAGTAAAGCCTGCTTGAGTATTGTCCCCAAAATATTTATCTTACTGCTACAAGAAATCAATTGGTGTCCATGAAGAGCAATTTTCAATAAAGTACACATAATACTTAACTCATTTTCAATTGAAAATCGCTCTTCAAAGTCTCGCAGTAAGTTGTTTAAAGAATAGGAAATCATTCATGGTAAAGATATGAACAAAATCGAAGCAGTACATAGACAAGTGACTAATTGACAGTGGATCGTCTGCTTCCACAAGGGTTAGGTCATGCTTCTTCTGATGATCATTTCTAAGACTTTCTGATAAATTTTCGCTATCTAACAACCTGCAAAAAATATTAACACTTCTAGTATGAAGATCAAAAACTGGTATTATATCCCCGATTACCTGCCGGATTTTATCGGTGGACTGTTCGAAAATTTTTGCATTTGATATAAGTATGCTTTGGTGCAAGTACAGATAACTGATATCAGTTGAAATTTTATAGCTTCTTATTGAACAATCAGAGGAAAAGGTTGCGATTTCAAAGCTGAGAAGAGTACTGTATATAACTAGGCGAATAATGATAAATATACTGGCAAATATCTTTTTATTATTGAAATTCAAGCAATAAGAAATGAATTTTAGTTTACTTTTGTCATATGATAATATTTGTTTTGCGGATGCAGCATCTGATGATACGAGACATATTTCAAGTATATCTCATATGTTTATCTTTAGAAAAATGGAGATAAAAGTATTTTGGTGCATTTAAGTTTTTGCTTTAGTTCTTATTGTCCTCGTTTAATAAATATTATGAATATTGGAAACGTTCTTCTTGGCTTGTGCTTGTTTTTTGGTGAGAATCGTGTGTCTATATGTTTTAATTTACATACATTGAAATAATATAGCTTCCATAGCGCACAAATCTCGCGTCGTATGTTTTACAGTTACCTGTGATTTTGAACTAAGTGAGTGCGGGTGGGAGCTAGATTCAATTTGGAATATTCATCCATCAGGTAGTACGCCAGATACAGCGAGTTCTGGTCCAACTATGGATCATACAACTGGAAGTAAGTGATTCATAAGTATCTATCGAGATTCTAGTACTTTACTGAAGATGGAAATTATGCTCGTTTTATCGCTCGTCTCCTCACTGCATCTGAGCAATTTGGTATCATGAATATCAGTACTTGTCTTGAAAAACCTACTACATTCTCATTTTGGTATTTCATGCATGGTAGTCAATTAGGAACACTAGGATTAATGGTCAATGATCAAACATTATGGGAAAAGACTGGTCGACAAGGTCTTCCAGCATGGCATCAAGCCAATGTCACTTTACCTATGGGCGCTGATATAAATGTACGTCTTTGATCTACTCTTTTGTAATATCTACAGTAATAAATAAGAAATATCTCTCTTTAGATTAAATTTGTTGCAAATCGAACTGGCTCTGGTCGATCATCTGATATTGCAATCGATGATATTGTATTACAAGGAGAAGCAAGTAAGAAATTCACTTCTTGATGAAACGTTTTTTCCTAATGAATAGTCATTTTTAGTATCTATCAGCACACGTACACCTCGGCCAATCTCAACGACAACGCCTCGAACTCGATACAATGCAAGTTGTGATTTTGATGTCAATAAAGAGTTATGTGGATGGAAAAGTGATACAAACTATGGTTGGAAAGTTATTCGCCAGAGAGAAGTAAATAGCTCTATTGGGCCATCAAGCGACTACAGTAGTATTAGTATGTATTATTTGAAGTGAAAAGAAAAATATAAACGAGTAACGATGTTTCTATTACAGTGAGATCGAATGTTGATAATAAGCTATGTCAAATTCCGTACGACGAGAAGGGTCCTCAATATTATTGTATAATAAACCTCAAGCGTAATCGATGTAAAGGAAGTGATAATAAATGGATAGATTGCCGTGATGGTATGAATTTATCAGACGCTACTTTTTTGTGATTTTTTCTTTTTTTAAAACTCAACAGGAGGTTTTGTTCAAATTCAAAGTGGTGAATTCGATCAGGCTGGCGAACGTTCACAGTTCGATTCGCCAATACTTGATGCATTATCGGATGAGGGTTGTGTTCAATTCCATTATAATATAGCCGGTAGCGATAATGATGAGTTAAATGTCTATGTGGAAGATTATTGGAGTGGTCGAAAATCATGTATGTGGCATAAAAATGGACCAACTGTACCAAACCGATGGATACCAGCTGAAGCACCATTAAAGTTAAAGAAAGATGAAAAATATAAAGTAGGAATCATATATGAATTGATGATAATATGACTTTGTGCATTAGATTGTATTTGAAGCGCGAAAAGGAACCACTGGTGGAACAGGTCTAGTTTCGCTTGATCATTTTATTGTGTCATCGAAAGCATGTAAGCGAATTCGAAAAAGAGGGATGACTATTTATTTGATTCTTTGTATGACAGGTTCTGGTACATATCCAGCTGAAAAATGCCCTGTAGAGGAAACGGTGACAACAGCCAGTACCATGATCAGCACAGAAGATCTTGAAGCCATAACAGTAACAGATAGCTTAGATACAGCATCTACCCCGATAACAGCGGAAATTGTATCTCGTACAACAGAAGTACAATCTCTTACAACTAAAATAGAATCACCCACAACGGAAATAAAACATCTCACAACAGAAGCTCTAGAATCAACAATGAATATGTTACTAACAATTGCTGGTGGTGAAGAACGAAATAAACGAATAATTTGTCCGGGAACAGGAAGTCTTGAATCAACCATTGATATGTGGATAAGTACTAATAATTATGAAGAAGAAAATAAACTAACGGAATCAACCACGGCTGTGTTGGCAGCAACTACTAATGATAAAGAACTAAATACGGCAACAACGTCTTCTACTAATGGAAATAGTTCACCAACGTTAGCTATTATTCTTGGTGTATTAGGTGGGTTAATTGCAATTTCTGGTATTGCTGCTTTGTCCATTTGGCATTCTGCAATACTATCTCGTCTTGGTATCAAAAAACCTAGTCGCATAGCAAACTCTCCAACTTATAGCTCGGCATCTGGTGGTTCTGTTGATATCAATGGCAGAACGAGTGACACTTCTCAACTAATATGAGCTTAAAAACTATATTTAAGTTCCATAGTTGTTACAGCTTTTTTAAACAGGATTCTATCAATAGAATTATCCGCTCTCTATTTATTCCAGATATGGTTGATTTTTTCAATAGCAAGAACGAAAATATACTTGCTATGAGAAATTCTTCTTGTTTAGAATGAACATATGATGAAGTTTGACAGAGAATCAGATATATCAATAGAGCACATGTTATCTACAATTGATTTCAATAGTTACACGCGGTGAAAAGGTCTTTGCAATAATGTCAAACGCTGTTAGACCGTGTTGGAGACTTCTAATTCAGCTGATATTTTTCTTGTTGAAAAGAACAGTGTCTGGACGTCAAAATTTGTACCAAACATATTTTTCTAGGACGAATCTGGAAATGAGGAAAAAGCCAAAAACTAAACGCATGAAAAAAGCTCTTGCAACTTCACCATCCAGCAGCAGTATCATTTTCTATTTCTATTGGATTCTATTAGAGAACCCCTTCTCGATGTTCTTTTTATCAAGAATTAAAATAGATAACGTTAAGCGAGAGAAGAGAGGATAAAGCATCAAGGAATGCAAGTTGAATAAACACATTGTGAAGAAAGAAGTGAGTCAATGAATGTAGACATATGACTGTAACAGATTCTTTTAAAGTGAAAAAGAGAATGAATAAAACACGATCAATGATGATTTTTGTAGCATAAAGGATACTCTTTCCAATGGTGTATTGAAAGTTAAATTTAGTTTTAGTTTTTGTACTGAAATATTGCTTTTTTCGAGAGAGACTGACAAATTTGGTCGTTTTCACAATGTGACCATTTTGAAACTGCAAAAGATATTTGTTACGTTATTTTTGCTGTCCAGTTTCTAAGGTCTAATATATTTCGCGTAAATAAAGCAAAACAATAGAGTTCATACATGGTTCCTGGTAGACATTCTTGAAAATTGATAGTTTTTTTCAAAGAGCGTCTTTTTACAAAAATTAATTTCGTTTTTCAATTTATTTTTATGAATGACTCAATAGTGAATCTACAAATCATCCACAAGCTGGTATCGATAGAGTGTTTCAAACTCTACATTGTGGCGCATGATTTGTTAAAATTCTACTCATGTAGTCTAAGATATTTCTGAAATATCGATTTTTCCAGGTTGCAAGAATTTTTTTCATACGCTTAGTTTTTGGCTTTTCCTCATTTCTAGATTATCGTCCTAGAAAAATATGTTTGGCACAAAATTTGAAGTCCAGGCACTGCTCTTTCCAATAAGAAAAAAGTCAGCTGAATTAGAAGTCTCCAACATGATCGAACAGCGTTTGACATTATTGCAAAGACTTTTGCACCGCATGTTAGACTACTAATTTCTAACACTTTATATAGTCTCAATCATTATTACTAGTTTTCATTTTTGGTAGAATTGACTTTGTTTTCGTATTAGATATTGCTTATATTTAAATTAACAATTAAAAATTATTGTTTTCTATATAAACATGAATAAAACGAAATTGAATAAACTTGTTATTATTCAATCCAATAAATATCGAGAAATACTGATCGGATATAATCTTGCAGTTCTTTTCTTTTTTCGACTATTCAAATGACTTAAGGAAAACTCTGAGTGATCTTTATTTAGTGTGCAAAAACTTTCGTCGACTAGACTGAGATTCAATTGAATAAATGTCTATTCGATAAGTTAAACTGAAATTTCGGAATCAATGTTGATTCTTTCCATCGTTATTATTAGTGAAAGAGTATTTTTTCCGTATCTTTATGTGAACTTGCATGGCTAGGATATTATTCAAGATTTTATAAGGTTCTATCTATAATGAAGAAGTCAAGATGATGTCAGAGATTTTTAGAAGGTGATTATGAAGGCGTCGGACGTAAGACGACTCTCACCGTATTCACAATAGAGACAGATGCGTGGTGATTTGTTGACGTTAAAAAGAGCAACGAACCGTGCCCATCATTGTTAAAGATGTAGTTGAAATCAGCTTGAAGGTATGAATTTTTTCCGTTACTTTCACTAGATTTATGCGTCTAACCATTAACATCAACACAATCAAAATAGCAGGTACATTCAGCGTAATGATTTCTTGGAAGCATCAATTGAGAGTGAACATCATCGAAAAAATTAATCCACAGACAGAAAATGCTGTATCTCATTTTACGAGAAAATATTTATTTGTAGTAATGTAAAGAAAAGAAAAATAAAAAAGCAAATATGCTTGGGAATGAAGGAAATTGAATAGATTGCTAATAGTTAATTGAAGGAATTATGTGGAAATTAAATATTCTGCTATGGCAACCATCGTCCTGACACATGTTTGCCCCATAATGTATCGAACTAATTCTGATGAAACATAATTTGTATGAGCACCACCAGACACAAACAAACAATCGCGAATCGTTTTGTCCTTGCCAACTGGATTTCGACGTACTGACGTCCACGGCGGATGCAAATTGTTGACAGGTATAGCTAGCGCTCCTGACTTAGAAGTATTATGAATAAGATAATTACCATAACCTTCTACATTGACGATAACATCCCAATGGCCAACCAAATGTGGCCCACTCTTTTTGGAACGCTTATAAATAGTTGCTTCAGTAAATTTTGCATAGTTGTACGACGTCATGGTAGTCGAAAGAAAAATTGAACGAATATCAAATAAACTGCATTGATTAAATATATATTTTTGTTAACCTAAAAGGAAAAGGGCCCATTTATAAAATTGGATCCGTGAAACGAATGGCACATTTCATCCGCATTATGATTTCTTCAAGAAAGCATAGCAAAAAAACAGCAAGGTATTTTTCAGAGAAACGAAAAGTACAGCTAAATTCTAGATAAATTCATTTTGATTAAAAAATTTCTTTTCTGCACCTTGAATTTATACGTCCTTTTTTGTACGTGCTTTTCTTTTTCATTTTGCTATTCCTCGAAAACTACATTGAATAGAAATAGGACAGGACGTATAGAATTGGATGTAAAGAAAAGAGTGTACACAAAAGGGTGCCAAAATAATGTATAGAAACGACGTTAAACTTAATGAGCCACAAAAGCTTTAGCATTTATTTTTATCGTTTCCGACTGAAACCATAAACCGGATGAACTCACAAGGCTGAATTCGACTGATCTGTAGAACGCTAAGCAGAATTCGAAAAACTGATCATCATTTAAGTGGAGTCGCAGTCATCAGAAAATAAGATTTGAAGTTGTAATAGGAATCACCATCGTAAACGTCTTTGCAATTTTTTTCCTTTCTTTGCGCATCAAAACATCATTTCTGATCTTAACAATTACATAGAAAAGAGAATATCTGTTAAATAGACTCAACAGAGAATTTCTTCTTACTTATTATACTTGAAGGATGAACCGAAGTAAAAACTTAATGACGTAAATCGAAAAAGATATCAATATAATAAAAGTTAATGCAGCTTTCTGCATATTCTAAGAAATATTGCTTAGACAGAAAATATCTCGGGTACGTAAAATCGATTGAAAGAGCTTTTGCAGTATTAGAAATGTAACTTTCTTACTCATTCAAATATGCATTATCTCTAGGCCAGAAAAGATAACATCGTTGAACATGATTACACATATAAACTTGTACTTTTTACAAACAAAAGTTTTGTTTGTTTTCATGACAGAAGTGCACATGAACCGCTACTATCTAATCACTTTTTTCTTGTTTTATTTCTGAGATACCATTGAAAATAACTGAATAGATATCAATGAAGTAAACTAAACCGAAGATATTGCACAGCTCTGGATTCTTTCCTTAATTATTATCAGTCAATAAGTTTCTTGTTGTGACCACTAACTTGAAACGTCGTCGAATCATTGTGTATTTATCAATGAAATCTAGTGCAAACAAGTCAAACAGTTACACTAAGAGAAAATAAAGATGGTACAAAAACAATTTCCAGGATCATAAAAAGCTTCAATATATTGTAAATTTTCTAAAATAGTGATGTGTTTTTGAGAGCAATCTGTTGGATGATGCAATAGGCTTCAAAATCTAACACCATCAATAATTCAAACTGTACTTGTGAATTTATTTTATGAAGAAAAAAGAGTTTGACTTTTTTTCAAACATATTTGAAGACGTTCAGAATTGAATAGAGTATTCGACACACTAAAATAGATTTTACATGTCCAAATATGATAATGGTAATATTTATATAACTCATCATATGAGCAAACTGCAAAAATGAATAAGAAAAATATTTTTATGAATCTTGCTTTGATTTTCCAATTGACAGCATCATTAACACATGCAAACCATTCGTTTTTCACTACTTTGTTTCACGTTTACACAATCATTACATCGTACAGATTTTCATCCGAAAAGCGGTTTGGATCCATGTTCATTACATCACAAATTATGCAATGGTTATTTGTGTCAAAAAGTATTTTTACGACAATTTTTTTGTTGTTTCATAAAGCTACTGATGACGAATTCATGCTGACTATCTGTTGTGAAAGGAGATAGACAGTCAGATTGTGCAGATAAGAAAAGCGCATACATTAAAGTATCATTTAAGTTATCTAAGTTTTTATTATTTTTGTTACTAATGATGGCTAAGATCCAACAATTGACGAGAAGTCTTGTAGTGAAAATAGTTCTCCTTTATTATTTAACAAGTAAGTTCATTGCAAAAGACTATACTGCTTCTGATTAAAAATATTTGCATAGTAAATAATCATGGTAGTGTCTGCCCTACTGTGACATGCAATTTCGAAATAGATGAATGCAATTGGAAGTTGAATTCAACATGGAAAATGTATCCATCTGGTAGTACGCCAGATACCGCGAGTTCTGGTCCAACTATGGATCATACAACTGGAAGTAAGTAATTCATAACTGTCTATCGAGATTCTAGTATTTTACTGAAGATGGAAATTATGCTCGTTTTATGGCTCGTGTCCTCTCTGAATCTGATCGATTCGGTGTCATGAATACAAGTACTTCTCTTTCACAACCAGCTGCATTCTCATTTTGGTACTTCATGCATGGTAATCAAATAGGAACACTAGGATTAATGGTCAATGATCAAACATTATGGGAAAAGACTAGTCGACAAGGTCTTCCAGTATGGCATCAAGCCAATGTCACTTTACCTATGGGCGCTGATATAAATGTACGTCTTTGATCTACTCTTTTGTAATATCTACAGTAATAAATAAGAAATATCTCTCTTTAGATTAAATTTGTTGCAAATCGAACTGGCTCTGGTCGATCATCTGATATTGCAATCGATGATATTGTATTACAAGGAGAAGCAAGTAAGAAATTCACTTCTTGATGAAACGTTTTTTCCTAATGAATAGTCATTTTTAGTATCTATCAGCACACGTACACCTCGGCCAATCTCAACGACAACGCCTCGAACTCGATACAATGCAAGTTGTGATTTTGATGTCAATAAAGAGTTATGTGGATGGAAAAGTGATACAAACTATGGTTGGAAAGTTATTCGCCAGAGAGAAGTAAATAGCTCTATTGGGCCATCAAGCGACTACAGTAGTATTAGTATGTATTATTTGAAGTGAAAAGAAAAATATAAACGAGTAACGATGTTTCTATTACAGTGAGATCGAATGTTGATAATAAGCTATGTCAAATTCCGTACGACGAGAAGGGTCCTCAATATTATTGTATAATAAACCTCAAGCGTAATCGATGTAAAGGAAGTGATAATAAATGGATAGATTGCCGTGATGGTATGAATTTATCAGACGCTACTTTTTTGTGATTTTTTCTTTTTTTAAAACTCAACAGGAGGTTTTGTTCAAATTCAAAGTGGTGAATTCGATCAGGCTGGCGAACGTTCACAGTTCGATTCGCCAATACTTGATGCATTATCGGATGAGGGTTGTGTTCAATTCCATTATAATATAGCCGGTAGCGATAATGATGAGTTAAATGTCTATGTGGAAGATTATTGGAGTGGTCGAAAATCATGTATGTGGCATAAAAATGGACCAACTGTACCAAACCGATGGATACCAGCTGAAGCACCATTAAAGTTAAAGAAAGATGAAAAATATAAAGTAGGAATCATATATGAATTGATGATAATATGACTTTGTGCATTAGATTGTATTTGAAGCGCGAAAAGGAACCACTGGTGGAACAGGTCTAGTTTCGCTTGATCATATTATTGTGTCATCGAAAGCATGTAAGCGAATTCGAAAAAGAGGGATGACTATTTATTTGATTCTTTGTATGACAGGTTCTGGTACATATCCAGTTGAAGANGATGAAAAATATAAAGTAGGAATCATATATGAATTGATGATAATATGACTTTGTGCATTAGATTGTATTTGAAGCGCGAAAAGGAACCACTGGTGGAACAGGTCTAGTTTCGCTTGATCATATTATTGTGTCATCGAAAGCATGTAAGCGAATTCGAAAAAGAGGGATGACTATTTATTTGATTCTTTGTATGACAGGTTCTGGTACATATCCAGTTGAAGAATGTCCTTTTGAAGAAGTGACAACAAGTACAGCTAACATCATGATAACATCGGACAATCCCGAGATGATTACAACTGAAATGGATACTACAGTTGATACAAGTACCAGTATATGAAAGACTTAAATTGTCATTGGAACATGTATTATTAACTTCAATAGCATTGTTCTAGGTACAATTTTCATCGAAACTACTGTCACCACTAGTACTAGTATTGCTACTACAACTACGACTACAACGAGTACTACTAGCACTACTTCTACAACTACCACTAGCACTACTACTAGTACTACTACTACTACCACTAGCACTACCTCTACTACTACTACTACTGCTACTACTACTACCACTAGCACTACCTCTACTACTACTACTACATCGATTAATATTACCGCTTTTCAAAGTACAATTGCAACAACAAAAGTAGACGCATCAACTACTCCAACACTCACGTCCGAAAATTCAGACATGATTTCGTTTTCATTATCAACTAGTGATTTAGTAACATCTGAAATGTTCTCTACAACTACAACATCTTCAACTTACGTTTCTACATTCGCTACAAACAATAATACCGACATAGAAGGCCAAGAGTCAACAACATCACCAGTATCACCAAAGAAGTCATTATTTCTACCTATTTTTTTAGGTTTATTAGCTGTTGTTCTCATTATTTTGATTGTGACTGGATACATAAAACGCGATGCGTTATGTGAGCGTGTCGCACGACGATCAAACACATCTGAAACCACTGCTACTGTATATTTAGATCTTAGTGAACCGGATGGTTACGTTCGATTTGATAATAATAGAGACCGATCCTCTTCAGCCTAGATTAATGGCCCAAACGAGACAGAATGTTCGTTATTTTTGTATAAAATCTTTTATAAATGTATTAATAAACAGAAATGACCTAATTTATTATGAATCAAAGTTGTCAGTGAAATTTGATTTTTTTAAATGCTAAACGCCACATATGGTCAAGAACTTTCAGCAAATTTGTTTTCTAATTTTTCCATAATTAAATCTTGCTTTGAGTTACAAAGTGAAAGACTAAATATTGAGTTAAAAATAGAATTCTAAACATACAATTCGTCTCACCCTCGATGTTTTATCGCATAAGTGGTAAAAGATCTGAAGAGAAAATATCAAAAATTCAAATCCTTTTTGGTCTCATAGTTTGTCTACGGCTTCAAGATAATTCCAATTGATCTCTAGCTGTTATCAAATGAATTATTATGATAAAAAAATTAAAGAAAAAAGAAGTGTCTCCATCAACTTCCTCATTCATATCATGAGTGCCTTCATAACTTTGCTTCTTTGTACTGAAAACTAGAGATTTAAAATTATGAATATACAACCGTCAGTTCGCGAATATGTTGTGCGCCTATTTGGTGTGCCAGTGGCCACTTCCTTTCTTGTATAATATAATCAGCGAGAATAAATCGAACACAAAATTTTTAGATATTATTTTCTCATATTTAAATGCGAATATAACAAAACACATTTTCTACCGAAATATGATATTTAATGATTTATCCACCTGGATTTTCTCGGATGTCAACAATTTAAAAGAAATATCAGTCATGGTTGCTAGATTTGTGTTGAGTACATTGTTGTCAGTATAATCTATGCAGACTAAAAATCTGATTACAATTGATTTTATTTAAAATTTCCGCTATTCAACAAAAATATTCAAGTGGAATCTATGTCTTTTGTTTGTAATAGAATTCTATTGAAATCTGATTTTTGAGTTCAAAAAGTATTTTCTACAATTTTTTAATCAATTAATACACTATTATTGGTTGAGCTCATCTTGTTTTTCTATTTGAATAAGTATTAAATATGGTCTCATAACGAAAAATAAAGTCTGAGATGAATAGTCTGACGATACTTCAGGCTCGCTCATCTCTGAAAAGATCTCCGTAAGAGCACAAGTAGGAAAAAGGAAAAGAAAAAATTTCAGATGGGCAAAATTATACCAGAAGAAAACCCCTTCTAGCTTAAAAGCTTTCAAATTTAATCGAATCATTAATATATTAAAAAGCTTCTCGTAGATTTAGATTTGATTATATTCTATAATGTTGTTATCACACTCATACACATTTTTGTTTCAGTTCACAATTTATTTTCTTTTTTATCTTTAATATCGACGTAAGTTATTGTGCAAATCTTTGTGTTGATATCCACTTAATGACTCATTTTTTGTTTGTTGCGCAAATACCTCCAACGCAATACTCACGAAAGAAGAAAAAAGAAATTTGACAAACAAAGGCTGTTAGGAAGCAAATACACAGTAGTTGTTTTTCGTTCGCCACGCGCTCAGGGTCAATGACAGCACGAAAGCGTTTCAAACACAATGTAACATTATTAGAAAGTTTGCCAAATGAAATGTTCATAGAAATCTTTTATTATCTACTCGATGTAGACACTGTATATGCATTTTCGAAACTAAATAAACGTTTTCAAGATTTAATTCTTAATTATTGTTCTGCGTTTGATTTCAAGTCGGTGAATAGAGTAAAATTTGATTATATAATTCGACAACATGATGTTCATCGATGGCGATCGTTACGTCTTTCCGACGATGATATCACACCAGGTCAAATGGCACATTTCTGTCAACTATGTTCCTTTCCTGAAAATATCTCTCAACTTAAAGCACTATCTGTTGTTAATATGAAACTAAATTCATCATCTTTATTTACACCACATTTAACATCATTTAATCAACTTGTGTCATTATCAATCGGACATGTTTGTGGAAAGAATATTCCACGCGTTGAATTACCTGCATTAAGATATGTTGTTGTTAATTCTTGTATGCATAGTAATTGGATGAAGGTATGAGTTCGGTACAAGAATCGGCATACGATTGCATATATTGATGTTATCTTCTTTTAGATGCTTCAACTTAAAAGTCTTCAGCATACTATTGAACATAATTGTAGCCACGAATACAGTTTAACATGGCCAACGGCTCTAAGAAAGTTGAAAGTTTATTTTAGACGGACAGATGATAATGAGATTATACGTGCTTCTCTTAAACATTTATCTCAATTAACTAGCCTATCTATCTGTGGAACTGCATGGGAAAGTCCTGCGCCTGATGGTCAAATATGGGAAAACTTGATTACATCTGCAATGCCATTACTAGAAAAATTTCAATTTTGTTTTCAATTTTGGAGAGATTTTAATCTAACTGATGACATAAAACAAGTTGTATCTACTTTTTCTACGTCATTCTATGTAAAAGAAAGATCTTGGTTCATTCAATGTGATGCGCAGCGTCAACAGTTTAGTATCGCGACTCTTTATTCATTACCATTTGCATTCGAACATTTTGAAATAGTGACCAAGTCATTTGATGAAAGTGTTTCAACATGGAATAACTGTTCGAATAATGATTTTAAAAAGGATTTATATAAAAACGTCAACAAACTAACAGTTAATGTACCATGTGATAAAATCAATCAAACATTAAATCTTGTCAATGTCACTGATTTAACCTTGAAAATTTCTATTGGTTCAATTGATTGGATATTTTCAATGAAAAAATTATACAAATTATCATTAGGCTATCAATTTAATATGTCATCCAACGATCTTATGCAATTACTTAAACATACTCCTTGTCTAAGTTCGTTGACAGTATCGTGTCATACACTAAAATTTCTAACCGATCAATGGAAACATAACGCAATTTGTGACTTATTATCACGTAAAATTCGATCATTAGAAATTAGTTCAGACAATTGTTTTTCTACGAATAGTAGTGATTATGTCGACGTGCACGATCTTCTTCCTATTGTTCGAATTTTTAATAAACGATGTCGATATCTAAGTATTATTGTTTACTCGAGAAATATTGTTTCGGGATTCATTTTAAGAGTTATGCGACATTTACGAAGCTTGAAAGTCTGCTTACAAGAACATAATGATGATCAAAAAATTACAAAAGAATGGTTAGCACAACAAGATATCGCACTCAAAAATCTAGATTATTCTATTGTTCAAAATGGAAATGAGTATTCATTTTGGTTTGGTCGTCGAAAATGAAACATATATAAATTCGATTTATCTGGCATGCACAAACTGAAATCATCTTGTCATGTAGTATTTTTTATCCTTTTGTCATTGTGAACATGAGCGGCTACGCTCGAGTTTTGTTTATAAACGAGATCCTATCATTCATAGCCGAGAGTATTGTATGATTTTGATAATCGTAGTGGCATTTTTGTTTTTCATAATCTAACAACATGAATAATCTTCAAATCTATTCGAATTGAATGATACGTGTTTATGACATAAGTGCGCTTTATATCAAATAGTAAGCAAATAATGAAAAGACAGTTTCGGCTTCTTTTATTTTATATCAAACTTAATTTATTGAAGAATAATTGTAAAAACAAGCTATCATTGAACTTGTAATATGAATCAATAGTTGCAGTCTATGCATTAAATGCCAGTTTTAGCTAGAAATCGGTGTCTCTTTCTCGTACATGCGTATAATTTTTCAGAGATAACTTCAATAGTTTTAATTACTAAGAAATGCTTTATGTTATGTGAAATGCAATCGATAAAAAAAGTATACCGCTATGATTTTAGTAGATGGAATCAATAGTACACTATTTATTACATAAATTTGATGTGCTCCATTGTATTCAATTGTTTATTTCTTCTTTAGATTTATTGTTTCATTTTTTGTGAGCCTAGAAAAAAATACTTTGACCATCCGTAAAAATCGACTCTTTTTATTATAGCATTTACGAATTGTTCTTTTCTAATTCGTTCTCTTTTAGCGTTATTCAAGTTTGTACATATAACGAATACACTCGTAATGATAAAGTTTGTTTTTAATGCGGTGCGAAGCACAGCATTTATGTAGTCCGTCGCGAGTTTTTTTTTTTTTTTTTTTTTTTTTTTTCTTTAGCGGAGNTGTAATGAATCTTAAAGTGAATCATTTATTTTTAAATCTTATTCTCGCTACTTTCGAAAATTCGGCTCGTGTGCTTCGCACCGCATTTCGTAGTCGAGTGAAACTCGAATACCATCTAGTTGACTTTTGAACAAGATATTTCAGTCGGCAATAAAGATCCTTCTATAGTAAATAAGAAGTAAAGCATTAAGCGTAGTTCACTTCATGTGATCGTAGTGGAATAATTGCTAAAATACGAAAAATTTTAACAAGTGAAAACGATCGATTTCAGTTTAAGATCACGTTTTGATTAAATAAAAATCATTTTTTTTGGAAGATGATATAATACTTCGACAAAAAGAAGTCTCTCGTCAATTGCATCTCTATGATAAAATGAAATATTACACAGCATATTTCGTGTAACTTTAGCGTTTTTCAGATAGCTGAATCGATAGAATTAGATGGACTACAATTTCCAATGTCGAATACTGTAAAGAGCTTCTCTTGCTGAATATTGATCCTCTCCCTACGAGTTAAAATTGGCTATTCAATGATCTACTTCATAGAGAGCTTCGAAGAATTGTGCGGGTGTCAACAAGTTACATTGTACTTTAGTTCTTTAGGTGTAGGCTATCTTAACTCCTATTATTAAAATTACTTATTGTGGTTTTAATCAGTGAAGTTTACAGATATCTTCACAACGATAACTATTTATTAATAGCTATCGAAACGAATTGAATCATGAATTTTATTTCATTGCATTTGATAAAAAGAGTAGGATCCATGTACAGAATATGTATCATTTTTTTTTTAAATCTTGCTCATATTATTGTTAATAGAACTTTATTAAAAACTGATTTCTATCAATTTTATAAGTTTTGTACGTTCGTCATCCGTTTTGAATAAGAGAAATCTAAGACTTGCCATAATGAAATCATATGTAGATAATAATTCAAAGCTATTTTATTATAAACACAAGAGAAGAATGATCATTAATCACATCAAAAAGAAAAGAAAAGTGTCGTTCCTTTAGATGTCACCAAGCCCAATTAGGATTTTATATGAAAATATGATAGAGGTCGACGATGTAGCAAAATGACGGCCAGGGCAGAATCAACAGCTGATCGTATTTCACAATTTAAACTAAAAAAGCAAAACAGATGCATACAGAAAGAACGATTTCGTATGAATCAAACAAGAAAACTTCTCGAACCTTCATTCTGTTTTCTGTTGTTGAAACGTTCTATGTTTTTATTTTAAGAGAACTGTTACTAGATAACATCACAATTAATTGATCGATAATTATTGACATATGTAGAAAATTTTTACAAACGACTGTAATTGAAAAGAGATATGTAGCTATAATTGATCAACACTTTCTTGTTCTTCTTTTTTTTAAAGATATATTCTTTAAAATTTAACCAATTAAATAATAGTAGTTAAAATAATGGAAGCCGATCCAAATGAACTTTTAGCTTGGCTCAAGGGAGATGGAAGTAGTGAACGTGATCTACAAATGATTGCACTAGAACAATTATGTAAGTTTATATTAAATAATCGACTATCTAAAATAATTAATTTTTGTGGCATCGTGCATTCATTTGTAGTCTATGATTTTGATGAAAAGAAATAAAATAAAATTTTATTGAAAACTATCTATTTTCGAATACTTTTCGCTTTAGGTATGCTAGTCTTAATGAGTGATAATATCGATCGATGTTTTGAACAGTATGTATTTATGAAAATGTATATATACATATCTATTATAATTTTTTTCTAGGTATAAACCTCAACTTTTTCTTCCAGGTCTATTTTTTAAATAATAAAATTTCTTGAAAATTTTATCTATGCTTTATTTCAGCTCTCTGTGATATATTCAATGATCCATTAGTTCCAACACATATTCTTGAAGTGACAGCACGTGCTCTAACCTATTTTCTTGATGTATCTGTTGATTGTGCAAAAAAAATCACGTCCCATTCAACAGTTATACATGCAATGTGCAATTGTTTACAAGTTGTAGACATTGAAGATCGTACAAATAAAGATTTAGCTGAACAAATTATAAAAGTATTCGAACGTCTATGCTTAAGAGAAACATCAAGCATATATGAGCAAGATGGTCTTCGTTATGTACTTGAGTTTATAAATAATTGTTATTCAGTTATACACAAAGATTCTTTACAATCAGCTTTGAATGTTGTTGTTAAATTAATTGGAAAAATTGATCCACAAAATTCTTCAGCATTGGATCAAACAATTGAGTCATTATCAAATTTACTTTTACATGATGATCCATTTGTAGCTGATAATGCATTGAGATGTTTTGCGACATTAGCTGATAGGTTAGTATGAAAATTGAGTTCGTTGAGTTTTATTTCAACCGTTTTTTTTCTTGAATAGATTTTCAAGAAAAAATGTCGATCCTGAACCATTGATGCGTTATTGTCTAAAGGATGTTCTTCTTCGATCCTTACATCATGTATCAAAATCATCAACTGATTCTTCGGGAACACATACTGCATCGAATATACGTGGCATTACAACAAATCTTTCAGTTGTTACGGGTTTATTGTCAACACTTTGTCGCGGTAGTGTAAAAGTAACCTATGATTTACTTCGTTCTGATCTTCCCGATGCACTTGAATCAGCATTATGTAGTGGTGATGAACGATGTGTATTGGATACAATGAGATTTCTTGATTTGCTGATTGTTTTACTCTTTGAAGGTAAGATCATAATTATGCAATTCGCATAGAACTTTACTTGTAAAAATATGAATATCAAAGAATAGCAGTTATTCGAGTATAGGAAAAGAAAACGACAATACACTCGTTAAACTTAATGAGATCATAAAAACTTCTATTTAACTGTAATAGAATTTTGTATTGTCTCTGATAATTGCTTTAAATATTGAAAATCAAAGATTTTTACCGAGCAGGATACTGATACATGCTCAGAAAGATCTTCGTTTTGTCGACACTCAATTTTCCTTATGAAATTGTTTCTTTCTAAAGTCGGAATTTTTCTTTTATAAATATCTTTTACTTTTGCACGGTAATCTTTCAAAAAATTGCAAATCTTCTTTAGGACGTCAAACACTTACTCGTCCGGGAAATACTTTACGTACAACAAACACTTTAAATCCAGCTGGTGATGCATCTCAACCAGCATCTTCTCTTGCAACAATTTATACAGTACCATCTGATCGTTCACAACAACAAATTATTGAGTACATTCGTTCACGTGATGTTCAAGCATTCATAAGTTATATTGAAGAAAATAATATCGATATTAATTACACTGATCATGTCGGTCAAACAATGTTGAATTGGGTTGCTGCATTTGGTACACGTGAAATGGTTGAATATTTGTGTCGTCGAGGTGCTGATGTCAATCGCGGCCAACGGTCATCATCATTGCATTATGCTGCTTGTTTTGGACGTCCATCTATTGCACGTCTTTTATTAAAATATGGTGCTAATGTTGAATTACGCGATGAAGATGGTCGAACAGCATTAGATAAAGCACGTGAACGACAAGATGAGAGTCATCAAGAAGTTATTGATATACTTCAATCAACGAATGAATGGAACGATACAAAACAAGCATCAAAAACTATTCCAAATACTGAACAAACAAAAGATAATATTGAAGTACAATTAATCTATTTAGAACGTTTATTATCAATATTTTGTCAACTATATCAAAATACAATGATATTAACAATAAAACGTAGTACATTACGTTTAATATCAAAATTATTGCAATATGCAACAATTGAACAAATACGTCAATTAAAGATTTTAACAACATTATTTGAATTATTATCAACAGTATTGAATACAAATGAAGATGACGATGATACATCAAATCTTGTTTTATTAATAATTAAAAATCTATTTGAAAAAGATCGACATCTCTTTCTTGAACAATTTCAATATTTAGGTTTAATATCGAAAATAACAACATTAGCAATGTCACATGAAAGTAAAAATGAAAATTCTCAACAATTATTGACAATAAATATTGTTCCAATTGATACAAAAGATATGCTTTGCTCTAGACCTTATGTATGGAATGAATATAATTTTTTAAGAAATCGTGAATGTTTATATGTATGGAATAATTCACTTATAATTGAATTATCCATGGGTTCAAATGGTTGGTTTAGATATTTTGCTAATAATTCTCTCTCGACTATGTATTCATCAGGTTCATTTCTTTAGATTTTATTTTCTTCGCTATAAACAATTATTATGTTTTAGGAAGTCCAGAAACAAATATTGATACAGATGAGAATCGTCATGAATTTATTGAAAAATTTCAACGATTAAAACAAGAAGTTCTTGAAGGTGGTGAACAAGAAAAAGATAAGGAAAAACAAAATGTTATTATTGCAAGAACTATTTTTACATCTGATACAACTAGCGAAAAAATAATTACCATTGGAAATTGGACTCTACAATGCGACGGGCCTACACAACTTCGAATTCATAATATTGAAGGCGAACAGGTTAGACTAAATTTGAATCGAAATAGTTTGTTGTAGTTGACAAATTTCTTCATATTATCAACTTCTCATTAGTACAAAACTTTGTAGGTATGAATATTTCAACAAGTATGTTACGATAACAATAGATGTATCATGATCAATTATGTAACAGTATAAGTCTCATATGCATTTTAATGAATAGTAACTGTTGTTCCTTTTCTAAACTGCATCATTGAGAAAAATATTGTTCTGGATTTCACAGAACTTTTGATTGTTGATTAGAAACAAGAAACTACTCAAGATCGTTTGAAAATCTAAAGTCATTGTATTACGTAATAATAATTAAGCTACGGATGCTCTTGAAAATTTTGAACTCCTGATTTATTTCTGTGAGGATAGCACAATTTTACAATATTTTTTAAATCTATGCTGTGGTTCCATTTTTCTCAGTTCTAGTAAAGTTTTGCGCATATGGCAACCTTGGCTGTTTGTTTTCTATCTTAAGATAAAATAATTATATCTTGCCTCTCGATAACAAAATTAACCCTTAACTATATTTGACATTAATGTGAAAGAAAAGTTTAGCCTTTCAACTCGTCGTTCTTAAACTCTCAATAGAAATCTTAGAAAAATAGTTCCATCTGTTCGACATATGATAAATTCATTAAAATTGCATACTCATTTATTAAATGAATGTTTTCAAAAGATCAATTGATGGGTTTCTGCACGTTTATATTTATTAAATTTCACTATATTTAGAATAAGAATTTAAGTTTCCAACAACATATTCATAACAACAATAAACAACAGCCATAATTACTCGAGCTAATGAAATAACTTCTACCGATATGTTTAGGAGTATAGAATTCTAATGCTCATTTAACGCATAGAGATTCAATATTTGTAGTTTATAACTAAGCTTTGTGATTTCAACAATTCTATGTTAAAATTTTGTTTTTTCTAAGGTGACTATTCTTGAACATGGTGAAACAGGTTTTATTTTCGAATCAAATCGTCGTACTCGCCATAAACATAAAGCTGATACGCCATTAAATAATGAATTTTCTGTTCCATGGCCAACCATTGAAACGCTAACATCCACAAATAATTCAACAACAGTAACACTTAATAAAAATAAACAAGATCAAACAAAACAACGTGCCAGTGAAATAGCATCATTTATTTATAATGAACATTTAAAAACTTTCTCTCCAACAAATTATACACGTTCGATTTTAACAGAATTTCAATTACTTGTGAATGATTTAAATAATGAATTAAATCTAAATTCATTTGATAATTTAAAAAATCTATTTGAAAAATTAAAAAATTTTCTTATTGAAAAAACAGATTTATCAATATATGAATTATCATCATCAGGTTTAGTTTCTGTATTGCTAAAAGTTTTTCATGATTTATCATCAAATGATCAAGCAAAGGAAAGAGCAAAATTATTTTGTTCAATATTTCTTTCGGACGAACAACCACAAGCATTTCAAGTTCTCATACGTAAACTTATATCAATATTGGAATCAATTGAAAAATTACCATTATTTTTGTATGATGCACCATTTAATTATAGTTTACAAATATTTTCAAAACGTTTTCGTTTTCAAATTCAATATAAGAATGAACAACAATTATTTACCGATAGAACTGGAAAATCATTAAAAATTGAACCATTAACAACTGTGGGACAAGTGAAAACATTTCTTGCATCCATGGTAAGTATTTTACAAGAAAATCATATATGTTCGAGTTGGTTTGAAAAAGTAAAAATGAGAAATGTACAGGACAATAACTGCAAGATCTATATGATCGGATAGGAGACAACTAGTTTTGGTTTTGTCAATGACAGTCTCATAGGAAGTATCTCGTACAATTTTTCTGTCCGATATCATTGAAATTTTGCCTAGAGATTCTATACGATTCTTCAGTGTAACCTTTGAAATACTTTAGGTACACAATGGGATTCGAATAGACTATGTCTATGATCTAGAAATCAATTGAAAGACCCCATGTTTAAATTTCGACCTGAAATTTTGTGCATCTAGAAAACTCAACTAGAATAGCTTCTATAAAAAAAAAAGCAAAGTTCACACATTTTAATGGTCTTTTTTTAATACATTAATTCTTTTTTATGAGGACTTCGTAAAATAAACATGTTGTAATAGTTTGATACGTAGAAGGGACGTCGTTAAGAATTTATAATTTTATTTTTATGAACACTAGTATAAGGATTTTCTCTATTCCGGAATGTTTTCATTCGTATAGAGTTATTTACTAGAAAATAGATATAACTTAAAGCTATTTAACGAAACATGTATCTGCACTTTGATTTTCATGCTATTAATTTTCTCAAATTTATGAATTCATTATGAAAATATCAAGTATGCTTCATTGTGTAATATACATAACGGAACAATGTTTTTAAATATTTGCATCTTAAATTACAGATATGAGAAATTTGAGCATGTTTTTAGTGTGTTGACCCGCTTACTCGTGGTCATAATAGAATTTCTATAAATAATTGAGCTAGATCCAGTCTCGAAATGACTTGTAGGAAATAATTCAATCACGATTATAAATATTTTACTATTTCAATAGGCTTCTAAACAATGGTATGATTATCTTCATGGTCATCTTGAATTCGTTAAACAATTGAAATCAGATATTCGACCAATATTTACATATACCAGTGATTTTGATCAGAATGGAATTTTATATTGGATTGGTACCAATGGTAAAACTGCATCCAATTATACAAATCCATGTTCAACTGGACTTATTTCAGGTATTAATCGTATTTTACTTTTAAATATCCTAAAACGAATTGATTTGGTTATTTTAGTTAATTGTTCAGATAATAATTATTCATCTCAACAATTGTCAGATTTAGTTTCACATACACTATCGATAGATGATCAAGACGATAATGAAGATACAATTCGTAGTTTTAGTTGGATTTTAATTGATTTAGGTCTATTAATTATTCCAACTCATTTTACATTACGACATGCTACAGGTGGTTCTAATAGTTGGACAAAAACTGTGCTATTTCAAATATCAAAAGATGCTGTACAATTTACACCATGTGATGCATCGGTAGTCAATGAGACTAATTCACCAACAGCGACGTGGACAGTTAAAAACTTATCTGAAAATTCATCTGGCTTTCGTTATATACGTATTCATCAGAAAAGTTCTCGATATCCCATTTGTATTTCTGGATTTGAAGTTTATGGACAAGTGCATTCGGCTATTGATATTCGTTCAAGTGAGATTGATTTTCTTTAATAAGATCGTTGGAAGAAATCTAAAGAACTGAAATCAGTTGTGCATAAAAAACCAATAGTATTAGTAAAGAGTATTTGATAAGATTCTGTTCGTCATAGAAGGCTATCGTCAATGAATTAAATGAATGTCATAGACGTTGTTCAACATCGGCATACGAACTACTATGTTCAAACTTGAGTAACTTCAACTTTTAGTTTGTAATATTTGCAAGAAAAAATACGTTTTGCTTTTGATTTGTCAGTTAGCAGTATTCAAAATCATGAAGTACTGCAAAGATAACTATATTCTCCCGTCATAATGCATTGATTACTGGTAGAATTAAAGCTTAGCTCTCTATACACGTATTTACAGAAAACTAGACTAAATGTTCAGTGTTATGAATATGAAAACACGGAGATGAGTATTAACAATGAACCGTTAAAAATTTTTCTTCTCTCACAGTTTCTTTTCAGTTTAGAATTATAAAAATAAATGTCACACATGGGAAAAGTTTTCCTGATGAATGTGCACATTTTAATGAAAAAATTAGACAAAAAGTTCTATTTTGATTTCTAATTAGATCTTTTTATTTTAGAACCTGAATTGAATCGGTCGCGTTCAACTCGTGATGATATTCGAAATCGATCAATAAATTCTCGTCAAACTCCATCTTATCATCATTCTCATTCGACATCATCTACTATGTCACGTGCAACTAAAATGCAATCACATATTCTTCGACGTCTAGCAAGTATGAATACATCAAGTTTTTCCAATAGATCACCCGATTCAACCAGCGAAAATCATTCTGAACAATCGACAATAAATCAAATTCTTTTTGATCTTTCATCAATTCCGACTGATTTGTCCAATGGTGAGCATCACTAAAGATTTAAGTTCCATTTAGAAGAAGAAGAAGAAAAAGAAAAAGAAAAAAAACATATTTTGCTTTATTTTATTGAAGCTATTGAATCAAATGATCCTGAACGTTTACGGCTGGTCATTGAAGAAGCTCTTACACGTTTAACAGGCGATAAAACATTAAATGATAATTCAAATTTAATCAATTTAATTTCACAACGTAAAAGTGTTTCAACGCCAGATATAAGCAATGATGAAACAATATTTTCAGTATCTTCAACAGAACAAGCATCAAGTGCTGACAATCTTTTTCCATCATCGGATTCTACCGATCATATTGATGATGTAAATTTTAGTTTTCTTCAACTGCGATGAAATTTTATGATTTGTTCGTATTTAGCTTATGGAAGGATTTTCTGATCAAATAAGTCAACAGTACGAAGTTCTGGTAGAAGAATCATTAATGGAACCAAAAATATCACTTGATTCGTTAATATCATCAGAACAAAGTCTTACACCGACTCCTTCAAATACTGATAATCGACTTGGAATTCATGAAGTTATTAATGAAACTATTCTTATTTCAAAAGGTTTGCTGGTTGTGAAAGCTTTCAATTGTATGTATTCTTCAATTTTAGATGAAGCTAACAGTACTAATGCAACAACTGAACTGATACCAACGATTAGTAGCACGACAGAATCAGGTACTTACGATGTTTCTATCTTCGTTCTCTTACGGTTGAAGTGGGTTAAATTCATGGTTTAAAGAAAAGAAGCTTTCTAGGAAACTTCTTCGAAAATTTGTAAAATTCAAAATGCTCAGTAATATATAATGATCACTAATTATTGAGGAAAATTTCTTTATGGTTTAACTTATTTACATAAAATCGTACTGAAATTGTAGCTTTCCACTAATACCGATAGAGAAGACGCAGATTTATTAATAACTAGAGTGTGTTGAATTCGAATCCAATCGATACTACTTGTAATGCCAAATAGATGGACGAGACGGAAGCATTTTTGCCAGCAAAATCAATGGCTTCGATCAATCTTTATGTTCTTTATTTTTGATAATGAAACTTCATACTCAATCATATTTATCTATTTCAATAGAGTCTCGACGTGCTGTCACCGAAGAAAACAATAAGAAAAATGCAACTAATGAATGCTCTGATCAACAAATTATATTGTATGTATTCTTAATTTTGCTTTCAATTCTATTCTATTTTTATTTTTCATAAAAACCAAGTAGAATAGAAAATGATGTGAATTCAAATGCTGCTAATATTTTAACAACCCCGACAGAAAGTTCTTCTAATCTGATGCAAACAACAGCAATAAATATAACTGACATACCAAGTATTGATGATGAAACAATTCGAATTGAAGATTCAACAAATTTATCTGATCAACAACAAAAACAAAACGATGAAACAACCACTGATGATGATGATGATGAACACACGCTATTAAAATGTCTCAAGTTAACTAATGAACAAATTGAAGCACCCGTCGAAGAAGAGGATGAAGATGATGACGACGAAGAGGACCAACAAGAAGTAAAGTTTCCCATAAGGAAAAAACTAACAATTTTGTTGTTTTTCTTTAGGAAGAAGAATATAATGAAGAACTACAAGAACAACTTCATGGACAACAACAAGAAATAACCCACCGAAATTGGGACGAAGATTTTGTTTTAAAACGACAATTCTCTGGTAAATAATTGTATCCGCAGACAAAATTTTACTTTTTATGTGTCTGTTTTTTTTTGAAGTCTTACTTCCGGCATTCGATGGTCGACCAGGCCGAACAAATATTAATGCCACGCAAGATCTTGCTGTGCCAACAACAATGACACCAAAAGAAGGTAATATGAAAATTAAAACGAAATGAAACTAGATGACACATCTTTTTTTTAGAAACTTTAACTAAACGAAGATCTGATTCCGATGCGTTAACTGCTGCTAATATGACTTTATACATACGAGGACCATCACCGTCTGCACCAGGAGTTTGTATTTTATTTTATAGTTTATATTGATGTATATAGATACATCATATTTTAGATAAAAGATATTGATATTGAAATGAGCGATACCGATGCAACAATTTTTAAATACATTCAAAAATTAATAAATCCATTTCCATCCTTACAACGAATTGATCGTATTAAACGAATTTTCGAGCCAACATACACGTAAGATTGGTAGATTTTATCATTCAAAAGTCTTTTGTTTTGGCTCATTCATCTAGTGACACAACCTGCTTTTAAAATACGTTAGATTGATTTTTCATTAAACCCATATCTAAGTTCAACGCTTCCAGTAATGAAAAAATCGAATAGAAATTTATTTAAGGACTTTTTTGTGGGTTACGCTATTATCTACTGTTATAGTTCAAATGAAGAAAGATATCTGTCAGTTATAGAATCTTTGTATTCATAATTGAAGGAATCATTTTCTTGGCCAGTACATAATCATGTTAATGACACTAGAATATATCTCACTCTAGTAGCTCTATCTGCGTAGCGACGTATTAAATGAGATAATACTGTAAATTTATTGTAGTGCTCTTCCTTTTATAAGCATCTATATAAATATTTTCAAAAATTTCTAAGCTTTACTCGGCAAACATTTCCTAAGGGTATATAATTAGAGAAATTTCGAAAAGCAGAAGACTTTCTTCCTCTTTCAAAACTTCTATTTTTTAATGTTAATCGATTCTATGTAAAGTTTTCATCATGAATCTTTTTGCTCGATTCAATAAATACAATCTTGTTACAAGTAAATCTTTTTCTCTCTCACAATTAAACAGTAACCTTCATTGAAGGAATTTAGGTATCGCCAAAGATGTATTATATCTTGACAATTATTCTATGTACATGTAAATATCTCATCTGTAGAATTAGATCTACGACTTGTAGTCGATAATCTTCGTTCATCATAAGGGCTTCTGATACACTGATAGAACGACCATGAATATTTCTGCTACAATCATTCAATTTACTCGATTGTGCTTTATAGTTTAATCTCATTTTATCGATATGATTAGAGAAATTCTCAATGACAATATCATTTGAATATCTATCTTTTTTTATTTTAAGGATTGTTTATACTGAAAAATTAAATGAACGACCGACATCAACTGTAATGAAATATTCTTTTTCCAATTTAATTTTCAAAAAAAAAAATGAAATATAATTTATTCTAGACAAATGATCTCTGCGATGAAAATCTATTTGATTCATCCAATGACCCCGAAGATATTTGCACTATCAAGGATATTCTTAAATTACTACGTCAATTATATTATTTATCAACAAATTACATTCATACAAATCCTCATTTCAATGAAGCATTTTCAATTGATAATTATTTTTATTCTAAAAAATTAAACAATAAATTACTCCAACAAATTCAAGATTCAATTTTAATTGCATCATCAAGTTTACCATCGTGGACATCATGGTTAATACATAGCTATAAATTTTTATATCCATTTGAAACTCGTCAATTATATTTTCGAACGACAAGTTTTGGCACATCACGCTCAATAGTATGGCTACAGGAACGACGCGAAGAATTAGTTCGTACACTCCGTAATAGTAATCATTCACGTCCGCGTTTATCAAATGAAAATCCTCTACATGAATTTCGTTTTGGTCGTTTGAAAATTGATCGTGCTGTTGCCATCGATCGTGAAAATGTTTTACGTGATGCAATGAATCTATTCCATTATCATGCAAAATTGAAATCTAAATTAGAAATTCAATTTCAAAATGAAGAAGGCACTGGTGATGGACCAACATTAGAATTTTATGCATTAATTGCAACTGAATTACAAAAGCATTCGCTTGGTTTATGGTGGAATCACGATGATTATGATCATCAACAAACAGATTATGTTAGAAAATTAGAAGGTCTTTTTCCAGCGCCCTATCAACAAGATCACAAAAAATTAGATGATGTCTGTAATTATTTTTCATTGGTGGGCATTTATTTTGCTAAATGTTTATTGGATAAATATTTAATTGACATGCCATTATCAATATCATTTTTAAAACTTCTATGTATGAAAACAAAATCCGATGATATATGGTACGATGGTATACTTGATGTAAATGATTTAATTATGATTGAACCATCGAGAGGAAATTTTTTCAAACAACTTTTTCAATTAATTGAAAAACGAAATAAAATTCTTAATGATGAAAATAAAACCGATGAAGAGAAAAATATTCAATGTCACTTATTAAGAATTGAAAATGATTTACATGAACCAGTTGATATTGAACATTTATGGTTTGTATTTAAATGAGTTTTGAACAAAATTTTATTCTATCTACTTTTTACAGTTTAACTTTTGTTTATTCACCACCATCAAATACTTATGAGTATCAATCAGTTGAATTAATTCCAAATGGATCACATACTGTAAGAAAATTTCACATCAACCAATGAATTTTATTCGTCGGCTTTTAGGATGTAACTATCGATAATATTGATCAATATATCAATTTATCACTTCAATTTATTTTGCGTGATGGTATTCGACGACAAATGGATGCATTTCGAAGTACAGAAAAATAGCTGAATCGATTTTTTTCGAATTTCTAATCAACCTTTTTAATTTCTAGATGGATTTAATCAAGTATTTTCAATTCATCATCTACAATGTTTTAATCCATCTGAATTACAATTAGTTCTTTGCGGTAATCAATGGCCATCGTGGACATTAGATGATCTATTGACACATATTGAACCTAGCCATGGGTTTACAAGAGAAAGGTTTTCATGCATCATTGAAATAATTAAAAAACGAAAGTTTTCTTTATTGTTTCAGTGCTGGTTTTACGAAATTTCTTAATGTAATGTTAGCACTCGATGGACTCGAACGAAAATCTGTTGTTCAATTTATCACTGGTTGTTCATCGTTACCACCTGGAGGTTTGTAATTTGTCGTAGTTTATGTTATCATGTTCCTTGCAAGAAAAATCTCTTCATTTGCTTAGGTCTTGCTAATCTTCGACCACGTTTATCCGTAGCACGTAAAGTAGAAGCTGATGACAACTCATATCCATCCGTTAATACTTGCTATCATTATCTCAAATTGCCCGATTATTCAAGTGAAGACATTCTTAAACTTCGTTTAATGACCGCTTGCAAAGAACGAGGTTTTTATTTCAATTGAACGAACTATTTTTGTTTTTTTTCTTTTCTAATGATTTTTTCTTTTGTATAATTTTTTTTCATGTTGATTAGTCCTTTTTCATTTCTCACGTATAGAAAAAAAAGACAAAAATTATTGGGCCTTTTTTCTCCAATATTTTTCTGTAAAAATGAAAATAAAATAAATCAAGATGTGATGCTTTCATGAATCACTGTGTTATTAATCATGCAGAGGGGTAACCGATACTTATTTTTTTTCTGGGATTTATTACCTATATCAGTATTTCGACGCAGCAGAGTTGCATGCGTGCACTACGAGATCGTGTGCGATTTATCCCGACATACAAGGAGATTTATTAATGGATTTAAAAAAAATAAGTCTTGGTACTTGCTTGAAAAGAACTAAGTTGTTATCTTTACAAAAATCCGTCCTTGGCTACCAGACGAAAATTAACAATTTTCTTTATGATTCTTAAGAATATTTATACTGAAGCGTTGAAACTGATCCAAGGCCAGTTACTTTGTATTATTACCATTGTTAGAGAGTAATAAATTGTGACACTATCGTGAGTGTTCCTTGATGTATTTCTATTGAATTAATTTCCATAGAATTCAACGAACAAGTAATCAACTTTGATCGGCAGTAACCAAAAAAGCTAAACGACTGAAAAATTTTCATAGGTATTCCAAAATTTAAATATACTAATCTTTGCATGTCATAATTCCAGTCAAAACAATAATCTTCAATAAGATTGTGCATGATCTTATCTAACTATTAAAAATTATCATTAGCAAAGCCGAACTGAAATATAAATCGTTAGAAAAAATTTCTTCATTGTTTTATTATAATTTGATTTTTCTTGTTGCAATACTCAATAATTTATTTAAAACTAATGTTAATTAGTCTACTGATTAAATATGACTTAAAACCAAACATTGTATATAACGAATTAAAGAAAAAGTAACTTTTATAAGATATATTCTGTGTGTTTCCTATTCAAAAAAATAATTTACTCTATCAGTTTTCAAATGATCCACAAAGACAATTGACTGGAGACGTACAGTTTCCCACGAGCACAAAGAAATGATGCAGTCAATATGAATTCACTCGATTAAATATATTACATCTCAGCCACTTTCAAACAAACTTGTCTAGGAGCACTCTCTTACAAAGAATGCTGTCCACATTTCAGATGCTATGTTCTTCTGTGTATGCTAGATAGGAATCAGTTTATTTTTTAGCTTGAAGATAGAAAATGAAGATATTAAAAAACAGATATTTACTTCGAGTCTAATAAGCTTCATCCAACAACTTTCGAGCTTTCTCTAGAGTATCTCAAGGGAAGAAAATATTCACTTTTTAGTTTCATATCACAGCTGAATCTTTCCCGACCTTTTTTCAAATTACATCGCAAAAACAAATAGTAAATGTTCTTTTTGTAAGCGGATTCATCGATGCACACATAAGTTCATATCCAGGGTTGCCACCTCTTCCGCTTTTTTTCCGCTTTTTCATATAAAAGACTTTCGTTGTTTAATTGAAAACTTAACCATGCAAGAAACTAGATAACGTGATGTTAGACGAAAATTTCTTGGAAAATAATTTTCTAACGTATAATTCTATACAATTCTTGAAAAATTTTCGCTTCACATGATAGATTTTCCAATAAATTTTTCTAGTGAAACACATTTCGTGTTCATTTTGGCCTCCACTATGAAATACATTCACCTGGATTTGAAATGCCAGTGAAGAAAAGAAAATTTCTTTCAAGTTCTTATTCATTTGTTAATATAATAGATGAAAGCATAGCCACATTCGACAGCTGAATGTAAAGAACAACATTATCCTCTTAGACTTGTAAAAAGCGAGCTTTATTTTTTGGATTGTACGTTTTTCGGGTCAATGTTTTAATTTGTGCCAAAAAGGAGTCGCATTCGGCGGCTATATGTGGAAAGGAATATATATTTTTTGTTCTATTACTCTGAAAAATGAGTTTCAGTTTTTTCGATTGCATCTTTTCGCATAAACTTTTAAAGTGCTGTGCCAAAAAAGAGCCACCTTCGGTGGTATATTCTCTGCGAAAAATAGTGAACTGACAGTCGCAATACGGGCATTTCACTATCACAAAACGAACATTTTTTGGGACGATACAAACATTTTCCCTGTATGGCACTTCTAGAAAAGATGAGTAGAAAAAGAATTGACAGAGAAAAGATATTTATTTTTGGACCGGAAATCGTTTATCTTTTCTTCTTGGAGTTTCAGGCCAGGTACGCCCTGATATTTTTTATGAGTTGTCTATTATGTTGTGGAACTGCGAACAAAGTAGTACTATGAGCAATAAAACAAGGTTACTTAAACTCTTGGAAATGTGAAAGGTCAGCAAAAAGCAGCTTTCCGTTTTTTTTTCTGTTTTTTCTATTTTTGTTTCCGCTATTTTCCGTTATTTCCCGCTCTTTTTGATCAAACTTTCCGCTTTTCTGACCTGATGAGGTGGCAACCCTGTTCTTATCTTACACTTTTGATTTCCGAATGATAACGATTGCAAATAGTGGTCGACGAGTACTCCTAAAGCAAGACTCCATTCAAATAGACGGCGGGGGAAACTCTCTGAAGTTATTAAATTCCAACACAGATAACATAATGAGTTACTGAGCTGTCGAATATCATAACTGGAAAGCGAAACGCTGCAGTTACGAACTAGTGACATCTATATCATATCTACTGTGACATGTTTTTCAATTAATGTTATTTTTACTATTATTTTAATAATTTAAATTTAGAGTACTATATTAAATAAAATTCAAGAAAAAAATTTCTTGAAAAGATTCATTCTTCAAACGGAGGTCTAATTGGTATTTGGTTGTAAAAAAAACTTCAGAATGTATAGTTATTTTTTATCGGTGGCTATTCATAACGTATCTATAATGTTTAGTGATTCGTGATAGCATTTTTAGTCTAGAGCGCATTCACTTGACTCTTTAAAAGAAAAAGAAAACATAATAAAACTAAAATAAAAAGATTAAATTTAAAACTCAATATTTTTTCTTCCCTTAAATTCATATCACAACGATATTCCGATGATGGAAAACTTTTTTCATGTTGAACATATTTTTGTAATGATTCACATGCGATGTAATGAGACTGATGGAATTAATCGTTGTTAAAATCTTAGCTTAAGTTTAATTTTTTTTTCTAATTAAAATTCAGATTGGTTTTCATGAATAATTACTAATAAAAGAAAATAATGGTTCATTTTTCTCAATCATTGATGCCCGATATTCCACTAGCAACATCGTTACCAACAACCTTTACGTTTCAACCAAACCATAATCAACTTGATGAGCAATCAGCACTGCAGCAACAATCTGTTGCTTCATCATCTCAATCTCATTCAAGTTCATCAACTCAACAACGATCATCTTCGAATGATGAATCTACTAATAATAATCAAACACATACAAATGATTATGAAACACGTTTACGGTAGATACTCTCGGAAAATTATTTTTATCTCTATTTCGTGCCTGTTGTTTTCTTTTCTCTCATAGCTGTCCGAATTGTGATACATGGGTGGTTAATTTAAGTGATCATTTACGTAAAACACATCGAATAGCTTCACCAGTTGATCGTAAACCATTACTTCGTATGGCACGTTTAGAAAAACGTCGCATGACTGAATCTGCAAATAATTCATCAACAACAAATCGTCGGCCACCAGAAACAGTTGTAGTGAATGGTTTGCAACCATCACATACAAATACAAATAATGAAATAGAAAACTTACTTTTTAAACAAGAACAAGATCCAACTCCGCAATTTTCTGTTACATTACCAGAAAATATTTTACTTAGTCATCAAATAACGAATTCTATAGCTCATTTTTCAACACCAATAATAAATAAACGACCACGTGCATCAGATGATCACATCGAACACACAATGAATGGACCATTATCACCAAATAAAAAGACACGTTTAGATATTATTGATGCCTCAAAACTACCGCAAACAAATCATTCATCATCGGGTAAATCAAGTAAAAAAAATAGAAATAAGCAACAACAACAACAGCAGCAGCAGCAGCAACAACCACAACCACAAACAATTATTAAAACATCAGCATCAGGGATTTTCCCGCAACAAACGGTTGCACTGCAACATATTGATGAAAGTTCAGATGATGTGAGTCAATCGAAAAGAATAAAAACCGATATTGAAAAGTCTTACAAGGAATTATATTTAATTCTTCGAGCAAGCCAAAATAAAGCTTTTATTTTCCATACAGATTACCGTAGTTCTGAAAGTTTCAAAGAAGAATGATCTAGATATTCGACATTCAAATTAGCTTGAATGCTACGTCTTTCTTCTGATGAGCTACTATGATGCTTTTTGGATATGAAAAAATCTGAGAAAAATATATTTCTTTCAGTTGAAACTTTGAGGACTATTGTAGACGTAAGAATAATTCTTAGTTTTAGATAGCTTCCTGTGAGTGAATATCTTATCAAAACCACTCATAATTCTTTATTATTAGATCTAAATTTTTAACCGGACGCCATCTTACAATCATTTAAAAGTGAAAAAAAAATAGAATGCTTCTCTTTCAATATGAAAACATAATCGAAGTGATCACAGATTTCTATGACAATATAACTATTTCGCTAGAAACTTTCACCATGTGATGAAATTTTATCATCTTCATTTAGATCTTTTGAAGTGATCAACTTAGAGTTTTATTTTAAAAAGAAATTCTCAATAAAACTGGTTCACAGTGAACTTATTAGATAACACTATTGAATGTTTAATAGTTGAAAAATAGCAAGATTGATATTATCTCAAAGACTTTGAGCTGAGAATTTATTTTCTTTAAGAAATCAAGTATTCCTTCAGTTTTAGTAGCATCTATGAGAGTTCATCTCAAAAGCAATTTATCACTTCGATACAGTTTGATATTTTCGAATCGATCCATGAAACCATTCAATTGAGATGTGTCCTATGTATGATATAGTGGAATACCTCGTAGAATGATAGATATATAAATAGGATACTGGCAGAAATCTAATCCGAAGCAACCGATCAGATGAATTTAAGTAGTTATGAAGATGTGACTAATATCAATATAGATTTTACATCGCTTCTATTTATATTATAAGCACAAATTCTTTCAGTTTTATGTTTACTTGAACTATAGAACTTCTTCTGGAGAATCAATCTTTTTGAAAAAGATAATATTGAATATTCTAGCTTTCAAAAGTACTACAAATGATGGGCAATGAAATGAATTTTCTTAATCAGCATTTACAAACAACGTCAATTCTATTACAAAAACAACTCGATTTAGCACGTGATAGTTTACATGCCTGTTCTGTTCAATTTGCTCGTATGTTTTAAATATATTTTTATTTTAAAATAAAATCTTTTCACACTTAGATCTGAAACGAATGATTCAACAACAGATTTGATCTTTTTTTCTTTTATTTTGAAAACAACAAGAAATATGAAATTTAACTATAATTTGCACATTATATATGTATTAATAAATTTGCTGTTGTTCCATTTCTTTATTTTGATTATGATGTGAAAAAAGACAAAAATTCATGTGTCTATATGTGTGTCTGTGTCAATTTGTTCATCGCTTTAGTTTGTTTTGTTATATATACATGCATGTATAGATAGATTGAAGATTATTGAAACACAAAACATTGTCGACATATTTGTTTTTCTTTTTCAAACTTCGCTATTCTATAAAGTTTTTGCTTGGTATTTTTTCCCAGTATCCTTCATTTGTCCGATTAACAATCTACGACTGTCATTTTTTTTCCGATTTCTTTTTTCTTTTTTGGTTTAACTGTGTGTATTGCAGTCAATTGTTTCTTGATATCTATATATACAAATATAGATGTATGTATACACGTATGTCTAAACATGAAATAAATTTGTTTAGCTTACATAAGAAAGAAAGTCTTGAACAATGAAAGTAAAAGAAAAAATATTACAGTAGAGAGCGGGGTAAGACATGTGAGAAAATCCATATATTGATATTTTAGATGGAAGTTGATGGTGAAGTTGAAGTAGAAGCTGATTTGACAACTTCAGCGTCTACAACAGTTTTAACAACTACGACTACCACAAGTGGCAGCCATTCATCCATACCAGTTCGAGTTATTTTACCGACCTCATGTGAGTGCCTCTTGTCCGTTTTCAACCGGATTAGTTGGCCGTTTTGTAGAAAAATAAAGACTGAAGATTATTTATGTTCGACATTCCAGACAAATTCAGTGAATAAAAAGAGAAATAAGGACAGCCGATAGTATCCTTGATTTCAAATGAAATTGTGTTCCACTTATCTTTTGTTTAATACTGAAAGTTATCGAATGAAATAAGTATAAGTATGTTAGAATAAATTACTTTTTTCATTAAGATAGTTACAGAGTTCACTAGAAAGAAAATGTACAGGAGAGCAAGACAAGTCTCTTAAAATGGCGTTTGTAATGAGATATTGTATTCGATATGCGATCATAATCGTACTACGAAATTTCATCATGAATAACACTCAAAGAGATAAGTTACGACGAAATATTATATATATATAAGTACTCTTTATGAAAATTATCTAGTCATTGAAGAATACTTGTAAAATTCTAGAAGAATAATCTATTAAGATAGATTTGTTTGAATTAAATCTACTCGAAATTAGTATTATAACACTTGAAGAATCCATACGTGTGAATAATTTATTTTAAAAGCTCAGAATTCTGAGTTGACTGCAAGATAGAAGGATATATTTGTAGGAATTTTACATGATGCTTGTTAGGCAAGGTACAGGATATGATAGAAACTTTCTCAATAAATCTCTCGTTTTCAGTGGAATAAAGCAATTGTAAACTTCTGTCTCTCTCTTCCTCTCTGCAAGTACAATCGTCGAACGTTAAATTTTCTACTTTACATATTCCTTGCACATTTTTAAAGCATTCGACGAAGGAATTCGTAATTAAATAGCGAAGATATCTATCTGGAAATAGATTTATAAATTAAAAATTCACTGTTAAAACATGCTTCAGATAGGTCAGCAGTAGAAAAAAGTCATTTAGAAATGCAAACTACTGGTTAGTTTTCTTCTGATACTGAAAATTTATCACTGCGTCTAACGAAATTGAATTTTATTATTTTTCTTTTTTACTTTGTCGTTTAAAGATCAATTCGTTATAAGCCAAGAAGATGCCAACCGTTTATTGGAAATGCGACGTGTATTTTATCAAAAAGAAAATGAACGAAAATTATCTAAATTAGGTCTTCCAGTATTAGTTGATCATGATGGACTTTTATCGACAACGACATCAACCATTGACGATAGTGCGAATTCTAACGCAGTATCTTCTTCAACCGGGAAGCTTATTCGACGTCGTGATATGGAATGGCTTTCAATCGTATTACCATTTGTTAAAAAATATAATCCACATTGTGGCGTATGTGCATCAAGTAAAAATTATGGCCGACGTTTAGATACAGCAAATAGTTATTTATTACGGTCCTATTTCTATTGTCAAGGTCGTGATTGTCCATTTAATTGTACCGTTACAATAAAAGAAAACGGTAAAGCATTATTATGTTCACGTTTTTCGAATGGTAATATTGTTGATCATCGAAATGCCAAACGTGTCGCACGACCAAATCGTTCTTTAAATAAATCAAACATACGCAATACGAGTAATAATAATAATAATGATAATAATAATGATAATAATAATAATAATAATAACGAAATGCGTTCTGATAATTCAACAAAACGTTATCGTAAATCACCAAATTCAAATCCAATATCAAATCAATGGAATCAAACATTTACCGATGAATTAACAGCAAATTTTAATACGAGTGATTTAAATTTAACAGATACTGATTTCGAAGAAACATTACGTTTATCATCAACAAAACGTTTTATTAATATGTGTTGTAATCTTGTTCAATTAGCAACAAATCTACGTCAAGAAATTGATCCAACTGGCCTATTGCCAGGTGCATTACAACATGTTTCATTAAGTCCATTTCACATTGCTGTTCATACGGAAAATTCACTACGATATTATCATTCAGCGTTAACGAAAAAAACACTTGATAAACCGCCTCCACTTCTATATATTAAACCAACCGCTACCTGTATTCAGCAAAATAATACAATTAATACAGCTAGTCAAAGTATGTTTTTAATTCAGAACAGTTAGGCTACTCGAGTGATCATAGGAATTGAAAGTTGTGAGAAACGTTGCTTTTTTGTGTACTCAAAAAAAAAAGAGTACACTATAGAATCGGTCAGTGTGTCCGGCCGTCCGTTTATTCGATAACTCTTCACAATTACATTCGATTGAGCTGAAATTTTGTGCACAGAATTGTCTTATCAATATCTAGGTCGAGTTCGAAGATGAGAAGGATCCGTCAAGAAATGGCTGAGTTGTCGAAAAAATTGTCATTTTTGATCAGACCATCCCTGAGGGGGAGTACAGGGATTTTTCACAAAAAAAAATTTCTCAGAATTATTCACAACATATATAAATCGACTCAGTTTTTAACGCTGATTCTAAATCTGATATTAGTTTTGAACTAAATCATAGCTTTCTAACGAAACATCGCCTGAAAAACGTCTCAAAATTCACAAAAACTCCATCCAGAAATCAAATGGTCTAGTTTCTCATGATAATTTTCGTGTTCAGGCATTCTAGAATGACTCATATGTCGCATGCACTTTTTGCAGTACACATAACTCTCGGATGAAATCCGAAGTTTCCACATTTATTTCTCTTTCATGACAGTAATAGAAGGTATACAAGATTCAATAAATAAAAAATAATTTTGAAATTCTATGTGCGCGTGTGACACGTATCGTCTGCTTATCAATCTTCTTTTTTTTCAATGTCTGTTGCGATATTTATTTATAGAGAATTTTATTCCAATTTCTCAAATAATGAACTTCAAAAACTTTCTATCAATTGAATATTATTGTTTTGATTTTTTTATTGCCTTTTTGTAAATATTCTTTAGTAATTATTCTCAATCATGATATTATTTATCATCCAGCTCGAACAAATTCGTCCTTAACTACTCCAACAAGAATCACTGCATCGACCTGTATACCTCAACATCATATTGCCTATATGTTTATCGATAGTATTGAAGTAAGTTTCATTATTCTTTCTTTTCTTTTTGTGTAAGGTTTAATACAAAAAAATTGTTTCTGTTATTTTAAGCATGATGATAAAAAATTATTTTATTGTGAATTTATGTTGAGTAATCTCGATGATTCATCATTCATTCCAATAAGTTTTTCTTACACAGAAAATGCCGATGATACTGTTGCTCAAAATTACGTCCTGAAATCATGGTTAGAACGTTTTCGTTTTGATCATGAACATTTATATAAATCTTCATTACCATCGTTATCAAAAAATTATTTTTTTCCACAACCATTACTGATCCTAGTCGATGATCATCGGGAAACACCATTGAATAATTGTTGTCTACAATTTTTTAATAATGAAACATTTAAACAAGTTTGTTTGAATAATAAAATAATATTTGCACTTTTTTATTTTTATTTTTAGTATACTATGCGAACATATTTACTTGTTTCATCGAAAATAGAATATCCTGCCCAACAAGAATCCACGAATCGAATTGTTCTTTATGTTAGTTCTTCTTTAATTGTATATGATTTTCGTACACTTGTGAATAAATATGTTTCAAATGAACTTCGTCAGCTAGCACTATGGTCAAGTCTTTTGTTATTATATACTCAAACATGGCGTGAAGTTAGACAAAATTGGTCATTAATATGTGAAATATTTCTTAATTGGGGAACCAATTTTGTTTCATTAAAAGCATATGAAGAATTATGCGCCAAAGTAGCAAAAATTGAAAATGATCCTGATATCACACATCTGATGGATCTTATCTATAGTAGTACAAATACGATAAACCATGATGAACAACAAGACGAACAAGATAACGATGATAATAATGAGGATAAAATAAGTGATGGTGTGGTTGATCTATCAGATTTTCAAAATGATCATATTTATACAAAAAATGTAAGTTTATTTTAGAAGGTTTATTTACGGACTTATGGATGGGAGACATGAATAGATTGTGATATTTTACATTTAACGAAGTCAAATTTCAACAATTTCGATGAATCTTTCATAGATTGAGAATATTGGATCTCAATAACGTTAGTTCAATTCAATAGCCAGATAGACATATTCGATTGACGATGAGCAACCTGTAAATAAAACTTGCGTCTTCAGATGATTACAGAAAACACTTAGGAAGTCTTGAGAGTATAAAATTATCAGTTTCCCAGACAACATAGTTATTTACAAAACTGAAATTAACAATTCTACTGAGAACTTTACTTTGTATCTACAGTGTTCAAGACACGTTTTCTAGAAAGAAATACAAGTCGAATAGTATATCGTGCGCTTTTGTTTTGTCTTATATTTCGGACTTAATCCAATAATTATTGAATATCGAGAAAAAAAAGGTATTATTTAACTTCTAAATTTTTCTAAAAGATGATCACCAATGAAACAAATCGTTATGTATCGCCCTATGAAAACGATCTACGACGAATATTTAACGAAAAGAATAAATCTAAAACAGCTTTAATATCTTCGTGGGACACATTATCAATATCAGATCGAACAATATTAAGAAAAATTAAAGGCAACTGGAAATGGCTACATCTATTACTCAAAGATTATATACCATCCATACCACTTTGGTCAAATTTAATACATTCCATATCGAATAATGTTAAACATGTTCGCCTGAACAAACGTATAACAAGGCTAATGATTAGTAAAGATAAACGAATCAATCAAATAAAACGTATTCAATTAGCTGAACGTGTTCATAGGAAAACTGACCTTGTTATCAGCAGTTTAGCAAAAGATTTAAATTCACAAGTAGCTAATGCTGATTTAAAACAATAGAAATGGCAAGAACGAACAATTGTTTTTCTTTCTTCATTTGTACATATTTTGTTTTATTTTGCTTCCAATTAACACTTCTCTGTTTGTACTTATATACATATATATATGACTGTTTTCTAGTGAATTTTCTTGTTTCTTAAGACAAAGTTTAACTGTTGATCACATCATATTGGTTATGCTATTCATTGCAAATAGATAATGATATTTTTTAATTGATAAAAATAACAAATTGTTACAAGTGAAATTAAATGATCAAAACTAAAAAAATAAATACTTCACTAAGATAATGAAACTTTTGTTCTAAGGCTGCTAAAATTTATTTAAAATTCTCGTTCTTTTGCTTTACCACTACTGTGATTGTTATATACAATGGTCATTTAGTCTTTATTTAATATTTTAATAAGAAAATTTCACAACAACAAAAACACTCGATGCATAATATACAACATCAAGTTTAACTATCGTTGGTATCTTCAAGTTTTTGATTTACTGTCACCATTTATGAAATTCATGTAACTCTGTGATGGATTGCCGCCTATCTATGTAGAGAAGCGATTTCAATGATTATCATTGTGATCGATGAAGTTCGTAAAAAAATTCTAAAACAATGATAAATATACAAGCAGCATTTTTTAAACCTAAACTGAAATTAAATCTTTATAGATCGGAAGAATATTTCATTGTTTGAGAAGAAAAATTGTTGTGTAACACTTGTTAAATATTTCTATGGTTTCAAACAATAAAATGATTGACTTTTATTGTTGTTTTTTATTGATTATTTCCAATATTTTATTATTATATTATATATAAATGAGATAAAAAAAGAAAAAGAAAAGAAATCAGTCATTGTATTTTCAGATTTAACAAGTTTTCTTGTCACTCACATATTCATTGAGATAAAAAGAAGATGTCAACTCTCTGAAATAGTTCACCTAATTTCTGTTGTTCTTGTCAGTCCTTTTCATGATCATTATCGTGTCGGCACGGGAGCATATTTCGCTTTAATATATCGCATTAAAGTAAATGTGCCAAGAATAGCAAAGAGTGTAAAGATCAATTCGATAACCAGTTTAGTAATATCTTCAGTTAAAGCATAGATATATGTGTTGCTGTTATTGTCATTGTTTATTTGTGTAGAAGCGTCATTAATTGAATCATCTGTAGGCACCGAGATTTTTGGAGCTGCTGTTGTCGTTGCAATATTTTGCGGTGCTGTTTTAACAATGCGTAAGATACCAAAGACTAATGTTAAACCAAAAACGAGAATAAATACGATCCCTGAAACCATTAATATAGCTGCATTGTCGAACCTAAATTTTTATGTTTACGTTTAACAGAAGTTTTTAGTTTTTAGCCAGTACATACCATGTTGCATAAGTAGCCAAAAATATTGAAATAAGAATTATACCACCAATAACAATCAAAGCAATAGCAAATGGATCGGTGGGTCGTCGAACTGTTTCAACAATACCATGAATAACATAACGAAATAATGTACTTGATAAAAGAAATCCATAGAAAATTGTTAATAGAATTCGAATGCCGCGAATTTGTTTTTTCTTTTCCAAAACCATCGTTTATCTATAAAAAAAAATGAATAGTTAATATATTCTATTCGTCAACGTACTTCGATAAGTAAATGTACAGTTAGGTTATCATATTCATGTGTTCTATGAGTTTACTTTCGTTCTTTCTTTTTTCTTTTCGTTGCTCTACTCCGTTTTATTTAAAGCGCATCTCCTAACCTGATGAAAGCATTGAAAACGATTCAATTTGGTTACCACTACATCGAAGTTTTTTTTCATTCTTTCTTTCTTTCTCTCTGTGCGTTTGTCTTAATCTTATCGCAATGTGCTTGTAGCGTTGATCTACATATTATGGTTGACAGACACACAGAACGATAACTATTGGCTCTAACTAAATAGACGATACAGTAAAAAGAACAACATGATCAGTTATATATTCAACGAATGCTATAAAATACAGATATATGAAGAGAAATATAAAAGAATATCCTGGTTCTTATGTTTCCTATAGCAAAAGGTCAAATAGTATAATTGATAGAATTTTCTCTCGTTAAAAGGCATCAACTGATAGAAGCGACATAGTTGATTGATTCAAAAAGATTATTTTGAAAATATTGCATTGTGCTTGAGTTGAAATTGAAAATTGACTTGAATAGTTCCGCATATGAGTCATAGTATAAAATTACTTTGACCTTTTCATATAGCATGAGAAATAGATCTGCATCATCATAGCAAATTAAGATGATATTCTTCTTGTTTATTCGACGATCAAATCAATCATAATCTTTAGTAGACTTTTAGTTTAGTTTTGTCCTTCAATTAACTTCTATACAAACATAATCAAAAGTTTTATCCTGCTTTATATTAATCCAAAATCAATAGTGAACAAGTAATAATTATTTAGTTAATCGTGTTGATCCACTTAAATATTTCAACATTTCTATTATGTTTCCTACATAAAACATGTCTGTAACTATACTGATTTGTTTAAGGATAACATCAATATATGTCGAATAATTATCATCGAATTTTATTTTAGTAGCTCCTTTTGGCAAAATCATGTCTATTTATACTACATAAGAAAGAGATTAGCTAAGTTGTAGGGATGATTGAAGTTGAAAATGTACTCATTAACACTTTATTTTGTCATCAATAATGAATTGTATCAGTTGTATTCAACTTGATCTGATAGGAATTTGTTGATTTATTCTTTCTTTTAAAGGTAAACTAATGAAATGACCGCAGCATTAAAAATTAAAAATAATCTATTTGACATCTATTTTATTTACTTACTAAATATTGGATTTACTGATATTTATTTTTGAGATTCTTTGCACGTTATGACGACAACTTCTGTGTATCACAGAAGTAATCTGGGTATTAATATCGCATTACGATGCCATATCAAAAATCTTTTATTTCTTTTTCTTTTTCTTTTTATTTGTTCAAGAGAGTAAAATATCTACTTTACGTTGAGAAAAATTGTGAAAGCATGTGATTCAATGGTATTGTTTTAAGAGGAAAGCTTCGATTTGAAAGGTGTTAGGTAATCTTCTTTACTGTACTCGATGAGAATCGTTTAAGAAGCATGAAAATATTTATACATGGGTTTTCTTCATATAATTACATGAAATAGCTGCAAAAATTCGAAAGATCTGCGAAGCGTATTTGACATTATGAATAGAAAGAAAAAATCTTGTTCGCCTATAGCGATAGATGATTGAGCTTCGAATGAAATCAATCTAAAATCTATTGAGGAATTGCTCTCAATGCACTCGTATGATGATTAAACATACATATTAAACTCCAATACTATAACAGACTTCTAGATTCAGAAAAAATGGAAAATATACGGAGTGAATTTAATTTTGAAGGTTTTTTAAAGGCGCTTGGTTAAACAGAAGAATAATAAAATTTTATTATTTTATGTTCACTACTCTAGATACTAGAGTACCGTTCTTGTTTTCAGATGAATTTTTTTAATCTCGCATGATAGAAAGAAATTTCCAAAAAAATTGTGATAAAATTTCCAATCCGTTTTAAATTCGAAAATTACAACGTGTATTCTCTTATTCTGTCAAATCCTAAGCTTACAACGAGAAAAAGAAAAGAAATTTATTGAATCTTATTTTGTTTTAATAGTAGATGTTAGTTTAAAAAGAATCGACCTTTTAGATTGAACCTCTTACGATTTATTTAACACATATTTCTGAGTTCTAGTACCATAGTGAGTATTCATTAGAAAGATTGAATCTAAAACGAAATCATAAAGATTAATTGAAAGATTGAATTTTTATGTATTCGAATCCATCAATAGAATATAGATGTAGTTCACTCATGTTAAGTATTTTAGGGAAAAAAAAACTAATTTATAATGATTATTGAAATGAAAAAAAAACAGTTCAAAAGTAGCAATAATAATAAAATCTGTAACAAATTCACATTTTATGGTCTCATAAAACCTTGATTTCTTTCAGGTACTATCCACTTTTTATTGTTTATACAGTGACTTTTAATTGTCTTCTTTTTTTCTCTTTTCTCTACAATATACACAAACATTACGTGCCGAAATGTAAAATAGACGTCTGCATGTATAAAATCCAAAGTTGTCAATATTCGTCCTATTTGTTGAATCGTTATTAACCAAACACAAACACAAAGACATGTAAATATATCACTGAATGTAAATAAAAGTTCAACTAAGAAAAAAAGGATTATTGAACAAAATAACAGTGTGTGAGTTTAAACTAGATATGCATATTTGTCGACTCCACAAATTGATCAATCTATTAAAATATAAGAAGAAGAAAAAATGTTCAATGATATTCATTATTTTAGTCAATATACCTTTGAAATACCTCGATGAATAAATAAATCAAGAATATATAAATCTTCTTTTGTTTCTTGTAAATGACGTCTATGCATTTGTGCTTCATCTGTTGCTAGTACCAGTTGTTTTAGATTGTTCATAGAAGATATATTGGCATTAATCGATACTTCAATCACCTAAAGGTTTTAATTGAAAAATATAATATTCATAAAAAATGAAACAAATTGTATAATTTAATGACATACTTCTTTAACAAGAGGTCGATCGATACTTTGTTGAGCATTCATTACTGTTAATTGTTGTCTCCGTAAATTTTCAATTGTTTGTTCAAGTTCAATCATAACCCATGCAAATCGATCAAGAATTTGTCTTCGAACATTCAACAGATCTTGGTCGTCGTAGGATTCATCTGATTGTGTATATTGGTTAAATAAATGTAAACGATGTTGACTAACAATACTCAGATATAATTTTAATGTTTTCAAGAATTTCTAAGAAATAAAAATTAGATTTTAAGAAAAAGAAAACCACATATTCTCTTACAGAACGGCTCAGTCTAATGCAAGGATCTGTTTGAACACATTTATCATCACTTTGCAAAGTCGTCTAAAATAATGAAAAAAGCGTAAGTTTGAAAAATATTTTTGTTTTGTGTTCACTTACCATTTAAAAATAGATAAGTATCAAGAAAAAGTTTAACGATTATCTTTTCATCAATAGCGAAAAAACTTTCTGTACAAAGACACGTGTTTCTCTTGACGTATAGATACTCTTACGCTCACCTTTTCTTTTTTGCTTGTTCAGGACACAGAATTGCTTTTCATGTATGACAGCTTAAATACACATATGAATTGTCGAATGAAAGTGGCTTTGACACAAAAAAAAGCAGAACGTAGAATAACAAGTAGTTTATGGTTACTGTTCTGTTAATGATATGTTTGCGTGTTGCTGCTTATCAAAATATGATTTGCCTGAAAGCTAGACAAGGTCGATAGGAGGATCAAATCCAGTGGATTTTTCTTTTTCGTTCGATACGTAAACACGATGAAACCCTTCTTAAACAGATCGGATGTTTTTCACGTCATATATATATATATATATGCACGTTTTAAATCGTTGAATGCATTCATAATAAATGGATTCTTATTGATTTTACATGTACGCTTTCTTACCTAATGTAATTGAAAGTAAATAGTGTTAGAACTCGATTACATACGCTTGAATTCGTCTGTTCAGCGTTATAGTTAAATGCGCATTTGCAATTTTTGTATGTTTATAACTTCAATCAATGCGAATAATTTTAGAAAGAAATTCGTATGTATTTGTTTAATGGATTTTTAAATACCAATAAAAATCAAGGGCAAACGAAAAAAAAATGACTTTATGATATTTAAAAAATAAAATATTGTCGATCAAGTTGAATCATCGCCAATTGTTGTTCGACTCAGCTGATAATAAAGATAAATCTAAAAATAAGCTATGAAAATAATTACTAATATGAGATTGATCATTTTTCATCTTAAAACCAAGCAATAGTAAGTTAAAACTTACTAATAGTATTTCAATAGAATATAAACTTACTTAAATCCATTTCATCAAATGATTGTGATTTTAATGTTAGTTCCAATTTATGTTTCTTGTCCGATGATTCTGAATTTTCAACGTCGAATTCATTTATAGTTGTTTCCTGTAATGATATAGTACGTGAGGCAAATAATTGTCGTCGACGATTTTTTATTGCTGTTTTTATAGAATTAGAGGATCGATTTTGAGGATTAACAGTTTTTTCAAACATTGACTTATTGTTTCGAAGTTTCGTCGATAAGTTATTACTAACGATTGTTTGAATACGTCCTAATAAATGATTAAATTGATCTGCGTTTACGATTGTAGACGATGGATCAGATCTATTAGAATTATTTGATATTTCTGCTTCGGTGATAGCTGTCAATAAGGCTTCATTGTCATTCAATGTCTCAGGTGCATGATCGATGTCAGCTGTTACTGATGTTGACTGTAAAGATGATAAGTAATTTAATAAAAGAGATGAAATGCGATAAATGAGAATATCTTCTTTATGCGAATCAGTCACTTGAGAAGTATTTTTCATCTTGTCCAATTCAACTGGAGTAGAACTCGATACTGTGATATCGTTAGGGGTCCAATCAGGAACAATAGTTATCTGTTTAAGATAAAAATAAAACGAGAGAAAATTTTAATTTGATATTTAATTATAAAACTTACATTATTTTGACTTGAGGAAGCTGTTGAACTTTTCTGTGAACCTTTTCTACTGTTAGGTTTTGAAAGAGGTTCATGCGACAATAAATGATTGAAATAATAAGTACTGGATCGATTCATAGGAACTGCAACACTTTCTTGATTTGTATTATGGTGTTCGCAACATAGAGTTGTTGAATTTAAGAAAGTTTTCGAATCATCTTCATTAGTTGAATAGCTAGCTGCCGTGTCTGATCTAGATCGTATCATATTTTCTGTTGGTAAGTTGCTACCTGACTGCTGTTGAGATACAGTTGAAGCAAGTAAATTGAGTAAACTATTAATTTTGATATATTTAGATGCGAGTAAAGGATTTTCTTTGTCTAGACTATTCATTAAACGAACATTATTTATTCGTTGAATAAAATTTTCATCGTCAAATATTGAATTTGAATTATGTATTTGTCCTGCCAATGCAAGATCATAAATACCTTGTTTATATAATTCATACTGATTGTATGGCGTAAGAATAGATGCAATTTGAGCTTGATCGATAACTGATTTAATAAAGATTAATTTTCGTACAGCATGGCGAAAACGACGAAGTATAGCTTCCCGCCGACGAATACTACTTTGATAAGTACCATCAATTACCAGTTTTGCTTGCGATGAAGCCAGTAATGCAGCTGAAACATTTCTAAAATGAAGAGCACCAAATATGACTGGACCAAGTGCAAGATGATAAGGACCCAGCAAAATATGAAGAGTATCATCACGATTGTCAACAAACGTTTTAGCTGAATAAATTTGTGAAAGCCGACCAATTGTTTGTGATATATTATTAATTTTGAATAGTTCTTAATAAAATAAAGTAAAGAATAATAGTCAAATGTGTGGTTTTGTATTGTTCAATGGTTAAAATTACATACCTAATTCTATGACGGGTTTTAAATCAGGAAATAAGTTAGTTAACTTTTCGAGTTTACATGTATTTGATTTCGTGTCATCTACGAAAAACCTGTATGGTATAAGTCGATAAGCTTCGCTATCCATTGAAGCCATGGTACATGTAAATTACCAAATATCAGAATTAATTTCCTGGATAAATAGATACTTCATATATTGAGAAACTTTTACTACTAGGGATGTAACAATACCATTTGGAGACACATAAAGATTGCCAATTTTCACAATGAAAATCTACCAATACTGGGAATCTTTTCTATTGGTATTGGTATTCTATATATTCCTACCAGATAGAACTTACTTCGCTGGTTATAACTAGCGCAAAGTATGGGTTAGTATTGGTAGATTTTCATTGTGAAAATTGGCAATCTTTATGTGTCTCCAAATGGTATTGTTACATCCCTACTTACTACAAAACGATTTACACAAGTGTGTCTTCAACAATAATTATATACACAAGGTGATAAAGGAAAAAAATACGTTGTATACATAGTGAATGCACGATTTTAATGCGCACGTTGAAATATCATGTATAATTAACATGTTATATTTTTTATGTACAGTTATTTTCTCTATATCATTCGTTGTTTCATTCTCTGTGCATTACCTTTCGTTTTTTCTCAACTGGATTAATAATGCATGTCGGCAAAAACATGCGACTACCGTATTCCATGATTCATGAAGTGTATGAATACTGTCTCATTCATCGTTGACAGAAATTGGTTGTACTGTAAGCGTGTGTTGTATCTAGAGGCGGCGCCAGGAATTCAGACTGGGGTGGGCTCGAACTACCTTAGTTTTGAAAACTGAAAAAATGAATGGAAAATTTGTCGAATTTTTGGATCAGTCAAAACTGTTGCTTATTCCATGCTAAATAGTTCGCATGAATGTATAGAAGGCTTGGAGTAGTTTTTGATCGGGTTGCCACACCTTCCGCTTTTTCACTAAAAACAAACTTTCTTTTTTTATTGAACAATTCTGCGTACAACAATAAACTAGATAAGATGCTACTCGATGAAAGTTTCTTAGGAAATTATTTTCTAACTCATAATTTTCTTGAATTATAGTAAAACTTGCGCTTCGCACAATAGATTTTCCAATAGATTTTTCCGTTAAAACACTTCCGCTTCATTTTGGCTTCCAATACGAAATGCGTTCTCCTTGACTTGAAATACTATTAAATAACAGAAAATTTCTTTCGAGTTCTTGTTCATCTGCTAATATGATAGATGAAACCGAAGTCATACTCGATCGCTGTATGTAAGAAATAATATTTTTCTCTTGGTTTTGTGAAAAGCAAGCATTATTTTTTGACAGCGTATGTTTTTCGGGCAAACCTTTTATCTTGTGTGCCAAAAAGGAATCATCTTCGGCGTGTATATGAAAGGTAAAATATATAATTTCTCATATTGCTGTGAAAACTGGGTTAAAATGTTTTTGATTCCACACTATTCGCATAAACCTTCAAAGCCCTGTATTAAAAAGGTGCTGCCTTCAGTGGCATATTCACTTCGTAAATTCGTGAACTGATAGTTCCAATACCGTCATTTCAGTATTACAGAAGGAGTATTTTTGGGAAGATAAAAATTTTTTCGAAACAACAGCTTTCCACTTTTTCCCGCTATTTGCCGCTTTTTGGATCTGATGAGGTGGCAACCCTGTTTTCAATCGTCATCCAATAGAAAATACGTAAGAATCTTTCTTTATCTTTATCTTTATCATAGCTAGCAGTCGTATGCTGGGGCATCACTTGTATAAAATGATCATTGATTTTTTCAGAAACCTTAACAAATTTCTGGGTGGGCTCAAAACATTTTAGGGTGGGCTTAGCCCGCCCCTGGCGCCGCCACTAGTTGTATCGAATCCTTGCAATGTTTTCCGTTCGTTAACTGACGATAGATGAAGGTAAACAGATATCTATCTACTTAAATTACTTCCGTTCTCTGCTTGTAATCATACATTAAAACGAAATTTGCATGATGCGATATAAATATTTCTAAGTTGTAAGCTGCACGACTACGATTATATTTCAGCGATACATGGTGAACTCGTCAAAACGATCGAACTGGATCAGAGTACAATTCTCTATATGATATTTGCCACAACTTGAGATGATCTATCAGTTCACGAATATACTATTCTAACCAAGGGGGAAACATCGTACTTTGACTCCTCAAAGTACAAAAGTACATCAAAGTATCCCGAAGTACTTGGAAGTACCTCGAAGTATTTCAAAGTACTTCAAAGTACTTCAAAGTACCACGAAATACTTCAAAGTACCTCGAAGTACAAGGAAATTATTTAAAATATTAAATTGACCAAAATTTCTTCTCGTTTCTTGCATTGATAATAAGAGTGTCTATCGGCTTAGCTAGGAATTGGTAATTTCTTAAATCAAAAATTAAGGAAAATTTTGAGGGTGTCCGGTTTGAAAAGAAAATATTAATTTCTTGTACTGTATCACAACAATATGTTCTCAGCTTACCTACCCAGGAGAATCATTCCGACAGTAGGATTCGATCGGATTCAAACAAGTCTCAGACAGTGAATAAACCGAATACCATATATGTTTCAATAAAACCGACGAAATCTTATAGGATTCCTGGACACGGACCTACATTCGGATCCTTGGTATTGGATCCGATGTCGGATTTAAACGGAATTCAACTCTATTGAATCACCCTTGCGCTCTGATGGCTCAAAATGGTTATTTGATCGTTAATAAGAAAATGATTTTTTCCGTCGGAACCGACAATAGACCTATGTCCAGGAATCCTATCGGATTCTGCTAGGGACCCGGATCCCATAGGATTCGATAAGATCCGTTGTCGGATTCATTCACCTGGGTAGGAGGCAGATTCAATACCATTGTACATGTTCTAGTGTCTGAATGAAAGCCTATCCAAGGGTAAAACGTCGTACTTTTCTACTTTGAACTATACAACTAAGTACAAAAGTATTTCAAAGTACCTCAAAGTACTTCAAAGTACCTCAAAGTGTTTAAAGTACAAAAGTACGATGTTCCCCCCTTGGAAATGTCTCCTTAAGTTTTTTATGTTGAAAAAAAAAATACTTGAAACAAGCTATCATCGTTAATTCACATTACCATTCAATAGAAATACAATAACAGTCGCATCAGTTGTCATGTTTCGTCCTGCGATTTCTAAGGTCTTGACTGAACCTGGGCAATATATAGACGTGCCAGTCACAGTCCATAACTGGCTTGGCTGCCCATACCTAAGCCATGCAACCATATTGACTCCATGGATTTCAGTATAGGTATCCAAAACATTTCCAGTAGCTCCGTTTTCAATGGTATTATCTCGAATGAAATGCCACAGTTGAGTCGATCGATCTCCGTTGGTTCCATTCTTCATAGACCACGTAAAAATATAGTTGAGGGGTTGTGTTGAATTATTGTAAATATCAAGCACAAAACCATACATTAAGGATCAAATGTGGTAGCCTAGAAAGTACTTCTCAATTGAAATCAAATTTAACGACAGATTTTTGTAAACTAAAAAAACTCATATCTACAATAGTGGCAATATTTCGACAAGTTGAACAAAATTATAGCTGATATTATTCGAAGTATATTGTAGGATAAGTGAGATCATGCTGTAGTTCACATATGTACTGAATAAATCAGAAGAAGTTCTTCCTAATCAAAAACTGTGACACATATTTGGAATATTTTGTCTAATCAGTTTCGTTTATCAGCCCTTTGCTTAAGTAGAGCAGGATTTTTACCATTATTCACCATTTCCTATTCCGAGTAAAAAATTAATAGAATAGAGTGAATTATAGCCAATTTGAGCACAAAGACATTGCTAATAGAACTAACTAATCACGCTGTACGAGCGATACACTTAAAAGGCTCATCGGTTTCCATTTTCAGCACTTTCGGAAAGTGAATTCTTTAACTTATGAAGTTTTTTTGATAGGACGAGACATTGTAAAAAGACCATCAGTGACAGAAATGCACTGGCAAATTCTAAAAGTGATCCATACCGATCGCATACTGGTGGAAGCCTAAGCATAATGAGCGCTTAGAATATTTGTTATGACATCAAAACAAAAATTCTGCGTGATTTATGGTATAATAGATAATTTAGAAAGGCGATTCCAGATAATTTTTTTTACATCACACATACACGAGAAGAAATTAATTAACTTTTCATAAATATAAAGCAAACTATATAAGCACTACTAGAGGAACAACGTATTATATTGATATTCATACTACAATAGTATCCTCAATATGTAGCTTTACTAACAAGATTTTGATGAATTTATGAATACTTTTATCTATTAAATATATTTGTCAGGATATCGTCATTATACAAAAAAGAATCGGTGAAATTTCTTTCTCTCTATGGAATTACTGAAAAATATCACAAAATAACGAAGATAATTCATAGAATACAGAAAGTTGCTAATTGTTTACAGCTTGTTAACTTTACAATTATTCAGTTAAATAAAACGACAATTAAAATATATTCTCTTAATCTCATATAGCTAGTTTTTAGTTAAAGATTTTCTCAACAAAGCTCGTCAATTTGCAGCTGTTTCTCCACCCATTTTTCTCATTTGTCAAGGAAACACCCAAGAATTCTAAAAAAAAGTCTTCATATATATGGTATTCATCTTCCCGGTAAAAAGCCATGTGCACAATTAACTTTTCTTTCACGAAATAAAATTGTTTCACCAGTAGAACTTTCTATTTACTAATTGTTTATCACATTTAGCTAGTTCCGTGATGTTACCATTTATTGAATAGTAAGAAATTCGATATAAAAAAAAGTTAATTTTCTTTTTTATTTAAATAATCTAAAGAGAAACTAATCATATTTAATATCTGTAAAAAGCCAAAGCATTAACAAATCATTTTTTGTTTTGTTTGGTATTAATTGTCAATGTCTTAGCGATGCACTGATATCATTTTTAACGATCGAACTAACAGAAAGGCGCGTTCATTCAAAACTTTCATAAATATTTCTTACCATTATTATATATTCAATATGTTATTGTGGTTTGTTTGATTTAAAATTTAAATAAGATTACAACAGGTCACTTTAGTTTTAGTTTTAGTTTTGCAACGAAGTGATTTTATTTAAAATAAAACAGGATTGGTTTTGAAAATATTGAATTATTAAATCAATAATAGTGGTTTGGAAGTTATATAATTAGTTCACTATTAGAATACAGTTATTAATATCCATAGAAAAGTTTAAAAAAATTATATTTTGGTTTACAATAAAAAAAAAGGTTGAATGAATTTGAGAAATTATCGAGCGCAAATTAATTTGTGACTTTTAAAACTAACGAGAAAAGAACTAGAAGTATCACGATTTTTTTCTTATTGCCTGTTAGGCTAACCGTTGTCAAAATGCAAAATAAATCATATTACTGTTAAAACTGCTTTCTTTTTAATTTATGAAATGATATTCAAACTACGAATGAGAAAAATGTGTCTTTTTGAATTTAAAAGCATTAAGAGCTCTTGTATTACGAATTGTTGAAATAAATGGGAAAAACTATGATAATATAAAGTATTAATTTCACAGAAGCTAAGAACATTTTTTTCGTTTATTGATAAGTAAAATAGCAATTAAATAAGCAAATCATTTAATTCGAACTTTTGATGATTTTAACCATCGGTGTCCAGAGAACTTGTAAAACTTTTTTTCGACAGAAATAGTGAAAGTACACTTCTCTAAGTATGTTGCACCGTTAGGAAAAGCTTGTTAGCGCAGTCCCTTTGGGGCTGAAATGTGGAACTCACAATACTGTTACTGCTAGTAGATCATTTAGTACACTGTCTTATGTAATGAAACATGATTAGAAGTTCGGATGAATTGAAATGAAATAGTAAAAGATTATTACCAAGAAAATTTGATTTCCTAATTAAGCGAAGTCAAGCTTGCTAAGAAAATGTCAAATTTTGTTCAACGATAAATTTAGATGTCGTTGGATTTTTTCGACTTTTATAATGATTGAAGGGAGGCAGTGTCTCTGAGGGGGTAATCTAATTAGTCTAATTGATAATTAGTACAACTTTAAATTAATTAATATCTTTAATGGGAAGGGGGTGGGGAACCACAAAAATCCCACTTTTAAACTTACACTCACCGTTTTCTTCGAAAATATATGCGAGTTCCACAAAAGTATAGTTCTTTATTTAGGACATAAAAAACTTTAACCTACACCCTCACAAGTTCAGTATTTGGTACGGATGATTATAATTTACGAAATAAAATGTCATTTATATGTATATTACTTGATTTATAGTAATGTGAAAATTTTAATATAATTAGATACACTCGAATGATGAGCGAAAGATGTTGAAGAAAAAAAATATAATTATATTGCATTAACAATATTAGGCGCAAAAGCAATCAGAAAAAAACAAGGACCCACACACAACAAGCATCAGGATAACATAAGTGACGATTATGTAGTCACACCTTCCAGGCCTTCCTTGACTCCGTCACTGGGCGATAGAATGCGTTTTTCTCGACTTTCTAATAAGAAGGTCAAATGTCATAGTTGCGCAAGTACGGGTACAACTTGTACTGGGAAATTTACATAGAGACTGAAAGCTCCGCTAGTGACACCGAGGATACACTTGTGCTAGCATGAACTCGGCTGTACTACCCCGCCTTCCCTCCCCAAAAACCTAGAATTCTAGAATTCGTGTGCCAGATGGTACAACCACGTACATGGAAGTACACGCCAGTACATGCCAATACATGAACTCTAGAAATTCTAGGTTTTTTTTTGGGGGGGGGCGGGATAGTACAGCTGAGTTCATGCTAGTACAAGTGTATCCTCGGTGTCACTAGCGGAGCTTTCAGTCTCTATGTAAGTTGCCCAGTACAAGTTGTACCCGTACTTACGCAGCCCTCTGAAACGTTATTAAATCTCTCAGACTTCAGGGTAATAGTTGATATCAGTTATTTTGCTAGCATAAAGAAAAAATCAATGAGCTAGGATGTAGAAAGAGAAATGTGTGTAACCAACTATATAAAATAGTTTATGTAAGCCTAATTGACGACAAGAGTGCAAAAATAGTATTGAATTTAGTCGTTAATGTCGAGTTTTCGATCCCTTTTTAGGCAATTTCTTCGCTACATAGCTCTACTTAAAATCTTTGGAACCAATATTATTAACAAATTTCTTACTTGGTTGATGTCATCTTACTAAATTACAGTGTAATTTGGCATTGCTATGAGTAACAACGATAAAATATTGTATGGCTACACTTTATAAGCTCGATTGTTTTGATTGCAATTTACTATTTGCCAAACTGCTAACGTCTTCTATTGAGACTTCACACAGATGAAATAATAATAACAATTAATTTAGTATGTTGACGTCGCGTCTATTTTTTTTCTTTGGATTCTATTTTTTAATACTCAAAATTGATTTTTAAATAAATTTCATTTTACGTATGAAAATTTTCAAAAAAAACTAAAATGCACGAGTTTTCTATTTGCATTACGTTTTTCTTTGTTTCTTTTGACTCACATATGATAACTGTTAAAAAAAAAACAGAGTTTCATCTCGGTTTTTTTGTGAAGGAAAAAACAAGCGCATATTACTCTCTTTATTTTCACGTTATCTTTTACGTACAAATAAATGAAAGTAACAAACGTAAATCTGGGAATATCTAATGAGATCTATCATTATATTGCTGTATTTGGTGAGAGTTAACTGTTTTTTTTGTCTCTACGTTCTTTTTCTTTCCGTTTCTAACGAATTCTGTTGTTGTGTAATCATCATCGTTACCTTTTTCTTTACTGCTCCTATTGAAACTTCTTCACTCGAACGCTGTAACGCATAGAATATTGTTTGAAACTGTATGTCCATTCGTTTCTCTCGCTCGTTCTCTCTCCGTTAAATCAATATTGACTAAGAAATAATGCTGTTAAAATACATTTTATAGCAGTACTCTATCGACGTACAAGCCGTTGCTCACCCTTAAGGCTTAGATTTACAAGGGAAAAAAAGAAAATTCTTTTCGTTTCTCTTTTTTTTGCAACATCGAATATACTATTAAACAGCATGTGAGATTCATGCAAAGGCATTGCTATTCATTCTTTACTGTTTCAACCAGATAAGGCATCAACCTATTTTTTTATGTGTTTGCCGATAAGACTCTTATTAGATAAAGCTATGAAACCGACTTGTTTAACAAGTTCTGAACCGAGTTATATCTTATACGTTGTTTTTAGTTGCATTTGTTCGTTGTTATAGAATCAGACATGTTGCCAACGCAAGAAAGTTTCGCTATGCAAACGGATATACTACCAACACAAAACATAGGACATCTAGAGCAAAACCAGCCACAAGTATATTCGTTACTGGCGAGCTCAACTAGCTCTTCATCAATAAAAAAACCTCGAAGGAAAAAGACAACGAAATTGCAAGAAACTATTCCCGTCATGGTTAATCCACAGATAACAAGGACGTCTACTGGTGTTACATTTGGTGCGCCTCACCATCATTCGACAACTATACCAGAATCTATATCACCATTCGTATCTGCACGTCTTTTAAATAGTCACCCATTGCCAGTTAGATTTTTCATAGAACAAGATTCATGTGATTCAAATAATAACATCAATCATAGTCAAACGTCATCTCTTTCTATCCCTTTGACATCTTCAGTATCAGTTCAAACCCAACAAAATCCTTCGTGGTCGAATAATTTTGTGTCAGTTATGAACTCGAATGCATTGTCGCAAATGGTTGCAGAATCGCAGCTTTTCGGGTTAAATCGACTATTCAACAATAAAATTGATGAGAAAACGGCATCTGCTTGTTTAACACAACACAATGACTATCAACATATTAGTCCATCGCTTACAATTAGTCGAAAAGAGTCTCCTATCAACCACTTTCACACTATCCCATCTCCATTATCTTCTGTTTCACCTACAAAGTCAAAACATAGTAAGATAATATAAAAAAAACTAAACATCGTAAATATACATGCCGAATATAAAACATTTCCTTCTTCCATTCAGAACACTCTAAAAGACAAGATTCTCGTAACTTCATTGAACATGAAAATGCAAGACAATATATGTCACCCTGCCCAACAACTTTTACGCAGTCTACAGTTTCAAACGATTTACCGTCTATAATACCAACATCTGTAACTGCGATGACGATTAACTCTGACGAACCTTCAATGCCTATGGACATATCAACGACGACGAATTTCATTCCATTGACACCACCTGCTTCCATAAACTCAACAAAGTCTCCACCAACTAATGTTAACAATGAGTATTGTTTTATACCAATTCAAAAACGTTTACTACCGCCGGCCGCAAACAATATTACTGATTCAAACTTGATATCACAACAATATTATCATGATCAAGGATTTTCTCATCTGCAAAACACTACGACCAATGAAAGCATAAATAGGCTGCCCTACAATTTCCATCGTTTATTAGCTGATGCAAATCAAAAATATTGTATGGTTTCTTCTGATTTGAAACCAACGAATATTTTACCAATAGCATGTTCTACAACGCCTCGAATACTGATCCCATCGGATTTACAAAAGGAAAGAAAAAAACGTGAAAAATCAATCCACAAATCGAAAATACTGGAATTTCCGATAGTGCCCATGGTAACAGAAAAGCAGGCTTTGATTTCTAAAACACTAACAACAACTAAATCTACTACTATCAGCAGTACTACTGCTACTAGTAGTAACGGTAAAGAAAGAAACCTTAAGCTTACAAGTAAGGCTGATATTCGAACTAAAAAACAATTACGACGCATATCACGCCAAAATCGATTGGCTATTCTGAAGTTCATGATGCGAAAACGCAAGCAACAAAAGCAAGAACGAATATCGATATCAAAAGCTCCTGAACAGAAAACAGAACAAGTAGTACCGAAATTGGTCAGCCCTTCTATAACCAATGCAGACATAGTCGAGCCACATTTACCAGATATTATTGCGTCAAGTTTAAAAATTTCTTTTGATGCAGCTCAAAACATTGAGTCGATATCTCTTTATTATCATCAACGACGCAAACCTGACAATGTTCATAAAAATTCATCTAGCTCATTGACTAATAATGACAATAAGCTGAGCCTTCTGATTGAAGCAGTTGAACTTATCGAAACATTGCATGGCAACTCGAAATATATCCTACCTTCAGATAAATGATGACGCAATAGTAACAAAACTTATGCATAGTTTTTTTAATGGTTCAAATTTCGTTTGATCTTAAAACAAGAAAATTGCATGTCCTGTGTGTACACTTCACAGAACCAAAAAAAATCAAAAATTATCTTTCATATTTTGAGATCGTAGAGTTTCAAGTAGATGTCATTCATTCCGACGATGAATATCAATTGTTGGATCAACGACTAAATTTTGTACAATTTTCATCGTAACGAGAGAGAGAGAGAGAATAATGAAGGATTCCGACTCAACTGAACCTATATGCGAAAAACAACGTTCATGGATATACGTATATATTTATATGAGTTCGAAAATAGAAAAATGAAAAATATCCGCTTTGAAATATTATACCAAACGCATGAGACGAAATGAAGGGGAACATATATTGTATGCATCATCTTCTGTATAATAGCAGAAGACTCAAGGAACAAGAAAATATATCATTGGTCAACATGATATGTAAATGAAAAAGAATCGGTCCATAGTTTTGTATTTCGAACAACCTTGAATAACCTCTTGTAGTATAGCTAAATATTAATATAAAAATCCATTCACATTTAGAGTTGTTTTAGTATACTTATCATTTGATTCGTCGACTATATTAATACCTGAGAAATGCTGTTTTTTGGTTGAATGGATCTTCTCGAATTGTAACTAACAGTTCCAAAAATAGCAGTTATTGACTGAAAACAAATATCATTCTGTTTTTCGATTAAATGTCATTCGCAATGCAGAGCTATGCAAAATAAAAAAATTTGAAATTTGAAAAGGCGTCAGTAATAAAATCTTCTTGAATTCTCGCTTGAATAGATGACCAGAATTTTAGGAAATTACTTATATTTTATCATCTATCCATTGTTCCTTGACTATTTATTTGTTTTCACTTCCTTTGCATGTTTTCTTGTCTTAAGTTCTTCTGTTTGGAGAGTTGATTTTGTATTGATCTCATTGCGCTATTTCGTATATGTACAATTCATAGCATTCGCCAAGCCATTTTTGGAGCTACTCTGTGTTGTGGTCAGAGATACGTCTCTAGCATGTTTTCTATTGATTCATTTGAACTTTTTCAGGATGATTGTTAAAAAATGTCTTTGCGTTTCTCTAAGTTTGGCCTATCGCTTGTTATACCCCGTAGCCGATGTGTTGTTACCATCGACAAGAGCATTCTGAAATGCAATTAAATAAACTCGAATCAAGTCATACGATGTTTCAATGTACATGTAGCCGAATAAAATTCATTATTACTTACTAGCGCGTCAACATCTTGATGGTAGAATCCAATCAATTTGAATCTCTTGTCAGTATAATTACAGGTTACAATCTGAGTAACTATAGGTGAATGACAACGCTGTTCGGTGTGTTTTTACGACATACTATATTGAGACGTCGGGACTGCCTTTCTATCCGTAACTGCATATATTATTATTTGTAATAAATATATTTTACTATGAAACCTGTCACTAGGCAGAAAGTCAGGCTCCATCGTTACTCTGCACTTTGGTCGAAGTTATTCATCATATAGGACTATGTGATCATGCGCATTCTAACAAAAGCTACAAAATTTTGCGCATTGTGTTTGTTATGAATGAGGAAAAAGCTACGGACGAATGCGCATGGATGTGCTCCTTGAGATTTTTATTCTCTGTTGTGTTGTCGAAGTATATGTTAAATTAATAGATTATTAATGGCGTGTGGAAGCATAGAACATCTTCTGAGTGTGTGAACTTTAAACTGCCTCTCGATAAAAATTTCCAGTTATTTTTCAATTACATAGAAGCCTTCTTCATTTTGAAATGAGTACTTCGACAAAACAGACTGTCATTTGACTAGCTTCTACAGACACAAAGACTATTTTTACTGATAAAAAAAAGTGAAGTCCTCAACCAACCAATCAATTAATCAACTCTGTACTTTAAAACCTATTTTTAAGAAATTTGAATGGTTCTGCTGTGTAAAGTTTTTCATGCTTTATCGAATCCGTTATCTTGCCGAGTTACTAACCAGGTAAATTTGTTTTGTCAAAAGGAACCGATGATTAATTATGCAATCTATTGTTAAGCCCGCACGGAAGACAGCTGTGCATCGTACAAGTTCAAAAGTAATTTAAAACGAACAACTTGCTGTAAATATTAACAAAATATTCACCAATAGATAACGATCAGACAATAACTACAATTATCAAAATGAGAAGAATATCGTTTCTATGGTCAAAAATCACGACAAAAGGAAATATTCTAATGAAATTAAGCGATAATAATTTAAAACAATTTCTTAGATAAAGTTACACTCTTAAAGCACATACAATAATATTACAATATGATCAGTTTAAAATAATATATATTTTAATATCAAGGACTAGGAAATATAACAGGGAGAATGAAACGAGAAGCAACTTATTTCGAACTCCAGCAGTGAACAAACAACTAGCTGTCAATAGAAAAAACACTTGAAAACATACGATAAATACTTCATTCTAGTATTTTGTTTAGAATTCTGAAGTAACAAAATAGTTTTCAAAACATCTTAGAACATTACGCAGTCATGATCTTTTGCTAGTAACTTACTTCCTATGATGTTTTTATAGGTCAAACATTTACAGAAATCTTAGAATTTCTGATACTTTTGATGAGACGGATTCTCATGCATATGTTTTGCTTCTCGTATACAAAGTAGCGAACGAAAACTTTCTCATTTGAGAAAGATTACAATGCCGAAAGATGCTACAACATAACCTATTGTCAACCTATCAATTAGATTGAACAAATTTGTTGCTTGAATCATCAATAGAGCATGCATAATAGATCAGCATACTTTTGAAAGCAGGCTTTCAATTGAGAACTATATAACATGTATAGTGTTTTAAAGCACCTTTTCTCATATGACCAATGAGCAATATAATATATTCTATTGTCCTCTTATCAACACTATCAAATCTATTCGTCGAATTTTTGTTAGACATATATTTAAAGAAAAATCAATCTGACCAAGTCAGATTGATGGTAAAAATTATTTTTAATATCATCTAAGAGAACGAAGAGAGAGCAAAAAACAACAACTGAACTGATTCGTAATGATTAGCCTTTTTTGAAATACAAGTACAATGCCCTTTTCACTGTCAAAACAAAATAATGGTTAATATGAAAATGAAGAAAATTATTACATTCAAAAGTCTTAATATAACATTAGATTTTATTAAAATGTTAAATTTGAGCTTAGTCGAGGAGATTCTTTATTCATATTATCTTAATGGTTTCATATATGGGCAAAATCATTTGTTAGCGACGTGATTTCGTAAAATTCAAATATCTATATCTCGAAATAGTGAACTTTTCTAGACTTGATTTTTATATATTATATGGATCTTAAGTGACTCTAGATATCCTGTAGAAATCAGTACTAGGGAACTTTGTTGATAGGAGTTATCTGAAAAAAACAGTCTTTAGCGACGTGACCCAAAAAAGGACACGGATTTTCACTTTACGGACTTCAGTTTAAAAAAACTCCAAACTGCCACATAATTTTAGAAAACTAAATTCGATATCCAGTAGACACCATCTCGGGCTGCAACATACGTATGCAATGTTTTCTTCAACATGTCTAGATTTTTCTGTCAAACGTATGAATCTTTCGTTGGCGACGTGATGAAGTACGAATACACTACCGAAAAGATATCTTCATAATCGAACAAAAAGTTTGGAAAATATTTCAAATCGTACAAATCCTTGCTCAGAGTCCAGGAATTATAATAACATAACATGATTTGTTTCTGCTCTTGGTTGCTTATTTATAGAGCCAGTTTTTCGGAGGAAATTTTTTGGAATTCAATCTGGCTGAAAATTTTACCATAGATGCAGTTTGGACTCTGGAGTCTATTCTGAAAAGTTCAGACTTTTTTCTCATACCGTTTGCAAGAAAATCACTAATTACTTCTTGATTAATTAATTAACTAATTAATAATAATTAATAAATAGTCATGTGAAAGAGCGAAGAGTTTCACATAAGTCAATGATAAAAGAAATTATTCAAAAAGAAAGCCTGTGTGGAGAATAAGAATCGACTGAAGGGGGTGTATGTCCCGTTTTGCCTGATTTCGCCCATATATAACCATAACGAACATGTGTCTTAGTTTCATTTTTTACAGAGACCAGATAAACTTTCCAGCTTTTCTTCGTTCAGCGTAAAATTACATGGTGTCAGAAGAGTGGAGGCACTTTTCTATGAGATAAAGCCCGGTTTTCTGATGTATCAAAATTGTTGATATTTATGTAAAGAACACAGTATGAATAGTATACAGGCACTAATACAAATTTAGCAACACTTCTATCTGCTCTGAAACGCTCTATAAATCTACCATAATAGTGGGCCAATTTTTTTAACCGCATCCGAGTGTGTGTGTGGCAAAATTTATTGAATATTTTTTTATCATCAATTGGCAAGCCTTGTCAAATAACCAGTTTCTGCTTTCTTGTTCAACTCAGTTTTTCATCTTTGTAAAATCTATTTCTAAATTGATTTTGATAAAGAACTCCAGTATCTAAAAACTAGTCGATTCCTTATTTCAACAGCGTTGCCTTGCTCAAGCACAAAGTAGAAAGACTAACATGTATTTAATCATCGCTGAACGAATTTCTAGAAAAGGTATCGAAGTCATCAGTTTGTGAACATCATGTAGAATGTTAAAAAATTGTTCACTATACAAATTTATCGTTCAGTTCTCTGAGTGAACAGAGATTTTTCTGTAAAAGGAAGAAAATCGCTGAGTTTTCCCCTTGTTTATCAATTTTTGTTCAAATAATCGAAATGAACCAGTTTTTTCTATGACAAGCCAAAGTTCAATATAATGCGTTTTTGATTTTGAATTCAATTTAGTTTTAACTTACATTAACCACAGTATAAATTGCACATGCAGGCAAGAGTTCTAATAACAGCCTCTTACTTACATATAAAATTGTGTATTTATAATCGAAATAATTCTTTTCGAAGGCGTATTCATCGGTTCAAACGTTTATGATAATAGCATCTAGTACGAAGCTTTAGGCTTTTTGAATAGAGAAAAGAAGACTTATTACATACTAATATATCTGAATAAAAGCTTGTCAGCGCAGCTCCGTTGGGGCTAAAATGTGGAACTCACACATTTCAGTCAGTTAGATATTGATCAAATAGAAGTTTTATTTTTTCAGTGTAGTGAGATCATATTTTGTTCAA